CTATAGCACCACAAGCACAGAACACTACTATGATCACATTAATTGGTCACGCCAATTAGCAACAGGCAAAAAAGCACCACTTAAGGCAGGAAGTCAAATTAACCTAGAAGGTGAAACCAAAAGGACTGTCTGTGGTCAAGGGCAATAGATATATAAAAATAAGAATTGTTAAAACTATGGTTATGTCCCATTTATTTAAAACAATACCAGAAAGAACTCCATGAGGAACCCTTTGAATTGGCACCTCCACTGAGAAAATATATTTCCTCAAAGAGGGTCCTGGTCTGGATTGGGTCGATATCTCAATACAGAGAGCGCAATAGTGCAGAGATCCTGAACAATTATGGCTGAGTAAAAACTTCTTGAAGATTTGCAATATTCAAATACCTTCTTGGCTGTAGCACCAAACAGCTGCCCTGCATAAAAAAACATCATAGGGCGGTCTTACAGGTCAGAGAGAGGAGATATTGAGCCGGTCAGACTTGGCATCGGATGTGAACCAGAGAAGCCAAGAATTTTTCACAGTCTCATAGAATCCTCTGAATCTATGGAGTAGTGTATTGTGGGTCGGGGCAGATAGCTTTTGCAAGACTCTACTCCAGCAAAGATCAAGGAGAGCAAGCATGATTTTGGACAAGATTTGCTCCAAATGATCCACACCAAAAAGGCTGGCTCCTTAATATTAACTTCAGCAGGGACCAGTTCTTCAGAACCCACCTTGCAACATTAGTGCTATCCAAATACCAGAGATATATACAGTGACAGTGTTTTCAAGTGATCGCAGAGGGATCCTAGCTACTAGAGGTGTAACAATACACATATTTTCAGATTCAATATGATTTTCAACTCTGAGGTAAAGATATGATTTTCAAGATTTTATGTACAAAAAAACATCTTTTGATTTGACTCAGATAAATGAATGTTCCCCAAGAGAACGCCACCAGATTAAGCGACAAAATTTGCTCTTCAGGATAAAAACGCCTAGACATTTGAGCGCATTTGTGCATAGCATAAGCCCTACCCCCTTGCCACCCACTTTATTCTGATATGATGCACCCCCATGCCTACTGTTGATCATTGACAGTGGTTCCTATTTATAATGGCAAGGGCAATAGATCATGTCCTACTGACATGATTACCGTTACCAAGAAACAAATAAGGACAAGACTGTGATGTGACTGTGCCGTCCTCACAATCAGTACTTGCTCAGCAACTTCAGCATCAGTTGATCTCTGAAGTGGCATGCACCTGTTATTCTCTCTCTAACATGGAAACCACTAGTCCCTCCTTCTCTGATCCATGACCAAACCCATGCAACATTAAGGCAACACAGTCAATGAGCCATACAGTAAAATGTACGTTGACAGGAATGCAGTGGCAATGTACTCGAGTTTAAGACAACTGATAATGCTGTGCTGTTTTTATATTCTATATTTCTTACTGTCTTACTTACCTCCACATTAACTTGCATCTCCAATGTGACTCCCTTTCTCTGAGGTGTTAACCACCTGTCTCCCTCTCTGCCCCCTGTTTTCACCACTGCAACATTAGATTACTGCAGTAAGTAAGTTACTGAAAATAATGCACCTAGAGAAGGATATAGCTGCTTCTTTCATTTAGGGGCACATTTGAATTAAGTTTTGGCAATATTCAGCGTTCAAGCATGTTTCTTTGCAATAAAATCCATGAATCTAGCCAAAATGATGCCGTTGCATTATAATTAGAATGGTTAAATGATTAATCATTGTTACCATAACTATGTGTCTTTACTGCCATAACCAGATGTGTAATGGTAATGACAAGAGACGTTAATGACAATTCTAGCTTTTTGGCAAATTAAGTCTTGGACTTGCTAGCCCAACCAGATTTGTCACAGTGGGTGACAAGCACTAACAAGTCATTACGAATGGAAATGACCCCATATAATGTCTATTAACACATGTTAAAACTAAAACTCTCTATTTTCTATAACATAATTAGCAACTCTCAGATAATCAGCTATAAATCTTTATGGCCATGAAAATGCCACTCTTCTGCCATGGCAGTCACCTGCTTCCCAATACTTCGCATTACTATGGTAGTCCCATAAACAATTGTTTGAAAAAAAATGTATTGACCTCTAAAATCTTTGGTGTGAGGGAGAAATTCTTTTGCTCTATAAAATGTGTGGCATGATGAAAGCAGAACAGATATAAACCATATTGTTATTATAGTGAAAATAGGCTACCAAGGAGAGACTTTTTAAAACATTATTAAAGAAATTCTGCCACACTGTACTTCTAAAGATAAAAAATGAGAAAAAAATTCGATATAATAAAAATGTTTTGTTATTATTACCTAACCTTTAGAGACACAATAATTGTATTCACCATCTCTGGACCAGCATGCACCTGCCTCTCCCTCTCCAACAGTAGTGATATTACTGTACTATCTGGCAGGGGCATTTCAGTTTTAAAGGATTATTAGAGGCACAATGGAAACCATCTTAACATAGAGCTGTACATCATTGTTTCCAGTTGAAGGCACTTTTTTTTTTTTTGTATTTTATTATTTTTCCCCTGAGCTGCACTTGTGACATTGTGTGGTTTTATGTACCTAAAACAGTCATAATTTATTTTTACATTACAATCAGTTACTCTGCCATCACAAGGCATCACAAAAAACACTTATTTTTATAATAACTTACATATATGGAGTGTATAGGCTGGAGAGTGAATTAGATTTTCCATAATATTCTACCCAGACTGGTCAGAATGAAATAGAATTAGAAAGATGGTCTTCTACTTGGACTCATCAGGAGGTTTTGCTACTCTAATGTTCAGAGAAACCTGTGATTCAGCTCTGGGACATTGGTCATTGTGGTTTGTTGCTGGTCATGAGTGTTTCAGAGAGACTAGACAAAGCAGTCAAGACCACTGATTAAGTTATTGTAACTAACAATTATATATAGTAGTAGCCATAGGACTGTGGTGTTTATGGGGAAAAATGCAGGGCAGTGGTGCATTTAAAGGGAAATGTGTCACGGATCGGTGAAGGAGGGAAAAGACATCCCTCAGTCCTGGGTGGCCACGTCAGGGGGCAATTTTGGGCAAAACCCCTCCGTCACGAGATGGTTGCCATCACCAACGCACAGAGCTGAGGTAAATTAAGGGCATGCGGTGTGTTTTATAATGAGAAACAAGTAGTCTGTTTAAATCACCTCATAAAACTACAAAACAAAGCTCAGTATATGAGTCTGGCTCTACTGTGACAGGACTGAGCCAAGAAATAGGCGGTTTGGAGAATGGTGTGGAAAAAGACATTGTGTTTGTGTTATGGGCGGTTAAATTGCACAGTGTACAGCCTATCATACAATTTTGTTTACATGCTGGCCTGTGAGAACTTTAAAATCTGACTTCTTTTACTGGAGAGTGACTTTCAGCGTTCATCCAACAGTCAGAGTGATTGCCATTTGTCATAACAACCCTGGAAAGATGATCATAAAACTCACCTCAAAGACCTTTAAAAGTGGATTAATCCCTTCAAATTAATACCTTGTGGAAATTTGTATACATCCACCTATTCATCCTATAGCATTTTATCACTCACACTTAAGTTATAAGTAGCAGTAGATTAAGGTACAATACAGGGACATAGCTCAGAACAGGGCTCATTTACATATATCAGTCTTAAAGGTACAGTAAAAAAACAGCCAGCTTAAAGGACCCAAATCCCACATTTGTCTTGTATTTTTCCTTCTGATATCCTCTTAGAACATTTGAGTGGGTTTATTTTTGAAAACAGTCATTCATATTTGCATGACAATTTTCCAACCTTTCTCTATCCCTTAGAAGTAAACAGGCTGTTTCTTGTTATTATGCCTTTAAGTCTGATATATGTAAATGAGCTCTGTTCTGATTGGCTGCCCTGTATTCAACAAGTAGTCCAGGTTGAACATCAGTTCGAATGGGAAGGGCTAAGCTGCCATAAGCTGAATAGGCAGATATATGTAAATGCCTTGCTTTTTCATGACATCACAAAAACAATGAATTTAAAAAAGCTGTTTTGGCAGCTTTATGCTCTGGGGAGTTAAGGGTACATTTTGCAAATGAGCTCAGTTCTGTTTGGCTGCCCTCTATTGTGCATTTTTCAAAAAGTGGTGTGGGCTGAAGCACTCTCAAATCTCCCACTTTGATAGGCTGAAAAGGGGGGATGTATGTAAATTTGACGGTTTTTGTGACATCACAAAAACAATAATTTCAAAACAGGCTCTTTTTGTTGGACCAAACGGACTGGTGAGTGAAGGGTCTGTTTCGAAACTTTAATAATGTCTACAATCTACATTACACTCAAAAAAGGAGGAACACTTGGTTTTCCATAGGCCCTTATACATATATATATATATATATATATATATATATATATATATATATATATAGATAGATAGATAGATAGATAGATATACACATATATACATATATATATATATATATATATATATATATATATATATATATATTCCCATCGTTTATATTTTCTTTCTAGGGGTTCCAAGCAAAGTCTGCGGTGAACTCGTTCATTCGTGTCCAGCTGTGGGTTTAAATCAACGCTCCAGGCTTAAATGTGCGCTGTAGGTTGTGATTCTGCTGTGCTACTGTGATGATTTATGAGCGTACAGGAATAATGATGTTTCTTCGCTCACACAACATTCTTCATAAGTAATGTGACATGTAGATTTATACTGCAGCACTGCAGGTGTACCTGACGTGGCTTGAGCTGAGGGTCTTTATTAAAACTCTGACTTCATACAGCCCAGATGTTCCAACACGTTTAACAGAGATAAAAGACAAACACTCTGCATTCGAGTCCAGTGATCTCGCCGGGGAAAAAGTGGCCGTTTTCCTTTTTTTCTCCTTCTTCTTTTCCTTTTTTCGGAGGTCATGTAGCTCACGTTTACAGCTGCATAAGAAGCGGAGCTTTTGTATAACACGGAATCTCCTCCTCCTGTTGCTGCTGCTGCTCACTCTTTGCGCACCAGCTCGCCGTGGCGCACAGCAACGCGAGGCTTCCTCCACAGCCGCGACTATTCGCCATGTAAGCTGCTCTGTATTTCTCTCTAACGCAGTTTCTTTTTGCCGTTCTGAGTGGGGGGAACCGGAGACTCTCTGTGGGACAAGAAAGCGCTTCACGATGGCTGCGCGCAACTTTGGCACCGTCTTTTACGCATGTGCGCACGTCTGTTTGCTGGGCTGCGTGCTCCAGAGCGCGCAGTCCCAGCGCGAGCCGAGGCCAGCGAGCAACAACGCGGCCCTCAGACGGACCATCCAGTGGCAGCACAATGGGAAGCTCTTCAGCCTGCTGAGCCAGGGATCAGAGTACCAGCCGCCGCTGAGGAGGGACGCAGAAGGCGAGCAAGCCGAGGCCAGGAGACCGGTCGCCGTCATCAGCAGGCCCTCGAGGGTCGGCGGTGACCCGTCCGGTTCTTCCCAGCATGCACGAGGCCGCGGGGGAGCTCGCGCGCGCTCCCGCAGTGGCGCTCGAGAACGCGCCACGGGAGAGCCAAGGCGCACGAATGGCACCGAGTGGGAAAACAAGCGCAACGAGAGCGCGCCGGAGGATGCCATGGTGGGGGACGACCCTTACAACCCGTACAAGTCCACTGACCCGGACAACCCTTACTACAACTATTACGACACGTACGAGAGACCGAGCCCGAGACAAAGACCCGGATACGGAACAAGGTACTTTCAGTACGGTAAGGGTTAAAGTTACTTGCGCATCGAATGTTCTAAACTAAACTCTGTTCTGACTGACAGCGGTGCTGCGGCCAGTGCTAGATCCAAATAAGGGTGCCAGATTCGGAGTAAAGCCGTAGAAGAACCAACTTTGGTTCCCTAAAGAACGTTTCACTGGATGGTTATTTAAAGAAACGTATTCATAAATGAAATATGTGCCCGTTTAGAACCTTTTTAAAGTGTAAAGAACCTCCACATAAAGATTCCATATTCTTACAAAAGTAAAAGTGCCAGAAAGGGTTTTTGGCGTGATGCCATATGAGAACCATTTTTGGTTCTCTAAAGAACCAATGGATGGTTGTTTAAAGAACTATATTTGTTAATATTTGTAAGAAACACATTTGTAAATGATATGTGTACCTGTAAAAAACCCTTTTAAAGTTTAAAGAACCTCAGCATAAAGGAAAGATTCTTGAAATAAAGGTGCCAGAAAAAAGGTTCTTTGTGCAATGCCATAAAAGAACCATTTTGGTTCCCTAAAGAACCAGTGGATGGTTCTTTAAAGAACTACATTTGCAAATGAAATATGTGCTCTTTTAGAACCTTTTTAAAGAACCTCCACATAGTGGAGAACCCACAAGTGCAAGAAAGGGTTTTATGGCGTGATGCCATATGAAAACCATTTTTGGCTCTCTAAAGAACCAATTGATGGAACCATATTTGCAAATATTTGTAAGACCCACATTTGCAAATGAAATGTGTACACTTAAAGAACCTTTTTACAGAACGTCTACCTAAAGTTTCTTAAAATAAAGGTGCCAGAAAAGGGTTCTTTGCACAATGTTTCCAGTGGATGGTTCTTTAATGAACCACATTTGTAAATGAAATGGGTACCAAAAAACCTTTTTAAAGTTTAAAGAACCTCCACATAAATGTTTTAGTAAGAACTCTTAAATTGGTATAGATTATGTGAAGGTTCTTTAGATCTTTAAAATGTTCTTCACACTAACTAATTTCTTTTTCTTATGGATCCAAAAGTGGTTCTTCAGATGTATCGCTCCAAGAACCCTTTGAGGCACCTTTATTTTTTAAGAGTGTACCAATTAAAAAGCTTATAACTAGAACCATTGAGGAACCTTTATGAGTGCTTTACTTATGAGTGTAGTTTAGCTTCACTGGCATCACTTGTGTCCTTCAGGGGTGCCAAAAGGGTGCAAAAGCCCTCAATGATTCAGAAAACCCAAAGCTAGACAGATGCCCTGGAACATGCCAGGGATAACAGATGCCATTTTAACTACACTCTTCTTCCCTAAAGAACCTTTAAATAAAATGTTCATCATCCTTGCAAATTTCTTTTTCAAACAAGGTTCTTTAGTGGTCAAAAGTGGTTGTTCTATGGCATCATTTAAAGAACATCTTTTTTAAGGGTTTTTTGTGCAGTCATAAAAGAAACACTTTTGGTTCCTTAAAGAACCTTTCAGTGGATAGTTCTTTAGAGAATCATTTATGTTTATGTTTGTAAAGTTCAAAGAACCTCCTTTAATTGGTATAGAACCTTTAAGGTTTTCAAAACCTTTAAAAAGTTCTTCACCCTCGCAAATCTCCTTTTCAAACAAGGTTCTTTAGGGAAACAAAATGGGCTATTCTATGGCTTTGTTTAAAGAACATCTTTTTTAAGGGTTCTTTGTGCCATGTCATTAAAGAACCACTTTTGGTTCCTTAAAGAACCTTTCAATGGATGGCTCTTTAGAGAGCCATTTTTGTTTGAGTGTGAAGAGTCTTTGTAAAGTTTGAAGTACTTCATAATGTAAAGTTTCTAGGAAGAGCACTTACACTGGTATTGAACCTTTACATGAAGTGAAGGTTCTTCAAGCCTTTAAAAGGTTCCTCACATTCACAAATCTCTTATTCAAACAAGGTTCTTTAGGGAACCAAAAGTAGTTATTCTATGGCTTTGTTTAAAGAACATCTTTTTAAGGGTTATTTGTGCCGTGTCATAAAAGAACCACTTTTGGTTCTTAAAAGAACCTTTCAATGGATGGCTCTTTAGAGAGCCATTTTTGTTTGAGTGTGAAGAGTCTTTGTAAAGTTTGAAGTACTTCATAATGTAAAGTTTCTAGGAAGAGCACTTACACTGGTATTGAACCTTTACATGAGGTGAAGTTTCCTCAAACCATTAAAAGGTTCCTCACATTCACAAATCTCTTATTTAAACAGGGTTCTTTAGGGAATCAAACGTAGTTCTTCACTCACAGAACCCTTCATGGCCCAATTTTTGTAGGAGTTTGAGATGATTATGTTACTTCAGTCCTGTGCAAGTTTTTTCCAAGGATTTCTGGTCCAGTGAGACTGTGGAACCTGTTCCACAGGTTTGCCTGACCTTGTGGCGGATCCTTACTACATTCAGGCCTCCACCTACGTCCAGAGGGTTCCGATGTACAACCTGAGATGTGCTGCGGAAGAAAACTGCCTCGCAAGGTACGACTGAAAAGAAAAAAGCACAAAAAACAACGTAATTAGTTATGTTCTGTCTAAACGACTGAGGGAGGGAGAGCATGGAGAGCCAGGAGCTTCACTCATATTTGGCTGAAGAGAATGAGTCATTGATAGGTCTGCAAAATTCCTCTAACTGAAAGATACTCCTATAATTTAAGCCAGTTATGTGGAAAACAAAAAGGGAAAAAAGTCTCTAGTGGAAGTCGTGCTATGATGGGAAGGGAAGGAGAGAGAGGAATACTTTGCAATGGAGGTTTCAGTGCAAGACAGTTTACATGGAAAAATCATCACCAGACAGACTGCTAAATCTATTAGTGACTAAACCACACTTATCCTGAGGAGAGGGAGAGAAAAATTCAGGAAACGTGAAACAATATTTGTCCCTGTGCTTGAAATGCGTTCACTCAGCCAAGAAACACACCATGAAAGGCATTTGGACGCTGCGTGAAACTCGGACGTTGTCTGATATTCTGTGTTTGGTGTGCTGTTTTTCTGCTGAGCAGTTCGGCTTACAGGTCGAGCGTGAGAGACTACGACACACGCATGCTGCTGCGCTTCCCTCAGAGGGTGAAGAACCAGGGCACATCTGACTTTCTGCCCAGCCGGCCACGCTACGCCTGGGAGTGGCACAGCTGCCATCAGTGAGTCATTGCGTTCCAATTCACAGCACATCTGCCTGTTTAACCAAGGCAAAGCTGTGTTTAGCTGCAGCACCATACTGATACATGTTATTTAACACAGTTTACATTATCTTACATTATAATATGTCATTTTAACACATTTTTGTCATATTATGTTTGGTAGCATACAAGGTTTTGTCCTTGAAGGGCCCATATCATGAAAAAATCACATCTTCCTTGCTTTTTCATGGATAAATGGTTTATCTACTATGTACACTTTGGCAAAACATACTATTCACTCCCCAGTCAAAACAGTCTATGAATGGAAAATTGTTTTTGTGATGTCACAAAAAGCAAAAACCAACACATTTACATATGACTATTTGGCCTTTAGCAGTTTAGCCCATTCCCTCTGAAGTTACAGAGAGTGTTTGAGCCTTGACTGCTTTTTGAGTGAGGCACAATACAGAGCAGCTAATCAGAACAGAGCTCATTTACATACATAAGTCTTAAAGGCACAGTAATAAAAACCACCTGTTTAAAGGGCCCATATCCCACTTTTTTGATGTATTTTATTTTTTCCTCTGAGGGCCAATTATAATGTTGGTTGTAAGACTGTTATATGTAAATGAGCTCTGTTCTGATTGGCTGCCTCATTAAAAAAGCAGTCCAAGCTGGAAAATCAACATGAATAGGCAGACATGTGTAAATACGCTGTTTTTTCTGACATCACAAAAGTAATGGATTCAAATCAGGCTGTTTTTGCAGTTTATAGATGGACTGTATAGACCAAGAAGTGAACGGTACTATTTGACAGTGTTTACATACTACAACAACAACAAACTCTTTTATTTTAAAAAAGCAAAAAATTCTAAGGGATAGAATGAATAAGATAGATAAGAGGTTGTAAAATGGTCATATAAAATGACTGAATTATACATTTTTGGTACATAAAAACAGAGAAATGTCTTGGGAGGATACAAGAAAAATGTAAGCCTTTCAGAACATTTAAATGTCTGACTATACATCTTTTCAGTTTAAGGGTCATGACTGGGAAGCTGTCTGTGTCAGCATATCTTAATGTATTAATCTCTGATAAATGTGATGGGAGTCTGGTGTGAAGGGGATCGCTTCAGAGGAAAGTGGTCTGTGTTCTTGTCTAAAGAAAAACAGTGTGGAGGCCCTCTCTCTGCGCTCCACCGTGGCAGACGTGGTAATGGCTCTCAGAGCATAGTTTTGTTCTGAAGTAAGCTGCATTTCACCGCCATGTATGGAGTACATGTGGCGCAGCTCCACTTAACACAATGACATGAGGTCTGCAGTTAGCTGGGGTGAAATGAGGCATAAAAAAAGCTTCTATGATCTCAGCGCTGACCTTTGTTTATTCTGCATGACAAATAATGGCACATTTCTGGTCATGTTTTGCCATAACCCTTAAAATAATCAGGAGAGAACGTGCTGCTCACCACGACCCAAGCTTTTTGTTTCACTCAATCAAGCAAAAGCAGCAGAGTTTAGCACTTTTTGGTTTTCTTAGAAAAAAAAGGAAACTGTTTTCCATTTGTTGCCTGTTGAGCATTGCACAGTTTAACTTTCTCCATGTACTCCAGCCAATGAAGATGTAACTTATTACTGAAGCCCACATGTGTATACACTAGCACCAATTCGCACACTTGGCTCTTTTCCCCTCTGGGCGGCCCAAATCTTTGCCTGAAAGGTCGATAAGTGCGTTTGGGTGTTGTCAGAAAGAGCTCCACAATCTGAGTGGTCTCAAGTCAGCCACGTTTACATTTAGCTGACATTTTTGCTCAAAGCAGTATAAATAAACTGCACTGTTCATCCCTTTGGAGCAGTGAACTCATACATAACGTAGCACAATAGGTAATCAGCTGCTGTCAGAATCCATAAACTCTTGAGCCATAGCCAGACTCTGCTGCTGAGCTTTCATTCCTCTAGTCTCACAAGGGACAACCATGAGAAATTAGGCTAAATGAGGGTGGGAATATAGACTTTTTAGGGTGGGAAAAATGGAAAAATGTAGTGTGAAATTTCTAAAGCAGCCCATTAACTCGTGAAGGCATAGCTCAGCAGGGGGCGCTGGTGCGCTCATCAACATTGACCACCAGACAATAATGTAAAGTTAGCATGACTGAAAAGTCAACCCAAAAAAACTCTGGTTAGGCATGTAGATGTGAGCCATGTGTGCGGAAAACACACATGTAGTAAAAATAAACATTACCTCCTACAAGAGAAAAACAGTTCTGTTAGCTAACATTAGCATTTTATTAGCTAGCTTGTTTTCCTTGTGTTATTGATTGTACTGTACCTTCTTACCATCACAATCCAGCCCCAAAAGTTTAACATGTTGTCTCCAGATGTGTATTCCGTGGCAAGGTCACATCTGGCCCCACAAGACTATCATACCTCAGCCACTCAATTTCAATTACTTCTTTATTGGCATATCTGTGCTCTGCCCACAGATGCATCCCTTCATAGCAATTGGTGCAAAATTAGACAAGCTTAACAGAAAGTGCAACCCCATTTCCAAAAAAGTTGGGATGCTGTGCAAAATGTAAATAAAGCCAAAATGCAATGAAGTGCAGATCATTTAAACTCTGTATTTCATTGAAAATAGTATAAAGACAACATATCAAATGTTGAAACTGAGAAATTTTATTGTTTTTTGAAAAATATTTGCCCATTTTGAATTTGATGCCAACAACATGTTCCAAAAGAGTTGGGACGGGGGCAACAAAAGGCCGGTAAAGTTGTGTAATGCTAAAAAAAACACCTGGTGGTTAATCGGCAACAGGTCAGTAACATGACTATGTATAAAAAGCATCCCACAGAGTCTTTCAGAAGTAACGATGATGAGGTGTTCACCACTCTGAAAGACTGCATGATCAAATAGTGCAACAGTTCAAGAATAACGTTTTTCAGAACTTTTGCTTTTCATCATTTATGGTACATAATAACATTAAAAGATTCAGAGAATCTGGAGAAATCTCTGTATGCAAAGTCCACAAACCAGTATTTGCTGATCGTGATCTTTGGGCCCTCAGATGGCACTGCATTAAAAACAGACATGATTCTGTAGTTTTGATATGTTGTCTTTGTACTATTTTCCTTTAAAAATATGGTTTACATGATGTGCACATCATTGGATTGTAGTTTTATTTACATTTAGCACAGCGTCCCAACTTTTTTGGAAATGGGGTTGTAAATAAAAAATGTAGCATACCACTCACAGCCAGTTTCAATACTCATTTTAGCTAGCCCTTGTCTACTTATTCTAGCCATCACTGACAGCATCTTAAGGACCACCCCATTACTTCATTAGCTCAATTGAAGTCTGTTAGGAGAGCCTTTCCCTAGATCTACTGTTAGCTTTAGTATTAGCTAATCTGAAGGGGCCTCAGTTGTACACACTTCCTTCTTGTTAGATGAAAATCTGCTGCTGTAATGTAAGATGACTGAAAGATTTTCCTGGTTTGATTAATTAAAGGTTTCCAGAATTGTGCATCTGCATTTTGTTTTGTGCTATGGAATTTTTTAGTCATAGCACAAATGCTACAGATGCTACCAAGTGGCCTGAGCAAAGTTCTTATAGAAATGTCTCTCCAGTTGATGGACATCTTGGCAACACAGACTGACACGCAATGACGTGGCGGGAATTTTGGTTTGGCAAATCTGTGTATAAAAAGCCACATAAACATTTAAAAAACATTTTTGATATCACAGATAAATCTAACAAAAAATATAAATAGTTTGTAATGTTTGTTTCAAATAATGCGCCATGTTGAGTGATAACAGATTTCATATTCATTATTCAGCCAATGTCGTCTCTTCCTTTATAACCTCTCTGGCCTGAGCTGAAAGTTTGATAGACATAACAATAGTAGCAGAGCAGCGAGACGGCAGGGCGGTCAAAACTGGTAGATTTTTGCCAGAATTGTGCAAAGCTTGTCCAACCAAACAACAGTTGCTATGAAGCAATGCAGTTGTGGGTGGTGCATAGATCAAATGTTGATACATACAGTTGAATGCAAAAGTCTGGGTGCCCAAATTTAACATATGGAAAAAATATAAACATAAAATATGTTACACTCAAAAAATAAATAAGAATTGTGCACTGAAATTATCAGAAAAGAGGCATATTTAAGTTTGCTTCTTATAGACCCTTTAAGAAAAAAACACATTACCTTCATATATGAACCAGCACACTTTACATGTTAAAAACGAGTCGTTTCATGTTGCATGTTGTTCCAATGTGTTTACTTGTTAAAAGTTTTGCATAAACTTTTGCAAAGTCTGAACCAAAATGCTCTGAAGATGCTCACTGAGGGCTTCCATATTTCCGCAGGCATTACCACAGCATGGACGAGTTCAGCCATTATGATCTACTGGATGCCAGCACCCAGAGACGCGTGGCTGAGGGCCACAAGGCCAGTTTCTGCCTAGAAGACACTTCCTGTGACTACGGCTACTACCGGCGCTTTGCTTGTACCGCTCACACGCAGGTGAAATGACTCCACCTCTCACACTAGTTCATGCTAATTTGAGGAACAGTTCAGCTGTTTTCCTAGTTTTCCTACTACCCCAAAATGCAGCTCCTCCAAGACATGTTTGGTGTCTGAAGTTTGCTTCTTTAGTTTTGCACTGGAGCCAGAATGCTAATGTTTACCCGCTATGAAACAATTAGCATTTTGCTAACTGAATGTCACAGTCATCAGACATTTGCCTCAGACTGTGGAGTTGTTCTTTAATCCGTAATAGACTTCATGATGCGCTGTCTGACACTTTATGACACACTGGACAAAAGAATGAAAAAAAATTGTGCTTAAAGATGAATGCTACTACTGTTTATAGCTAAATTGAGGTATATTGGTCCAATTTTGCAGATGAGTTAAAATGAAAAATTAAAAAAAACGATGTAAAGAAGATATAAAAATCGAGGTCATTATCTTCATTAAAGACTAAGCACTGTTGTTTTTTTAGAATAATGCTACACAGTGTTACGTAAATGTTCAGCACAGCTATGTCTTCACACGGCCCACCCACTTAGTCCCTGCCGGCGGGTTGAAAGTGCATTTTCTTCTAACATGAGCTTTTTTTCTGGCAGCTACACAGAGGCTGCTGTGAGAAGGATGAGGCTCTTAAGAATACATGCTGAGGGTGGGTGTGTGTGTGTGTGTGTCTGTATGTGTGTGTGTGCAGGGTCTGAGTCCAGGATGTTACGACACTTACAATGCCGACATCGACTGCCAGTGGATAGACATCACTGACGTGAAGCCTGGAAACTACATCCTTAAGGTAAACAACCCTGTAAACAAACTGCCCAGGGCCTCTAAAATCCGATTCAGAAAGAGAATCTTATATTCGGCATTTACAACACATTTCTCTTGATGCAAGTGTCAAAAAAAAGGGAAAATATATTATATAATATTATATTATATAGACAATACACAAAATAAACTACAAGTAGTGTTAGTGGAAAAAGAGGAAAAAACATACTTCTATGATACAACTTCTGCTAGCCTCCGTATAGGATTCTAGTAGTTTGTTAATGCTAAGCTAACTGCAATTCGAACTTGTTTGGTCGGTCCAGATTAAACACTAACATGTAACATGAAACCACAGAACAACACTTGCAAAGCCAAGCAAACAAGACAGAGACATGGGCTGTGTCCAGGCCTACATACAACCATGCTGTACGTACTAATTACATTGTGTACTGCTATTGGTTATACACTATTTTTATATACTACTTAGTAGGGCAGAGTGAGGAACCTGAGGACAATGGGCCTTATTCACCAATATCTTCCCAAGTTTTTTCTTAAATGTGTTCTTGAGAAAGGTCTTAAGAAAAAGTCTACATGATTCATGATGTGTTCTTAAACCTCAGAACAAATCCCAAAAAAAGATTAAAAAAATGTCAGAATCCTCATGAAAACTGTGTATGTGGGTTTTAAAAAGAAATTTCTTCTTAAGAACGGTTGGTGAATCACGCCCAGTGCAAGCGTGTGGCGACTGACAAGACACAGGTGCAGAACATGAGACAAGGCAGAGCCAGAGCAGAGCAAGGAACCAAAACAAAAACAAGAAATGACCAGAGACAAGAGGGACAAAGTAAACATGGAGTGAACAGACAGAGACAAGGCAAGGCAGGAATGTTACAACTACGTTCAGCATTCAAGCCTCAAGCCAGAAAAAGACCAAAAAATCTGGCCTAGAAAACAGTCACAATTTAATTTGCAGTCACAGCACTGGTCAGAAAAATTTAATTTGATATTTTGCCCAAATTGTTCAGACTTATTCTTAACTTGTTTGGGTGAGTGTTGGTTCCGCTCCTGTTCTGCTTTCCTGTTGATCACTCCGCTCACTTTGGAGCTTTAGCATTTTATTTTAGGCCAAAAGGACCCCAAAAAAAGAGATTAGAGAATAGGGACTGTACATTTCAGTTTCTGTGCTAAAATATGCTGGATGTACTAGGAATTTCCTCTGCAGTGTTATAAATTACTCAGTAGTGCTCCTACACAAGTTATGTTTGCTTTTACTTAAGGCCAATCTATCCACCTTTGTACAAAATAGGATTACAATATCTATTACTGTCTATTGTTTTTCTCACTAGGCTGACAACAATAAAATATTATTGCTGAATTACAATAAACAAATGTTTTTTCTTCTATCTACAGATCAGTGTTAACCCAAGTTACCAGGTGCAAGAGTCTGACTACAGCAACAATGTTGTGCGGTGTGACATTCGCTACACCGGCAATTACGCCTACGCATCAGGATGTCACGTCTCATCGTGAGTGCCGTTTATATTTTTTGCTTATGGTTCTTGATCAAGCTAAGACATTCATTTGGATCCTTGTTTTCTGAGTGTCATGTAGATTAGATCTTCATTATTGAGGACATACTACCATGCAGAGTTTTGTATTCTTCTTTAAAACTGCTAATTTAATCTTACAGCCAGAGAAAAACTGTACCTTTCAGAGCACAAACGCTGTCAAGATGTCTTTAGTTATGGAAACAAACATTATACACATTTCCATCAACAATGCAAAAATGCTCTGTGCAACAACTGAAGGACCTTCAAAACAGGCAGAAATTGTATTTTATGGCCTTTGTCCAAACCCATTCCCTGCTGAACTGTGACCACAGATTACCTCAATTCAGCAGACTCACCCAGGGCCATTCAAACTGTTTTCCCAATGTTTCAGTTCACAATAGCCATTAAAATCCAAGCATTCTTTTCCAAAGTTAAGCTCCAGGCATCCTTCTGAAACTCACTGATACTGACCAGCATTGATAATACATTGCACTATATACCGGAAATTACAATGTCCAAGACGCTACAGTGCAGCATGCATCAGTTCAATTGATTCTGCTTTTAAAATACTTAAAAGACTTTAAAAGCTGATAAATAAAATACCCAGAACGTAGAGGATTGCAGATTCAGAACCACCATAGGTGTAAACTAAACAAATTCCTCAATATCTAAAATCAGCTGTCTGAAAACCTAAACCTTTTCTCAGTAAGGATGTTTTTAGAGCTAAATGACATGTAAACTTATTCATTTCAGTCAACTCAATCCACAGCAGATGTGCTGGATAATTGATGTTCATGCTGAAGTCTGGAATGAACAAATTCAACATGATGTTGCTTTCACTACCAATCCACTTTAAAACGTAAAATCACCATGCCTACACACTTAGAAATGATGGTTCTTCAAGGGTTCCTTAGTAAAGAAAATTATTCTATGTAGATCCACGAACACCCAAAGAACCCTTTGCCTGATTAAAGGGTTCTTCAGCTTGATGGTGAATGTGCTGTAGCTGGTTCTCTATGATAGAACAGCACCAAAAAGGGTTCTGCTATTGTTACAAGTTTGACATCATAACAGTAGAAGAACCCTTTTGGTGCTACACTGAACCCTATTCAAAAAGGTTCCATATAGAATTATCTACAACACATTCACTATCAAGCTGAAGAAGACTGTTACGATGCGAAGCACCCTTTAATCATGCAAAGGGCTCTTTAAGTGTTCATGGTTCTACATAGAACCATTTTCTTTACTAGAGAACCATTGAAGAACCATCATTTTTAAGTGTGTATAGCTACTTCAGACGTGCATAAACTAGCAATGTAATGGTACATATATTTTTAGGTTTCATATGATTTTTGATTCTGAGGTCAAGACTTGATTCGATTTTTGATGTTTCATATACTAAAATATTATAAAACACAGACTTGTTTGCCTCAGATAAATAAAATCTCTTCAATAGAACTTTTTAACGATGCCCTGTAACAAAAAAAAAAAACAAAATTCCAAACCCCTTCAACTCGTTTCAGTGGCGGTTTTAACAAGCCCTTGTCCACCTGGATTCCTCATTTCCCCTCAGCGGAGTCCCTGGCGCCGTCTTTAGAGCTGTTCTCAAAAAAGGTTCCATAGGAGCTCAGATAAAGTTTTGTCGCTGTTGTGCAGAAACCTTATATCTCTATTTTTGTTGTTTTATTTATTTTTTATTTTTTGCATAATACGAAAACTCTAGTTACCCTTGTCTTGTGTCAAAATTCCATGGTGAATGGACCAATATAAACGGTCCAAAATTACTTTTCTCACCATCACAAGTTAAGAACATCTTTTCTGTCTCCTGTAAAGTCAATTTTAGAGATACAAGGTTTTGTTCTGACAGTGGCATTTTATTAGATGACCCCTCAGATGGTGAAGGGATCTAACAAAAACAAGTGTCAACTTCAGCAGCAGAACTCTCCCAGAAATCATTGCAATCTGACACATTTCCTTTTTCAAACCTGAAACTAATAGTGGACAAAGCTGTTTATAAGCCTAAAATGTGTAATATTTCAAAACCCATAACATTTGATTTACTATGTTTACACTGAATTTAAGGTAGCAAACTACTCCATGACGGCTGATACAGCTTCATCATTTTACTCTGGTAGCTCGCTGACCCCTTCTCCCCTTCTGCTGTAAGTGGCCACTTAGTGTAAGGGTGCATACACCCTAGACAACAATAGAGGCATAAGCATGCAGATCTTGTCTGTCTAGAAGGCGTGTACACGGCTGGAGAGGGGTGGAGTTTGTACAGTTCAAAATCCAGCAAGAAACAAAACATTTGGACCAGAAACAAAGAAATATTGGCCATTGAAAGAAGATTTTGGCGATGGCCCTATACAGAGCCAAGCAGACAACAGCCAGAAGTCATATAGAACAGGAAAAAAGTACACAGCATCGCTAGTTTCCTCCATTGCAATCTGACGCTGCGTCAGCGTCTAGTGTGTAGGCACCCTAAGTTGAGGCTGGCGAGGCTATGTTAAGAAAGTACTGAAATGGGCCCTTAGAGTACCATAAGCTCCGCCCAATTATTTCTGATAAGATATACTCAGTCATGAATCATTATTAACTGACTATTTTCCAACCTCTCCTTGTTTTTTAGAATTAAACAGGGTTAGAGTCTTTTTACAACAGATATATGCAAATGAGTTCTGTTCTGATTGGCTTCCAAGTATTGCAATTCATTTTATTGACACAATAACATAAGCCCTGTCCCATTTCACATTGATAGGCCACACCCAAATGCCTAGTTTTGAGTTTTTCAGTATTGTATTGAAATCATACTCAGTCGTACCTGTAATAATATCAGTAATGATGTGATTCTCTCTGTTTTAGGTATTGAAGTGTGTTCAGATCTTCTTCAGGACCATGGGAGACCATTCAGCTACCAAGAGCTTTAATGTGAGCCAACAGGAAAACCAACCTGGAAATATATTTACGTTGTAAGAATGAATAAAGTAGAAGGACCATCGATATATATATTTCTGAGAGACAGTTATGTCAGGAGCAATGAAACTTTGACTCTAATTATTCCGTAAATATTCAGAGATGAAGCTTAAGTACAGTTCTGTAGTGCAAAATTTAGTTTAATTCCTTTTTTTATTCATTTTGACATATTATTGTTGAATTACTTGATATTTCATGTTGGAAAATGGTTAATAATGAACAAAAAATGTTTACAAAAAAAAAAGAGAGTATGTTAGATTACCTTCCTGCTGAAGATAAAATGGTTAATCTGGTGAAAAGCGTCACTGACCAGGAAGATGCCGTCTGTTCATCAATCTGACCATATTTGCCTCAGCTCGCAACTCAAACCTTCATGTTGGTGTGGTTTTAGAAGCTCCAGCTGCTCCAAGCTGGAACCAGCTAGGAGTTACATGCTCTAGTGTGCTACAATGATGATATCTATGTCACTATATTTGTGTATTCTGAGTAGATATTTAACAAAAGCTCATATTACTGCAACACTTTTGTATGTATTATGTGAAAATGACTTGAATAAATCACGTTTCATTCACTCAGTCAAGCTTTTTTTAAAAGTGAAGGGTGGAATTCAATTAAACGGTGCTGTCAAAAGGGAACAGTCATGAAATATGTGCACGAAATGTAAAGCAGACCTCGCTGCAGCAGAAATTGTTGAGATTTTTTAATATGGCCCTTCTAGTGGCTGAGTTTGACACTCCTGTCCTACATGTACCAAAAACATGATCCATTTTTACGTGACACTTTTCCAACCCTCTTCATCCCATAGCATTAAACAGGTTGTTTTGTTACTGTGCCTTTAAGAATGATATGTAAATGAACTTTGTTCTGATTAGCTGTCAAGTACTGGGCGGTCCAAGCCCAATGAAAATTGAGTGAAAATGTTAGAATGTAAAAGTATGTTTATTCTCTTGGAAATGTAGTTAATTAAATGTATAAGTATTCAATATTAACAATACTCAAATACAGTACAAATATTATGTATGTTTTGGGGATTGGAGACCTCTCTGGTGTAAATATGTAATTGCATGCAATGTGAGGAAGAATATTTTGTAGTCTAGGTTGTGCTTCGGACCCCTTCCTTCCCTGAGCGGATGAATCTGATGATTGATAGAGAATCAAAGAGGACTCAGTCAAAACTTGGTGAAGGATACATCTTCTGAAGATATGAGTGAATCATCTACTATTGTCATCATATTTTCATCAGTATAATGCTAATTTTGCTTTTGAGATCTAAACATGCTGTACAGGGCAACTCACAGCAGCACACGCTCACTATATTTTACCCAGTTTTTTATTTTCCAGACTAAGTAACCCCATTGCCAGGGGAGTGGCTAGGCCAATTTTAGAGGGGCTTTAACCCCCCTCAATATTATTTAGCCCTTCCCAAAATAATATACATTACTAGTTCAAATTGTGAGTATTTTGTATTTATTCTTCATCATTCAACTGTGAAATTGTGTCTACAAATTCACTGTATACTTTGATAGCAAAGTATGAACTGGGGGAGGCACTGCTGCTGCTCTTATCCACCACTGCCTGACGGTGCTACTACAGATTTACTAACAGGTGACCCCAGTTATTGCTTTCAATTTTGACAAAAATTGAAGATGTAACAAAGTCATTCAGAGTGGTTCACTATTCTAGAGAACCTTTGCTAAGTCAGAATTGTTTACAGTGGTGGTGATAGGAACCAGATGTCCTTCTCTAAAAGCTCTCCCGCAGAAAGCTATTACATGAAGTGGTTATGAATACTCTGCCTGATGTCTGACACATTGTTTTATGATAGATTTAAGACAAACTTTTAACCTCAAGCCTATTTTTTTTTCATTCAAAAAAAGCATAGACAGCATGGGGTCACCAGCAAAACCAGCAAATGTTGTGGTTACCAACATTGACACTTACACCAACTCTGTCCTGGAACATATCAACAGCTGTGTGGACAGAGTGACAACTCAGAACAGAGACATTCGCCTTCTGCTCAAAGCAAGAGATGCTGCCTTCAGGTCTGGAGACCAGGAGGTTTGCAGCTCAGCCAGAGCCAACCTCAGGAGAGGCATCTCCAAGGCTAAACACAGCAACAAGCAGCGGATTGAAGAGCACTTCAACTCCTCTGACCCCCGGCGTACGTGGCATGGCATACAGTCAATTACTAACTTTAAACCACCCAGCACTGTGCCTCCTACCAACTGTGCCTCACTTCCAAAGAGCTCAACCACTTCTATGCTCGCCCTCAACAGGGGAAATAAGGTGGTTTTCTCCAAAACAGATTTACCACCCGATGAGCAGCCACTTACACTCTCCACCATGGATGTCTCTCACACTCTGAGCAAGGTGAATGCACAAAAAGCAGCTGGCCCTGATGGAGTACGTGGTCGTGTGCTTAGAGCCTGTGCTTAGAGCCTGTGCTAAGCAGCTGGCTGGGGTCTTCATGGACTTTTTCAATTTGTCACCGGCCCTGGCAGTTGTCCCAACTAGCTTCAAGACCGCCACCATTGTGCCAGTGCCAAAGCATTCAACTGGTTCAGATCTGAATGACTTGGCCCTGTAGCACTCATCACCTCCAAGTGCTTTGAAAGACTAGTTCTTTCTCATTTGAAGTCCTGTCTGCCTGTTACACTGGACCCACACCAGTTTGCCTACCACCGCAACAGGTCAACGGAGGATGCCATTTCTACAGCGCTCCACACTGTACTGACCCACTTGGACGATGACACCACGCTGATAGGTCTGAACAAAGGTTATGATGAGACAGCCTACAGTAATGAGGTGCAGCACCGGGCGGCATGGTGTGATGACAAAAACCTGGTGCTCAACACCCAGAAAACCAAGGAGATCATAGTGGACTTGCCAGGAAGGGTAGGAGCCAGGCACACTCCCCCATCTACATCAGCAGAGCTGAGGTAGAGTGCATGTCTGGCTTCAAGTTCCTTGGTATCCACATCTCGGAAGAGCTCACCTGGTCCCTAAACTCCTCCATCATGGTCAAAAAGGTGCAACAGCATATTTACTTCCTGCGGAGCCTCAAGAAAGTTTACCTGTGTCCCAGGGTACTGGTGAACTTTTACCGGTGTTCCACTTAGAGTATACTGACAAACTGCATCTCAGTGTGGTTCGGCAACTGCTCCGCATCTGACCACAAAGCGCTCCAGCAGGTGGTGAAAACTGCCAAACGTATCACAGGTGCCCAGCTACCCTCCATTAAGCACATTTTCCATGATAATATTGATTGCAGTACCATTGATATTTGTTATTTGCTGTATTTAAATTTTTTCTTTTTTTAATTCTCAGTATGTCATTATACTGCATTATACATAATATTATCACACTCTGTATCTTATCTGTTTGCTATAATAAACAAGACTGGAGGGGAAAAAAAACAAACATTTTTCATAAGAGCTGCCTGGGCAGGACGAGGAACATTATCAGGGATATTTCTCATCCTAACCATGGACTTTTCACCCTCCTCCCATCTGGCAGGCATTACAGAAGCCTCCGCTCCTACACCAGCAGACTCAGGAAGAGCTTCTTCACTGAGGCTGTGACCTTGCTGAACTGCCACTTTAACCGCATCTTTGCATTTACTGTACTGTTATTGTACTTTATGTCCTAGTATTACTGCGCTATTCATATTTGCACAGTCTGTTACTGCACTATATTTTTCTAGTTTTACCCATTTTTCATCATCATCAACACTCCACATAAATCTCAGAAGACACGTTTAGGTTCACTGGTGGTTCTGGACAGGAAATAAAATGGCTATATTTGTGTTGTAGTCATGATGACCCCTGGTTCTTTTTACCACCACTGTAAAAAAAAATCTATAGTCTAAACAATTAACCACTTCACACCAAACAACTCTGAATGACTCTGTTTACATCTCAAGAACCTATTTATTCAGGATTTTTGAACAATTGGTGGAATTCCCCTTCAAGCACCCAAATCCCCACTAGCACAATACGAGCAACAACCACTGAGAGTTCAAAAGAATCGGTTCCGTCAACTGAACGAACGGAATCGGTTCAGTAAAGTGAATCAACCTTCTCCAGTCCGGTAGGGGTCAGTGTTTCTTTTTTATTAGACGCAGAAGCACAAATGCCGAACGAGTCCCGCTGAACTACTCAGTTGTTTTTGTACCAGGCTGAACTTGACAGCCTGTGAAATAACCTAAGTAGCAGGGCGTAAATGAAAAAGAATAATTGTTTTAATCACTACAACAATGCACCCCGTATCAGTGTCCATCCCCTCTTTCAGATCAGAGGACAACGCGATGGAAAAAGGCTACACGGTGAGCTGTCTCTGCTTTTCAGCCTGAGATTTATGGCAGTGCTGCATTAAAGCCAATAGAGAAATACAGCTAATAGCGCTGTTATTTTCTCCTTTTTAAGGAGTTTAAGTTGTTTAATGTGATATGAATTGGCATTTTGGGTTGCACATTTACAAAAAATGCAACATAATGAGTTTATTTAGGCTGAAGCCGGTTGCGTTGGTATCTAGGAGTCCTTAATTCAGGAGATTTTTGTACCTTTTCCCTCCAAAAGGTTTTTAAAATCGAGGTGCTGATGAGCGGCAGGCAGCACACGGTGGAGAAACGATACAGTGAATTTCATGCTCTGCATAAAATGGTGAGTTTTTTGGGAGATTTTAACCTGCTTACTTAGGTTACTTTCCTTGCAGCTTCTTGTTGGAACGTCTTGAGGCGCCAGAATGTAACTGCTGCAGCATTTAAGGTGGAACGGAAAATTACAGTAACAAGATAAATAAGAAAAAGAAACCAAATAAGAAAAGAAGGCAAATAAGAAACCAAATGAAATTATATTAAAATATAGATACATAATAGTAGTTTTTGTTGTGAATAATCACCAAACCACTAACCACATTGACCAACTGCTGTTTTCTGGTTGTGATAAGCTGAACTTCAGGCCCATAAAGTCTGGTAGATAGTGAATCCTGTATGTTGTAGGCCTGATTCTTTTATACTACACTTTTAAAAAAGATGGTTCTTCAAGGGTTCTTTAGCAAAGAAAATGGTTCTATATAGAACCAAGACCTCTCAAAGAACGCTTTGCGTGATTAAAAGGTTCTTTGCATCATGAATGGGTTCTTTAGATTGATGGACAATGTTTTGTAGATGCACGATTTTTGGTGATTCTATTGTGTCAAGCTTGACATTGAACCAACAGAAGAACCCTTTTGGTGCTACATAGAACCCTTTTCAAAAAGGTTTTATATAGAACCACTTTCAGCACATTCACCATCAAGCATAAAGATATCTTTAATCATGCAAAGGGTTCTTTGAGTGTTCATGGCTCTATATAAAAACATTTTCTTTACTAAAGAACCCTTGACGGACCATCACTTTTAAGTGTATAAGACAGCTGACACTTAAATTTAAATGTAAGAGAATCAAATTGAGCCTTCCCAGTGAGAAATTACATTAAAATTACTAAATCATCATAATTCTGCATTCTTGAGTTTGGAGAAATTAGAGCTTGGGCAGCTTTGACTTGAGCCTCTGGAGAATTGCGTGAAATAATAGTAATAAAAATAACATTAGTAGCATTTGGAAATGCTGAGAGAGACATTTTCAGATTTTTTTTTGTAGTTTCTCTTCCTGTGTTGCAAAATGCCCACATGCAGTACTTTTAAACACATCAGTCTTAACATGCACTGATTTGATGGTGACGTTTGCAACCAGCAAAGCAATAGCATTCCATTTGTTTTGGGGAAACACCCCTAATAAGCCCACCTAACTCATCTTCATGATACATCATATACAGAAAAATTAAATGCACACAAAAAATTCAGAACATTTATCAGTTGCCTATATTTGAAACAAACAAATTTCAATAATTAACCTTTTTTTCCCTGAAGTACAATTGCTATATTGGTTAGGCCTAACCAGTGTTCCCTTTCAGTACACTATCCAAGTAATTTCTGATATTTAATGAATAAATAAGCAATGTTATTAGACTACTATGACAACTTTCTGTAAAGTTCTTTTTACATAATAGCCCAAACTAACCAGACTGCTCAGATCATTTGAAATGAGAAGTACAATATCTAAATCTTGAGCAACACTTTCATATGGATGATTCTTTTACTGCTCAACCTCAATATTTTGTGAATATTAATAATATTTACCTTATTTGTCCTACAGAAAAGTCCAGGATGACCTTTTGAAGCAAGGTTTTCCTGTGTTTAGGACATTATTAATAAATATACTGTAAATAATTATATTGTCCTAGTACTATTTAAATTATTCCAGTTTTTAAAATGCCTTACATTAAATGTGGAAGTGTGTTTATAGGGTGTATGGGCTCATCAAGGGTTTTTCCATTTAAGGTGGAATGGAAAATTCAAAAAGAAATATTTTAGTTCTTGCTAAACATAATTTTTTTAATATAATGCTTGTTGACCTCCAATGCACAAATTGTGTTTTCTAGTTTTAATGGTCAACTTAAAATTAAAGCCTTAGATTGAATCAGTGTTGGGGGATTCTCCTTTGTTTCGTTATGTTCTTATTATTATTCTGTTTGTTTAATCTAGGATTAGACTTAATCTGTGCTGGGAACTCTTAAATCTTTAAGGAACATTTCACAAAAGCAGTCCTATGACTCCGTTGGCATGTGGGTGTTTAAGTAGTTACGAGGCAGTATGTGTATAGAGTTCATGTCCTTTTCACCCAGAGCAGTGATATTACACAATTCATACAGTCATGCTTCTTCACTTGGGCCAGTTTCACACAGATTAAAGGAGAATTTCTGCATGATTAAGTGGATAATGTGAACAAAGTCATTCAGAGTGGTTTGGTGTGAAATGCTTTGTTCTAGAGAAACTTACAGAGTCAGAATTGTTCACAGTGCTGGTGATAGGAACCAGACGTCCACCTCTAAAAGCTCCCTCACAGAAAGTTATTATATAAATGGTTATGAATACACTGCCTGATGTCTGAGACACTGTTTTACGACAGATTTAAGAAGATTTTGGCCTAAAACACAATGTTTTAAATCCATTTATGGTGGAGGGATATATTCAGGCTATAGAAAGCCAAAATAGTCACAAAAGAGTTCTTTTTTCAGATGCATCACTATTTTACCATCATGAACAGTACACAAAATGACTACATTAGTGTTGTAGTATTGGGGCCCTCTGGTTCCTATCACCACCACTGTAAAGAAATCTGAGTCTCTACAAATAACTATTTCACACCAAACCTCTCTGTATGACTTTATCTATGTTTTAATAATTTAATTGGGCACAAATTTTGAAAAACCATTGAAATTCCCCTTTAAGCCTAGATCTAAAGCCAATGGATAAAAGATTAACACAACTGGGATGGCAGTTTACTTCAAGGCTTGCTCTTGAAGATGTTTTCACAAGACTTTGTTGCTTGTTGTTCATTCTTTATTTGGGTTCCTTGCAGCTGAAGAAGATCATTAAACCCCCTGAGATTCCATCAAAGCATGTGAGGAACTGGGTCCCCAAGGTTTTGGAGCAGAGACGACAGGGACTTGAGCTTTACCTTCAGGTATGGCTTCCATATGTTTAGAAAGTATGTAATAATGCTGATTACATGTGTAATCATTCAAAACCCTTTTTATTTTTTTCTATTCGATTTTTCTATTCAAACTATTCGGTAACCTTGAGTCTAGATGAACTTGCATGCATTGTAGGACTTTTCCCACAGAAATAACCTACTGTCCATCCACTTTGAATCGAAAATAGCTTTTGCTGCTGCTTGATTTGTTGTTACTGGCAATCAAACTCCATTATTTCATTTGGCAAAGCGAACTTATTTTGTTTGACGAAGGGGAATAAAAAGCATGAAATCAAAATCATAGTGCTGCCCCTTCTTTCAAAGATGCTCGATTTGATTGACTTTTCTATTCCCATTCAAAACTTGACACTTTTAGTGCTGATCGAGGGTCAGCTCCGCCCTCGTCCACATAATTACAGTCATCAGGATGTAAAAAAGCAAAAACTAGTCTTGGGTTAGCACTTACTCTGAGAGCGTCTTTAATGCATGACCCCAAACTTCAGTCACTTCACGTGGGCATGTGCTATCATTTTAACCTACACAGTAGAAAACTGCCTTTCCCCACTCCTCCATGATGACCATTTAGCTTTGTGTTGTTTTTTTTCGTAGACTATAATCATGGAAAACGAGATCCTTCCAAAGATATTCCTGGATTTCCTCAACATCCGGCACTTCCCATCTCTGCCAAAAACCGAGAGTTGTGGGTAAGGACTACTGCTGCTGTGTAATTTGGGATTTGAAGAAAGAGCACTTAGAAAGCTGACTGCTGCACTGCAGAGGCCAGTGCCTGTCCTCGGCCTTGAGTTCAGCAGCCTTAAGAATGTTTGGCTTTTATCTGCTTGCTTAATGTGTTTTTACTTTGCTTTCAGGTCATTTGAAACAGAATCAGAAGAGTCGAGGTATGTACAGTTGTATTTTTGTGTGTAAAAAAGGGCTGCAGAATATATTTAAGCCATAAAACACAAGAGGAAGGGCGTTGTCATGAATATTATCGTGGCTGTGATTCGGTCGAGTACAGTAGATAATCACAGCCGCAATGTTATTTGCGATAACACTTTGAGTGTTGTATTGCCTTTGTACAATAGTTCTGCAAAATAAAGGAGAAAGTAAAACAAGAAAGCCCTGAACCTGATATCAAATGCGCAAAAGGCAGAAATTTGCGAAGTGCAGAAGTGCAGCGCCCGGACAGTCTGTGCACACTACATTAAAAGCTAGTGCAGGGGTCGCAACTCAAATGTTAAAAAGAGCCATTTTGTCTTTGCAACAAAAATCAAACCACCTTTTGAGTCCATTTTACCATCTTGGCTGTACGTGTGTCTCAGTACGTGCTAATGTCTTAGTGTAGGCTAAAAATATAATACAAACAAAAATGCAGACTTACTATGCTCAGCTTTAAGCTTTAGCTCAGCTGTATCCGCTTTTCTTGCATCACCAGCAGGAAACTTTTACACAAATGTAGAACAGTTTCTTGTAAAATGTCTCTTAATGTTCTACTTTTTACGAGGCTGAAATTAGTTTCTCGTTCTCCAGCTCCTTGTTCGAATTTTCCCGTTCCACCTTAAATGGCACGTGAGGCGCCAGAATGTAACTGCTCCACCATTTAAGGTGGAGCGAGAAAATTCAAACAAGAAGCTGGAGAACGAGAAACTGACTTCAGTTTCACCTGTTTTTTTTTTAGTGTTTGACAGTTTTCACTGCAGATTAAACGTATCAGGAAACCAGCTTGAGTGATTATAAATGCAAATAAGTCTTTTCATCTTCAAATTATCGATGTTCGTCTTAAATCTTTCACTTTGCCTTTTCGTTAGCTACTAGCTAGGTGAACTAGCAGTTGTATGCTACATTAATTCCAGTGTTTAAGATCATTTATTGTTAAAACTGTGTTTGAACGATCAGCAGAGCTTTATTTTACTGCAAAGGAGGATTATTTTATTTTTACCTAGAAATCTAACTCTGATGTGGAGCCGCAACTGGCCAGTAAAAGAGCTGCAGGTTGCCCTCACTTGAGCTAGCATTTGAAAGAACTTTTGCTTCTATGGAGTTCAGGGGGAAAACCATATTACATGTTTCCATCCATTTTCCACCCAGTTGTAGTTGCTGCCTACTAGAGAACCATCGATCAAGCAATGTCAAAACTTCCATCCAACTCGGAAAGAACGAAACGAGTTACAAACTCTATCACAACTTTTATTGCCAAGGATTTGCATCCGTACTCAGTCTTTGAGAACCAGGGCTTTTGCGCTATGCCGATATACAGCATCCCGTCTTGAAGATATTTTACTGACACAGCGACCCCCCCCCCACTCTCTACAATGAGACCAAAGCTGAAGTTATGGAATCACTAAAGAAAACGGATATTATAGCTGTAATCTGCTCTGTGGACATCCACTGCCACAGGATCTTATTTCACCGTAACTGCTGTAACATTTTATCACAGACGAGTGGCAGCAGCGTCTCATGTGCTCCAAACAAGAGCAGTGAATGAGAGCCTTCCAGTTCACTTGCCACATCACTTCCATTTGATTTAGTAATAAAAGATATTGGAAGTAAATTCATTATGAATCATTACAAATACTTTGCTTTAAAAGTTCCAAGTTGTCACACAGTGAGAGGAAAAAGAAATCCTGTATAGAAAAAAAGATGCATCGATAATCGTTTTATAATCGCATCACAGCCTCTGAATCATAATCGAATCGAATCGTGAGGTGCCTAGAGATTCCCACCCCTACTACATAGTGCGGCTTTGACTAATTTTGGTCAAAATAATGCAGGCCAAGCTTTAATCACGTCAGATCATCTTTGGTTCACCAGTGAATTTCAAAGCAATCCAAGGCATATTGCATCTACAATAACATAGCAATATAACCGCACTATTTTTTCTGTCCATAGTATGCAGCCCAGCATGAAGTATAATTGACACTGGCTTATTATCTAAAGAAGAGTTCATTTAGACCGATATGTAATTTTCATGGTGGCCAGCTGTTATTTTAAGCATGTCTTTTGTAAACAGATGTATGTGGAAATGAATGGGCGTTCTCACTTCCAGAAAGGACACTCCTGTGTGATGAACTGCACTGTCAGCTGTATGCCTGTGTCACGTAGGCGAAAAAGAGAAGCTGTTCATGAGTCACACTGTTCTGCTTTTTCTCTCCCTAATTCCACATCTCTTATTTCTCCCTCCCTTTTTCTTTCCCTCTGTTTTTCTCTCTCTTTCTCTCGCTCTCTCTCTCTCTCTCTCTCTCTCCCCCTCTCCCTCCCCTTTGCAGTAAACTGACACATCAGCCAGCATTGCTCTTCCTGAGGGACCCCTATCTGCTTCCTGCTACGAATGGTATATTTGTTTTTATTTCATTAAACAGATGGGGTGGCAATATGGCAAAAATATATCATGATACTTGAAGATTTTTTTTTTTTTTGCAATGGATGATCTCGTTACACTGTATTTCGAAGCTAAACTGTTTCTAAAATATAAATTTAAAAGGAAAATGAGTTTAATAAGTAATTTATAGTATATAAATGTTTTTGGTCACTAATTGAGTGTGGAGGTGGGGTCATGGTAACTTTCTGGCAGGCCAAATCAAACATGCTCATTGGTCAGTTTTGGGCAGCTGTTTCATAGACATTTATAGAAGGATCAGCAGGCTTTGCTGAGGCTTGCGTGCAGAGTTCTTGACTTCATCGACCTCCATCTAAGTCAGACTGGGTGAATATGCGGTCTTTCTATTGTGACTCTCTAATAACACCATCATTAAGGCTGTATTAGCCTAAAATTACAGGCTCTATTAGCCCTAAATTATTAGCCTAAATTTCATATAACCACTGCTGTGGAATCAACCCTCCCTCATGGTCTGCCATTTTTAGCACATTATGGCCACAGAAGCATCTCTTAAAAAGCAGCCCTGTTTGGAAATCAGTACCCATAAGTAAAGAAGCTGGAAATCTTTCATCACATCAGTCGAATGAATCCGGCTTCCCTCTGAAAGAACATCTTCACACTTAATTTCTTTAAAATACAGATTAAAAGCTAACGCTGCTCAATGCAGAGGCTTATTTGAGGGACAGACTGTGATGTAGGTCTTACAGGCGTTTAAGCAGAATCTGATCGAATGGGGCCTCAATCAGATCCCAGTCTGTTTTATTCCAAAGTTAAAAATGACCTCTCGCCAGATGTGGACCTCTAACCTCACTGTACTTAAAACAACACTTTCTTTGAACTGGACAGCCCTTTTGTAAGTCACTCTGGATAAGAGTGTCTGTTAATGTAAATGGAATCAAGGCATCTGGTACCAAGACTAACTCAACCATATTAACCTCCACTGTGCTTTAGAGGCTACAGCCCAGAGCGTCAGCCAGCAGGGGGCCCCATAGCAGAATTGCAAATGGAATAACAGTAAAAGTACCTGGAAAATGTGCTTGTGATATTGGAGATTGGTCCTTTTAGATTATCTGTATTTTCAAAAGGAGTTTGGTTTTACACTGCATAGCTAGCAGAAACAGAAAAAACACTGTAGTGGTGTGGTCAGCTTGTGGTTGTGGCCCCACCCAAATCATTTTGTTTCCTGGCAACCACCTGGTCCAGTGCTGCCCCAGCTTGTTTGTGTTTTGTGTATCTGTGAATGTGTTTGGAGGGATTTGCCATTGAATTAGCCAGCTCGTTTGTCTTGTTAGTCTAGACTAATTCAAGAGTAAAATGTTAAAACATCCTTTACAGAGAACACACTTCTGCACATTTAGTGCACAGTTACGGTTTATTTAATGAATTTAACATATTGGAAAAAATACAACTGAAAATAGCCATATTTTGTTGCCTGCTATATTCAGCAAATAAACACTAATTGTGCATTAAATTTTGAAGAAGTGTGTTCACTGTAGAGGGTGTGGTCACTTATTGTCATACTTGTGTATTTGCGAAACGTATGATGGGTAGTGAGTGTCAGACTAATACAGCTGAGGAGTGATGTGATTCTGCACTACAGGATATAACAAGACAAATAATATATAAAAGACTAGTTTTGGGCTGAAACACTCCTTTAAGAAAACACTTTGGGCCTCGTTTATAAATGCAACTATTCCATGTTCGATTTAGAAGACATACTACACTGTGATTTGTTTTCTACCACTGACTCCACCTACAAAATAAACAATACAAAACACAGCTAGTGCAGAAGCTCATACACTACAGTAATACAGCATTTAAATGTTATTTTAAGAAAAATAAGCAATCGCATCATTTTACCATCTTTACCGCTTTGTTTATTTCACAGTTAATTCTTTCCAGTTTTTGTATTTTTAACACTGCAAAGTTTGTTCAGTAGGGGGAGCTGTGCACTTACTGCTTAACCCCAAACTCCGCCTACGATCACAGCCATTGGCTTACAAACTGTTGAATGCTGTTTTATTGGTGAAACATCTGCATGAATTAGGGTGTGCTTCATGTAAATGACATGTAAGTGAGGTGCTACTAGGATGGCGCTTGATTTCACACACTTAAGTCGATTCTTCATTTTCGCTCAAATCTCCGCTCGGTATGAAGTGACACGAAAGTTTTGTTAAGGGTAGTCAAATATGCACTCTTTTTGGGCAACTCTGATGAATAAGAGCTATGTAATGAGAGTATGTTTTTATAAATCAGCCGTATACAAATGCCTAGAATAAATTAAGAATGAAATTCAGGTATATTTTATTAACAAGGCCTCTAGATTTCAGTGCAAACAAAGACTGACTAAACTTTTAAGAAAAAAAAAAAATTGGTGGTGTTTTGTTAGGATGGTAGAGATATGCTCCTGTTTTTTTTTTACATTATTGCTATGCTGTACTTTAGAACAAAGTCTTTTCGCTCAAAAAATGCTTTCTCTCCTTTTTCAGACACGTTTTCAAACGTCGTCATTGAGGGCGTAATTCATGGAATTTTCTACCCAGACCTTCAGCCGAGGTAGACCGAAGCTAGCTCCACTTTGAAGAAAACAACGCCTCTAATTAATGGACAAAGAAAGGGATTTATCATTTATACCCTACATCACGTTACATATTTTACTAACACTTCCGGAACCTAATGAGTCCAAACTCCTGCAGTGCTTTTGCCCACTTACCTATGTGCATGAGTGTCCCTCATCTAAATATTACTGGTTTAGCGTATCAGCATGGTCAGATTCATTCTTGTTTAAACTGAGATGAAAACTGATATGCGGTTACCTCATTATGAGCCACAGATCATGCTGCTGTGCAGTTTTTTCTTATACATGGCTATTCAAAGCAGTGCTCTATTCTTGGAACCGTAAAGATAGCCATTACTACAGATAACACAGACCTGTTCAGTAATCAGACAGAAGTATCTGCTGTTAGGACCAATCATATTTTTAATGAGGCATAGGTACTGCTAAGGAGTATTCATTGAGCCATTATCATGCAATTACTATTCACTAGCAAGGTTAGATATTGTTCTAACTTACCTCAACTTTATTAACTCTAATGTAATTATTACCAATCATGATGTTTATGAAAAAAGGGAATCCAATCATGAACTTTAATAGTGCATTGTGGGGGGAAAAAAAACAGTAACAGCTGCTAGAAACTGTGAAAGGGAGACTTTTGTCAAAACACGTTACCAGCCTTTAACTCCAGGTTTCTGGAGACAGATAGTGACACTGCAGTGGAATTAGAGGAGAATGTGTTCAAAATATCAGTTATTCAATTTAGTATAATGCATTAGACACGCTGAAGTCTTTTTTCCATGTATGATGGATGTGACCACACTGACTCAATTTCAAACTGTCCAAACCTTAAAGTAATAGCTCAACCCAACATGCTAATATAGCTAACAATAAAAGGAAGGTATTAGCCACCAGTTATCTATTCTCACAGGGCAAATGTGATCTTATAATGAGAATACACATCTGGGTAAACCTTTGGTGTTGGATGGTGGCAAAATCCGCCTCAAACAAAGTTACGCCCCTCTAGTCAGTGATCGTTAAACATCCAGAGTACAGTCACTAACACAAGCTAGCTAGCAAACTTTTTTCGTGTCATATTTAATGATGACTCAAAACGAGAAGTCCACTAATTTTTCAAAACTTCTGGATTAGTTAAGTTGGCTTGATTAAGCTAACTTAACCGTTTACTTTATTGTTCTACACTTTTTTGTACCGTTTTCACCAGTCACAGTTTTTGAGCTAGAACCAGAAAACTTTGCAGGATCAAACAGTTTAGAGAGGAATAGAGCTTTTAGAACTGATTGCACGTTATGATTCCCCCCGTAGGGAATTAATAAATATTCAGATCTAACTGCCAAAAATGATGTCAAAAAGGACACCTCTCACACTGACATAGCAACCACCTGGGATACCATAGCAACACTAGCAACCACCTGGGATACCATAGCAACACTAGCAACCACCTGGGATGCCATAGCAACACTAGCAACCACCTGGGATGCCATAGCAACACTAGCAACCACCTGGGATGCCATAGCAACACTAGCAACCACCTGGGATTTCATTGCAGTGGTTTTCTCAAGCCAGGTTATAGCTCGTTCACAAACTTTCCCTTTTTGGTTCAGTCACTGACAGAGTGTTTAACTGTAGAGAAACTCACCACTCACTTTCTTTACAGTGGTGGTTATAGGAACCAGGGCATGCCACGTCTAAACCTTGCCCCCAAATTCCTCTAGTCTGTGCTCTTTAAAACATAGAGAGTTCAATCAATAACACAAGCAAAACAAGCTAGTTAGTGAAATGCTATCATTAGTGAACAGAGTGTTTTTTTTGTCAGAGGCAATGTTTATTTTTACTGCATGTAATGTGTTCTCTGCACATGCAACTCACATCTACAATCTTACTCGAAGTTTTTAGGAGACTTTTTCAGCTATGCTCAATCTCTCTGGTTGTCCCCAAACGTTTTTCATTACAAGATAATGTGGCCCTGTGAAACCACCAATTATCATAATTCCCTTTGCATAATGCAAACAGATGGATGTCACTTTCATGCATTGTTAGCAACTGAACTCCTCCTTTAATCATCACTTGCTGGGTTCAAAGTTAATGTTTTAGAAACTGAAGATGATTACATGCGTTAACACTAGGGGCACTGTTGATCTACTGTCCAAGCATTTACACTGGTAAGTGTTGGCCACTGGACTTGGTCATCCTGCCTGTTTAAAATCATGCCAATTATAGCATTTTTACAATATATTTAATATTGACTTAAATGGGAATTCTACTACTTAATAAAATTTTCTGCATAATTCTGCATTATTCATTTTATTTACTATCAAAAACCACAAATGAGCCTACACTTGTCTTCTTGTTTTTATTTAATGATGATGGCAAAGTAGTGATAACTTTTCTTTGGGGACTATTCTAGCTTCCAAAGCCATGCATGTACCCCTCCACCATAATGGATTTTGAAAATATATTTTTGGCAAAAACACTCTCAAAAATATTGTAGCACACATATCAGACATCAGACAGTGTATTCATTACCATTTCATGTAATAACTTTAAGAAAGGGAGCTTTTAGAGGTGGACGTCTGGTTCCTATCACCACCACTGTGAACAATTCTGACTCTGCAAATTTCTCTAAAACAGAGCATTTCACACCAAACCAGTCTGAATGACTCTGTTTACATCTTAACCAATTAATTATGCAGATTTTTTTGAAAAATCAGTGGGATTCCCCTTTAACACAGACTTTGATTTGAAATTGTAATATTTGAACTGATTTTACTTTGTGACACTTGTCTGACATTGTGATTTTAAATGTATGTATGTAGGTGTATGAGCTATGTGCCATAATTCTTGGAGCCCAGAGTTACTTATTGTCTTAATGCCAATTGTATGAACACTGTGTGATGCACTTTAGCCAGACAAAGTGACACACTTATGATTGAGCTATTAATACCTGGTAAAATATGAGTAAAACTGACAGCAATAAAACATTACACACTAAAAATGTCTTGTCTGTTTTTTGTTGTAGCATTTACAGTTTAAAAAAAAACAAAATGCACAAGAACAGTGTTCTTCATAGTTTAATTAAAAAAATGACCATACAGTAGTAAACTGTTTTTTGTCAATGTAATGTTCATATTCGCTCCGTACCCAACAAGTGGAAGCTTATGATTATGTAATACTTATGATTCAGCACAGCAATCGAACTGAAATGCAGTATGTATCACTGGAGAAGAAGAAAGAAAACCAAAAAAGTGTGTTCTATTTAATGCAGCAGCATATTTAGACCAAGACTCGTGAATCTGTCCAGGAAGAAAAATTCATTTCACCTCGTTTCAAGTTTTGCATAGTGTGTAACAGTTAATGCTAAAACTACAGACCTCTGAGGTTGTGTCATGCCCAAATAGGTAAAACAGCTAAGCTGTTTTTCTCTGCAGGAAAGGTCCTTTGTTTCATTTTGGAAGGTAGAAGGATGTACTCCAACAAAAATCAAAGAAAACTTGCCAGTATCTTTCAGTTTTTTTTCTAGAGCAAACTGGTGACACTAACATTACCGCTACTGAGTGCTGACTGGTGAGCATTACCGCTATTGAGTGCTGACTGGTTGGCGTTACTGCTACTAGTGTTAATTGGTTAGCATTACTGCTTTTTAGTGTTGATTGGTTAGCATTACTCCTACTGAGTGCTGATTGGTTGGTGAGGTGTTCAGCTCATTGGCTGAATGAAGCGGTCGCGCTTGCCAATGTCATGAACGTACCTAAAACACTCTTGGAAAGTCCTATAACTGGAGTTTTAAAGCACTCAGAAACAGATCAGCAGTGATGAAATATTATATGCTGTTCTGTGTTGAGAAAATGAATATTTTTTCTATATGAAAAAAAATTAAGCTTTACAAAGTATGATGTAGTACAGAAGCTCCATAGGAACTTATTTATTTTGGACTCACTCTGGAGCGCCTACTGGAGCGAAAATCATTCTTGAAATTCTGGAGAATGAAATAAAATATTTTAACACTGGCGATTTTTTTAACAGTGTCTCATGTACGTTCATGTAGCCAGTGACCACAAACACTTATTCGCAGTAACGTTAGCGTCCTTCTACCAAAAACCTGTAGAAAAACGGAATATACTGCTAATTTTTTCTTTGATTTCTTATTAAAAACATCCTGCTACTTTCCTAACTGAAATAAAGGTCCAGCACAAATGGTCCGAAATTTAAATTTTCTTCTGTAACTGATTAGCTTCTTTCACCCCAGTCTTTGAGGACTTGCTCGTGGACGCCCTCTAGTGTTTTGCAGTAATATTGTAGTTGTATTTTTTGTGAGGTTGGCAGGTTTCTGATATCAGTTCAAAGCACAGCAGTGTAAGCTTGCATGTACCTATACTCAGATTTTGACTCACTCTTTAATTACCTCATAATTTTGAGGGTCCAGTGATGTTTTGGTGGGGAGCAACTTTAAACTGACTACACATCCTCAGAAGTCTATTAAAATGCCATTTTTAAATTCAGTAACACAGACCTGATTTCATTTTAGGAACAGAACACAGGTCATAAGGCCATATTTATACTCAAAATGGGAATTTTTGTGTTTTGCCATAGATATTAAATGTAAACGTAAGCTAAAATTAGTGACCTTTTCACTATTATTATGTGAAATGTTCCCAAATGTTTTGACCTTGTGAAGTACTTTGGGTCAGTAGCTTCAGCAGGGTTACACTGTTAATAAATGTGCCAGAGCACTTTAGACCAGTGCCATAGAAGAACCACATTCGGTTCCGTAATGAAAAGTGGTTCTTCTATGGCATCGCTCCACAGAAATCTCTTTGGCACCTTTATTGTTTTAAGTGTAGGATCAGGCAGCAGACGGTGGTTCAATAACTGTCCACGGCTAACTTCTCTCACAGCTCTGCGTGACCCGTCTCGTCTTTGAGCGGCTCGTTCTGGTTGGCGTCTTCCTCAGGTGCCTTCATGTTTGCGTAGTCGACCTCCCTCCTCAGCTGTTCCAAAGGGGGCAGTCCGAAGGCCAGGTTTCGCATAGCGATGGCAGTCATTAGAAACCTACAGGACACAGACATGTTTTAATCCTCAGTAGCCTTGATTTATTATTCTTTGTTTGCAATAAATTTATATTACATTGTTATATGCAAAGTATGTATATTATTTATTTAAATTATGTATCAAACAAATATATATCTAACAATTTTATCTGTTTTAATTATTTAAATATTCATATTTATTTTAGGAATGAATATGAATAAAAAAGAAAAATGAATAAAAAATATATTTTGTTTTAGTGGCAAAATATGGCAAAAATGTAAAAGATTGTTTCTGAAAAACAACTACTATGAAGCATTTAATCAAATTTTCATCAAAATCAAATCATAATGACAATATCTTCTTTACAATTTGTCAAAACAAATGTGGTTTGGACTGACAGGTTCAATTTTTTGAACATAATTTCTCTGTCAAATTGAGTAGTGCAGTTGAGTTGTATTTATACTCTGTATAAATTATAATATTTTGTTTTTTCTGCATGATGTGAAAGAGTTGAAACAGCAAAACAGCAGTGCCACATAAAAAGACTGATAAACTGACTACAAAATATATTTTTTGACACTGTTTACAAAAATAACACCTTAAAGAAATATAAGTTCGTTAAATATAAATGAATAAAGTAAGTTGATGGTATAATGAGCTTCAATTCAATCAGCTACACACTTAAAGATAATGGTTCTGTAAGGGTTCTTTAGTAAAGAAAATGGTTCTATATAGTATCATGAACACTTCAGATTGTCAGAAAATGTGCATGAATGTGCTATAGACGGTTTTATGTGGAACCTTTTTGAAAAGGGTTCTATTGTTACGGTATCAAGCTTGTAACAATAGAAGAACCCTTTTTGGGTGCTATATAGGACTCTCTATAGCACATTCTCCATCAGTCTGAAGAACGCTTTCACGATGCAAAGAACACTTTAATAATGCAAAGGGTTCTTTAAGTGATCATGGTTCCATACAGAACCATTTTCTTTACTAAAGAATTCTTGAACCATCTTTTTCAAGAGTGTACTTGTTACTATGCAGTTCCTTTACACTGGTAGTTGTTGTTTTCAGTCTACAGTATAACTGGTCATTTTATAGTCTATGCAGTTGTTCAGTGTTCTAGACATACTGGTGATTCTCATTATATGCGCAGAAAAGAGTTCTGTGACATATTTTATCACAATGACATTTTCATATTTGTCCACCACTAACTGACCGTCTTTTAGTATCTGGTGTTTACAAAATTCAGTCGCATCTCTGTAATTACACTGACACATCAGCCTCAGACTCACCCTCGCCGGATCATGTAGTATTTTTTCGTGACGAATCTGTTGAACCGTTCGTGGATGGGCGCCTCTCGACGCTTTTTCTTCTCTTCCAAGCGCTTCTGACGCTTGAGGAAGAGACGCACCACTGGGTCGGTGACGTTGACCTCTGAACCCTCATCTTCAAGGCCAGTTATAAGAGGCTGCAGCTCTGGGGGCAGAGGCTCCGTCTCTGGAGAGCCAAAAACAAACAGTTGTGGGTTTAAGATGTGACAAAAAAAATAAATAAATTTAAAAAAATGCAGAACTTGTGCGCATCTTACATGATGTTTCCCTGAAATTAAAAACTTCAGGCACATATTTTAAAAATCTTACTCACAAAAACTGTTCTTAGTTGTTTGCATAATTCGTAGAATAATGCAGTCTGTCTCATTTTTAAATCCAACATGCAACAAGTTCTATAAAGATTCTATCAAGTTCTATCAAGATCTATAAAGAGCTCAGATCTCATTTACATACTGATAACTGTTCTCATTCAATTATTAGCAATGTTAGCAATTTTTTGCTTAATTACTCCTTTATAAATTTGCTCATTTCTTTCTTTTTCTGCGGCATTAATATTCAGTTATTATTCAATAACTACCATTCATTACGCATTATCCATTATAAATTATTCAGTAACCAATATGAATTATTATGTAATCACATTGAATTATTATTCAGTAACTTCTTTTATGTTGCTTGTCAGTTTAACCTAAAAATTTGTCATGTAGTAACAAGTAATTGAACTAGTTTTATTTAACTCAAAAAATTACTTAATTACTGAATAAATAGTTCATTCAAAGTATTAACTTAGGCTAAATAAAACTAGTTAATTTACTTATTACCACATGAAGTAATTTTTTGGGTTTCACTGATGAGACATTTTTTTAACGGTGTCTGAATTATTTAGTAACTACTATGAATTATTCAGTAACCACTATGGTTGTCTGTACTGACCTGTCCCATTGCGGACTTTCTCCTGAAGCTCCAATAGCATGGTGAAGTTCATCTGCAGCGCCGCCTCAGTGGTGTTCACGTAGATATACATGTAGCAGGAAGGTACCTGGGACACTGTGTAGACTTTATGGTACGCTCCAGCAGGAAGCTACTCACATACAAACACACACAAAAACACAATATTACACATCTAACAGATAGTAATGAGCCGCTAAATCTGGCTCAGCCCTCCTGCTATGTTTGTGTATGCACTTTCTTTTGGATCCCTGCTAGCTCTTAGCCATAATAACAACAAATCAACCCTCTCAGTCTAACAGCAGTGAGTGCAGGTCAAAGACTTTATTCCATGCAATTGTTACCTGCATCTTGTCTCCTGGAGCCAGCGTGTAGTTCATCTTCTCCTCCACTATCTCCACCTTCACCTCACCCTGCAGCACCTGAACACTGGTGTTCCCCAGGTCCTCACTTACATAGTTCTCCAGATGCAGGCCTGTCAACAGGAAGTTCCACAGAGAGGCCTAAACCCATACTCCAGCACAAGTGTTGTTTACTCCACTGAAATAATGACTCAAGTAGAAGTGATAGTAAACTAGCAAAAAAACAACTTCAGTAAAAATAATAAATAAATAAATACAAGGGTCGATAAAGTACTACAGTGAAACTTTAGTACATGCAGTATCTATATGCATATATCAGTATAGGAACTGAAGTCAGTATTTTTGAATATCCTGCTAGTCATGAAACTGTAAAATATGGATTTTTGATAGGCATATTCGCTTTTTTCTACCTTATACATTCTCATATAAAGAACCATAGGATGTCTAAACTCTCCACCAGAGGGCAGTGTAGAGCCTGTCTTACATTTTGGCCAGAGTTTCTAATCTGTTTACTCCAAAGAAGGAAGCAGAAAAAGATTACTGCAGCCAGCTAAAGGCTACCACACACCAGACGAGAAGCAAGGCACAGATATAGCATATAGGAAGCGTCACAGAAAAGCGGCAACACAAGAAGCTCAAGCTCATTTTACACTAAATTTAATTTAGTGTAAAATGTTTTCAACATGAATTTATTGTTTGGTATCAGCTAAACAACTAACTCAAACAACTAGCTAAACAACTAGTTCCTTACAAACTGACTTTTTTAAGCTGAAAGGTACACTCTTAAAACAATGGTTCAAGGGTTCTTTAGTAAAGAAAATGGTTCTATGTAGAACCACAAATATTTAAAGAACCCTCTGCATGATTAAGGGGTTCTTAGCGTGATGAAATAGTTCTGTATGTGCTCTAGATGGTTCTATATAGAAACTTTTTGAAAAAAAGCGTTCTGCTATTGCTACAATCTCTTACCGTAAAAATAGCACAACCCTTAAAGAACCATTCTCTTTACTAAGAACCATCTTTTTTAAGTGGGAGGTGAAACACGATGTAACTAAGCTAATAACATTAGCTGACTGGAAAACAGATGGTCAGCATTTATCTGTTTATTTAAGGTCTTTAGATCAACGCCCTATGGATTTGTGTCTGGGTTTAACAAAAAAAGTAAAAGTAAGATGTCTCTGGTGGTGGCGGTGCGTGGTGGCCTGTACCTTAATTTTTGCGGTTTTTTTTCAGAATTATTTAAATATTTTATAAATAAGTCTTTACAAACTTGAATATCAAATTTGACTGAAATGCCCAATCCCAAAAGTTCTTTTGGCTCTATTGTTTTTGGTCTAAGTTCTAAAGTGTGAGCAACAGTGAAGCAGAACAAGAGCTGAACCAACAAACAGAATGAAATTAAACCCAAAAAAGAAAATTAGGGTATAAATGCTAATGATGAAAAAGCAGATTACTTTCCTCAATAATATACTTCAGTAGAAATAAAAGTAAAAGTATTATTATTTGAAAATACCCAGGAAAGTACAAATCCATTGAAAGTACATGTAAGCATTTTGCACCTAATATGCTTAGCAAATGTGACTAGCTGATAACCACCTCTGATCAAAGGTTAAGAGCCCAAAACTCTGGCTCTTTGCCAAAACTGTGTTGTTTTCTAAATGTGTTTCATCTGGAAAATTAAATATTTGGTTTCTTGGTGACAATGGCACCTAGATTTATATTTATATACTTTCCCTACCTCTTTAGGGTATGGAATAAAAAACGAAATATTTTCATCTATGAAGGCTTGTTGACACTAAAAGATAAAAGAACTCTATACATGCATGGAGGGAACGGTATGGACACTGCTAGATACCTGGAAAGTCAGCGATGAAGACCACCTCGGTCTGGTTATCTAAAGTCCCCTCAATCTCTTCAAACTTCGCCCTCCAGGGGGACAGATCCACCAGCAGAGGCATGAGCCAAGGATTGGGCCGGAATGGAGACCAGTCCGCTTTTACAATATCAACACGAGGGTCAAATATCCTACAAGCAAAGGAAAATATTACAGTAAATAAATGTAAATACCTGTACAGTAAATGTACAGTAAATACATGTAAATTATGGACTGGACACAGCTCAAATACTAACAGTTGAGTTTTGCCAAAATAGTTTCAGGGGTAGTCTTTTGGACAGCCTTAGACTAGGCAGCATTTTGAATCGAGATTCTCCATTGACCACAATTCAATTCTTTACTCTCATAACTACAGATCATACACAGAAGTTAAGCCGTATGAACTGAATAATTTCAAATAGTTCCTAATAATATAATATAATATAATATAATATAATATAATATTTTTCTTAAAAACAGCCTTGACGGGTTTGTCAGTCCCATCCCTGGCACGCCCCTGACCTGCACAGCCCAGTTATTTCCCTCTTCTAGCACATCTGTTTTTTTATAAGATTGATTACCCTTTGGAAAATGAAACAGATGTGAAAAAGGAGGCAAACTATGCAACCCAGATTTTGATTAAACCCTATGCATGTCTACGTTGGTCAGTAAAATGGAGCAGTATGTGGAACTGGAGCTTTCTGTGAGCTACCGTGTTTCCTATCAATGCATAAAAGAAACTCCATGCTGCCTTTATTGTTGGATGCACTGCAACAGTTTCTGAGCGAACATGTGCACACATTTAGCAATTCACAACCTTGTGGAAATGACTATTATTGATTAATTTCACCAGATTAACAATGAAAAGCCACTGAAGTGTGAAGTATGGAAGTATATTCCTATTAATGTGGTTGTTTATGTTGTGAAACTGTTATATCATGTGTACGTACATATATACATAGATTGAATTTAACATATTAGAAAAAAAATGTTATGCCACATTTTTTATTTTCTGTTTGATTTCCAGTGTGTTAAACTCAAATAAATAGAAATGATGAACTAAAATTTGCAGAAAAAAACGATATTAAAAGGCAGAAATAGACAGCTCTAGAGGGTTAACACCACTGCTGTGCTGTGTGGTCAGCGCTGCTCCTCACCTCTGCTGGAAGCGGTCATTAATAGAGACCCAGATGTCGAAGTAAATCTGTGGGTCGGTGATGTTGAAGCGAGGGAGGTTGCGGCTCAGGCAGGTGGCGTACTGCTTCAGCATGTCTCCATGGTCCTTCCACCGTCGACTCTGAGTAAACACCTACAAACAGCAAACAGTTACAGTCCAGTCCATAAGTTTTTGGACGCTTATTTTATTGGCTCTGTATTTGACATTGTACTTGACATGTCGAGGTGATGTACATTCTCATCATAACAGCTATTTTTGCAGTCCTCACTTGAATGGATCATAAATAACAAGAGTGCTAATAAAAAGTCTAGAGTTGGTTCTAGAAATGGCATTTGAGAAATGTATGAATGTAGAATACCAGCAACACTGCAAAAATCAAGTATTGGATTTACTTGGTTTTTAGAAAAAGTTACTTTTTTCAAATCCAATATCATAACATCAGGCTACAGCCTATTGCTGACAGCACAGTGGTCATTATACATATTTCTCACAGTCCCATATATTGATATAAAACAACAGAAAGACTGTGTACATATCAGTAAGAATGCTGGATTCACAAACACAACCAACTGTGACTAAGCACCTGGAATAAAATACATCAACATAGTTGCCATGAATAAGCAAACCTAAAGACAAAACTGTGGTAATGTAATATATTCTATTCACACTGACAAACATCATTAATCATTTAATGTCATAAATTTAACACATCATGCTTTTAATTAAATCAGCATAAGCATTTCTGATCTAGTCTAGTTTTGTTTATCACACCTCTCTGTGCTGACAGTGTGTGACTCACCCCCGGGTTCAGGTACCCGACCTCTCCCGTCACTCCATCTCTGTAGGTAATTTTAACATGCTGGTGTGAACGAGAATGGACCATCATATCCCACGAGTAGCCATAGAGACCATTAGTCCAGTTATTGTAACCCTGCAGAGAAAACAGAGACATCAGATCTACAAGCCTCAGCATTCACTTTTCATATCTAATGCATAGAATATGATACAAATAATTTATATGGGAGTAAAAAAGTATTTTAACAACTAATACTTCATTAACAATAGCTCTTACAGTACCATTCAGCTTTATTTGATATAAATAAGCGTAATAAATGGAAGTATCTTTTTTTTTACCCAAATGTAGCCTATGGCCTTACATACAGTATGCGCTGTCATAAGAAAACCTTGTATTTCTCATGAAAATTTTATAGGAGAAGGAAAAAGTTGCCCTTAACATCTTTTCATTGTACATATTGTTATTGTTACAATGTCATAATCAGCGGACCAATAGAAATGCTCCAAAATTACTTGTACAACAACTTATTATCCATATTTCCATTTTCTTTTATGGTTTCTTAAATTTCCTGAGGTGCACTTATAATGCTTAAGTGGGTTTATATACCAAAAACATTCATAATTCATTTTTACTTGACTATTTTCCAAACTCTCTTCATCCCTTACAATTAAACAGGCTGTTGTATATGTGATTGAGCTCTGTTCTGATTGCCTGCCCTGTATTGTGGCTCGCTTAAAAAGGAGCCCAGACTTAAACACTCCTTATAACTTCAGTGCAAGTGGGTGGGACTGAATATGAATATAATGGATATATGTAAATGTGTTGGTTTTTGTAACATTATAGAAACTTTTTGAAAAATGCACTTTGTCTCTGTATATGAGCAGAGTGAACAGCATGTTTTGAAACTTTGAAACTTTTGTGTTTACATATTACAACAAACTTTTTTTTTAACAAAAAGTGAGGAAAATGTGTTTTGTGATGATTTGGACCCTTTAAGAACACTTTTTCCTTCTGCTGTAAAGTTACCATTTCACAGATATGAGTTTTTCCAGACAGTGACAACAATAATGAGGTACAATCATTTAAGCATTTTCCACTTCTATATAAAAGGGCCAAAAAAGGGTTTTTTCAAAACGTCTAGGTGTCTGTTAGCTATGAAATGTTGACACAATGTGAAGTTCAGTTGCTGTTTTTAAAAGGAGCTCTGAGATTTTCTAACGACAGTGATGAAATGTATCTGTGTTGCTGTTTCTCATTGAACTGACAGGAATATTTGCTCTCATTGCGAAAGAAAACCCTTTTGTCCTCCTGAACTGCAGACATTCTAGATCACACTGTTTAAAGAGGACATGCACTACATGCACCAAGGCAGAAAGGCAAAACAAATCTTTTTTATAAACCAACTTCCTTAAAAAAGTCAGACAAAAGGCTACACAACATCCTCATCTACCCCGACTGCTCCAAACGCATGAAATTTGTATAAAAACGATAATCTGATTAGACTGAGTTGTTGTAAAGCTAGCTATTGGACACAGTTTACCGAAGGGCCGTATCTGGTCCCAAGGTCGTACAAACTGCATGCCTAAATCACACTTAGCTTGAACCACACTGAGTTATTAAAGGGCCAATATCCTACATTTTTCTTGTATTTTTTTTTTCTTTGAAGAAAATATTTTGGGTACAAATTTGGGTAGGTTTTATATACCAAATACATGATCATTTTCCAACCTCTCTTTATCCCTTAGAATCAAACAGGCTGTTTTTGTTACTGTGCCTTTAAGACTGACATATGTAAATGAGTTTTGTTTTGACTGGCTCTGCTATATTGTGCTTGTTCAAAAAGCACTCAGAACTGAAACACTTCTTAAAACTTCAGTGTGCGTGGGTGTTGTGGATTGAATAGGTAGATACAGGTAAATGAGTTGGATCTCATGAAATCACAGAAAATATGAATTCAAAATGGCCTGTTTTTGCAGTTTAGTTTCCATACATGGGTACTGAATCACACATTTTGAAGCTTATGCAATGTTTACGTACTACTTCAACCTCCAATATTAAAAAAAAACAGAAAATGAGGGAGTAGTGTGGTGATTTAGGTATGTAGTTAGCACATAGGGTACATAAGCTTTCATTATTTGTTAGCTACATCGTCCTCTAAAGAAACTAAAGAGACACCAAACATGTCTTGATAGATCAGTAAGTTCTGGGATAAGGCGAAAGTTTGAAAGTTGTGTAAATTCGCTTATTCTATCGCTTTTAAGTCAGAGAGAAGAAATTACCTGTGTGATGAAATGAGAGTACGGCAGGAAAAACTGCTCTGTGATGTAGATGATGGTGAATATCGCAGCCATCTTGTGTCTGAGGCGCGGCGTGGAGGGTTTGGGATGTGTAGATGCGTCTTGCTGTTCGGAGGAGCTGCTGGGCGGACTAGGGTAAATGCATGAGGAGCTGGGGCGGGGGGTGGGCGATACCAGAGGTAGAACGGGCTGGAGGAACTCTGGGAAACTTCCAAAAAAGCGCCTCGGCCAATCGGCGTAGCAGAACAGTGGACTAGTGGCCAACATGGTGTAGGAAAACATCCCTAGGAAAAAAATACAAAGTGTTACAAAGTCTCTACAGCAAGGGCCTCAAACCCGAATTACCAGGGGGCCACTAGTCAGTATACAATTAATTAAGTAAACAGAATACCGTTCATCAGAGGTATTACAAGAACAATTCAACAAATTAAATGTAGTCCATTTTTGCCTTATGCTGTCAATCAGCCAAGACATGTTAGTACAGGAGCTATTGGGCTAATGTAGCTAACAAATAAGAGAAGCCTGGATCACTAATAGATGACATACTGTTAGATATGTGTCATATTATTGCCTAATGTTACAGATAATAGTGTGTCATACAGTGTCAGAAACCACATAAGCAAGTCTATAAAAGATACTGAAAATCTCCACACAATTTGATGTAAGTGTGTGATGATTTAGGTATCCAGTTAGCACCATGCTAAATGGTAAGATGTAAGCTTCTACTGTTTGTTAGCTACATTAGCACTGTGGCTCCAGAGCAACTTCAGACAGCAAAAATGTCTTAGCTGTTCAAGAACCTTTGTGATACGGTGTGGATTTTTCATTGAACTATTCCATTAAACTGTAGTTTAGCAGGAACCACACAATTCACGAAGTATTTCATTTGTGCTAAAGTAAAGGAAAGCCTGCACATTCCTGTGGTGCACATAGACTGAAGTTCGACACCATTGCTCTTTATCAAACATCAACAAGTCTACTTCCTGAGGTTTTAAACACACGGCTCATTGTCTCCAGCCTCTTACCGATACTGAAGAGCTGCGAGTTCATGCAGTGAAAGTAGCTGACAAAGAAGAAGGCGACAGGACGGGTGGCATCGAAAAACAGCAGATAACCAGCCGTCAGGTCCAGGATTAGGCCTCCTCCATGAACCACTATCAGACTGACCAACTCCACAGGCAGGATAACTCTGCACAGCACAAGGAACAAACAGTGACCCATGCTGCACACATGTTTAGAGTTCTCTTTAATTTAACACTAAACCAGCACATGCAGAGCTCGATTAGCTGAAACACAACAAAATATACACAGTCCTACTACAGCTGGATTAGTTGGAGGTTATATCATTTAAGTTGTTACAGAGAAGATCTGTGATTTTAACCCAGTATGAATCTGCAGCGTGTGTAGTTTATACAGTCTGACAGTAATACTTGTGGAGTGATATAAATCCAGTATGAATCTACATTGTGTGTAGTTTATACAGTCTGACAGTAATAAGTGTGGAGTGATTTTAATCCAATATGAATCTGCAGTGTGTGTAATTTATACAGTCTGACAGTAATAAGTGTGGAGTGATTTTAATCCAGTATGAATCTGCAGTGTGTGTAGTTTTTACAGTCTGACGGTAATAGTTGTGGAGTGAATCGTTCTCTGTAGTCCTTTTTCAATTCCCCTCACACTACTAGAATAACAAAACCTGCCGAGAGACATGACCATACATTGTGTTGTTAATACTACTGAGATTGTCCTGTGGAGAAACGCTGACATAAACATCTGGGCAAGGACCTTTCAGTCTGGACTATCTGTGGGAATGTGGAAAACACACAAATGCTTTATCTTGAACCAACAGCTGCACATTACATGGCAGAACCTCCTCTAATCCAGCTCAAAGAGTGCTTCAGTCTATTACTAGACTATTGAATTTTAGCACAAAGTAGCTCAATAAGTCACTATATACTGTCAATGTCTACACTGAATTTTGGAAATACTCCAATAGCCACTGTTTATGACTCACTTGAAAGGGTCAAACAGCCAATGATGAGCCAGATATTTCATTGAGTACCCCTCCACCCAGTCAGCATCCAGCTTCTTGACCCCAGCAATGAAGTACACTATGAAGATCTGTCATAGTGTGCAGATATAGAGAAAAAGAAACGTTACAATATTTTATTATTAAACACTGAGATATGGTCATATATCCAGAAAGGACACTGAAGTTAATGCGAAGTACATTGCTGTCACTATGTCTGTTGATATTAAAACTTAGTGTTTCTGAATTAAAAAAATCAAGTATCTGATCTGGGCATGGCCTAACATTTTGATAGGTATGTGTGATTGAAGGCCATCAGTCCAACACCACCAGTGAAGCTATGCCACTACACAAGAGTGAAACAGGGAGAAATGAAATAAAACAGACTCCACATATTCAGAAGATGTTGCTGACCCCACTGTGTCCACTCACTAAAAATATTACCTAGCTTTCTTATGGAGACTCCTTAAAAAAGGTTCTTATTCACTTTACTGCTGTATCAAGGAAATGCAGGTCTGGCCCGTTGAACGGAAATGGATGAATAGATAGATGACAATAGATAGATGACAACAGATAGATGACAGTTAGGGTTGGTAGGGTAGCTTTTACTTGGTTGTTAGCTTTCTCTCAATAAAAACAAGAGGGAATGTATAAAAACACAGTTTTGTTAATAATGCATTGAAAATCCCAATTAGATATTTCCCCAAATGTAGTCAGAAGTAACAGATAATAAATCAGTCTTATGTGGGAAAATACAGATAAAACTTGACAAAGTGATATAACAAACCTGTGTTCTGAGCAGGGTGTAATTCCACAGCGGCACATGTGCATTCCTCTTCTTAGGATTACGGAGACCATCGACAGACCTGCAGAACAGCACGTACAGCCACAAATAAGCGAACTCTTCTTTTTCCATTCAAAACGGAAATGCTTAAGCTCTGGTCGTCATCTTACCAGTATCTGTTGGCATCCATCAGTGTGAGCTGAAACCCAATGAGGCCGTACAGATAAGAGTGATTGTTCCACGCCGTTTTGTCCAAGAAGAATATGTACCAGTACGTGGATATAAACATGAGGCAGGAGAGGCGGTAAAAACAGCCCAGCATGATGCCAACAGCACCTGCTCAAACACATGCACAGTGGTGGATAATTCATCTCAGGTCTTTATTAAAGCTTTTCCACTTGACAGCATAACGCAGGTCAAACAGTGTGGCTGAAGCACTATGGTGACCAGCCAATTTATCACAAAACCCCTCTCTTGTAGCTCCTCCTTGAGGGTGTTCAGTTTATTAGATGATGTTCACTTTATTACAAACAACTAGCTTGTATTTTCACTCACTGGCCACCTTATTAGAAACACCTGCCTTGTACCTCCACTCACTGGCCACTTTATTAGAAACACCTACCTTGTACCTCCACTTACTGCTCATACCAGAGTACAAAAAGTGTGTCATTAAATATCAATTTGAAATATCGCTGTCCAACGGCAATCAATTTTTTTTAAGAAATTACCTGCCAATACAGATCTGATTTCAAAATTATTGTGCGTCTCTGACAATTAGACCTGTTCAAATGGAAGCACAGTATGTCATCTTTGTAGTTTTCAACAGCATATTTTAAATTGCAGCTCAACTGGTGCATTTTGTCTGTTCCAGCTTAACAAACCTCAGAAAACCTACATTTGATATACGTATGGTGTAATCAAATTTTTGCCATATTGCCCACCCAGGTACAACAGTACACCAATAGAGTGGAGCCAGAAAGTGTGTGTTTCCAAAAAAGTGGCCAGTGAGTGGAAGTGTAAGGTAGGTGTTTCTAATAAAGTGGCCAGTGAGTGGATGTGCAAGGTGAGTGTTTCTAATAAAGTGACCAGTTAGTGGAAATACAATGTAGGTGTTTCTAAAAAATGTACAGTAAGTCATGAAATAACCCATTGTACTGTTTCCCTGCTCCAACACATCTAATTCACCCATCAGTTAATAATAAAGCCCTTCATGAATTCAAGGAACTGTTAGAGCAAAGAAAAATAATATATTGTGCAGTGTTGTGGCTATCTGCGACAGAAAGAAAAGAAGATTCCTCTCTGTGTAGAAGGTCACTCACCAAGAAACATCACTAGATAGACAAAGTACATCCAGTCCATAGGCAGAGGCTCCAGAAAGTTAAAGAGAGGAAAGCGGCAGACAGGTGCTCCATCCAGGTACTTATAGTCCAGGTGACTGAGCCCACGCTCCTGAGTGATGTCCATGGCCATCAACATGCCTGTGGACACAGAGCAGGTTATTAACATGGACAGGTAGCTGTGAGGAAACTGAGGAGTTTGAAGGAACACTTTACCAAATGCTGTACAAACAAGAGAACTTTCCAGAAAAGAAAACTTCAATAAAATACTATTCCCAGTGGAAACCTTAAGATGAAAAGTGGCCAATGAGTGGTAGTACAAGCTAGGTGTTTCTAATAAAGTGGCCAGTAAATGGAAGTACAAGCTAGTTGTTTCCAATAAAGTGGCCAGTGAGTGGAAGTTCAAGGAAGATGTTTCTAATAAAGTGGCCAGTTTTTAGGGAGTTGTTCTTGTCTGGCATGTGGTACGGTATTTGGTGTCTGTACAGCAGCAAGGTAAAGGGTTTCCAATAAAGTGGCCAGTGAGTGTACAATAGACTTCAATCAACATACAACTCACCAAACAGGCAGCGGAAGATACCCAGAGATGCAGGATCTGTGGGCCGATTGAGAAGACACACAAACCGGTGCCATGAAGACAGATCCTCCTTCTCGAAGCCAAACAGGCGTTTCATTCTGGACTCCGCTGGTTTATCCATAGCTGCTTTTCCTTCTGCATGGCCTCCTTTCACCTTTTTGGCCCGCTGAATATACGGAGCACCTGTGATGGTGGTGAGTTATTAGTTATTATTGGGGAAAATTACCAATATTTAAGCTGAACTTTCAATTTATGACATTATCTTCATTCGTAGCTGACACATAAACTGCTATAACTATGCTGAACATCACTAAGGTACCTTCTGAACAAGCTTACCTTAAAGGGCCTAAAACTGGCATTTAATATGTTATTTGTTAGGTTATGTCATATTGCCATATACCAGCACTGCACTTATCAGCCTCTTTGGCTTAAGACAATTCAAGATTTCACATAATTTTCCCATTTGTGTTTCTCACTACAATACACAGCATGCATCACAACACAGGGAAGCCCACAAAACCTGACTGCTAGCCATTGATCTAGAAGCTAATATATATTAGGGTTGAGCAATATAAAACACTGTATCATTATCATGATAAATTATGTCCCAATATGCTTTTCTGAGCATATCATGGATTTCATCAGTACTGACTAACTACATTTCATTACAAAGCAGGCATAATTAGGCCTGTTTAAATTATTTAGTGCAGAGTAGTTTGTAAAACACTGAAAAAAAAAATTGCAGTGGTAGAATTATTTTTTATTATTTTATTGTTATTATTATTATTATTATTATTATTATTATTAATATTGTAGTATTTTTATATTGCACTACAGGTTCTAATTTGTCTGTTCAAACTTTAAATTCAATTAAATCTCAGAGTAACTAAATATTGTAATGCATAATTTATATTGTGTAACTGTCTGGAAGTACTGTGATACAATATGTTTGCCATATCGCCGGTCCCTAATTTATATTAATAATATGTAGTGCTAGCATTAGTGATACAACCCTAGCAATTTGTGCTAAAGGTTTGACCACCAAAGCACTTTGTATTTTTTTCAAAAATTTACTTCCACCTTCATGATGCATCATCAGATGGTTTTCTTAGTCTTTAAACCATAAAATCTCACTATAGACACTATTAATTACTTACTGTAAGAGGAAATCAGACATGTTTTCAACAGATGTAGTGATGATTAAACTGTTCATTTTGCCTGGAGTGTCCCTTTAATATAAACTCAAACACAACATGTTTGAAAATCTCTCCATCCACATACAAACAACTAAAACAACACGGTTTAAGACTGACTAGCAAAATAAAGGCAGATCATTTTCAACGTGAACACCTCCAGTTCTACAGCCCACCTGCACTGCGGCTTCAAACTCTAAATCACCTGATTAAATCCAGAGGGACTCTAATGTTGTAAATCAGGTGCAGGGAAAACACGAAAGCGTGAATTTCTGGTACTTCAGGTATTTCCTCGACGACAACACAGCTACAGACGCAGTGCACTTTATTTAACAGAGACTTAGGTGTGCTGCTGTTTACCTGCTGCTGCCTCGCGCGAGCCTGATTCCATATTTCACAGGTGTGAAACTCTGCCCCAGATGTTTAAACAGCAGCGTCCAGTGTCCCCACAGTGTTTCTGGGCGCACAGGGTGGCGGTGGACACGTAAACAGATGGATACGTGTCAAACACTGGCACACCGACCACGGCCAGCACACTGGAAGTGGAGAGGATCCATTACTAAACGCACATTGGCCGATTCCGGCCACTACGTCACGCCCACTTTCTCTCAGTAGCGCCTCCTATTGGTTGAAGCTGGTAAACGTCATTGTGCAGGAAAAATTAGATTAGATTAGATTTAATATATTGTTATTCTACAGAGTACAGGTACAGAGCCAATGAAATGCAGTTAGCATCTAACTAGAAGTGCAAAATATAGTATTATTTACATATAAAGTACAGAAGGACGGTAGAATGGTAAAAATATATATATAGATATGCAAGTATAAATATAATACACATATATACAGAGAGAGTGGAGAGCGTACAAATGTACGTAGTATGTACCGTGGAGGAAGCATATGTAAAGATAAGTATACAGAGTAAACTTGTACAGTATTTGTCGGTGCAAATATGAATAGTGCAGAAATACTAGGAAAATAAAGTACAATAACAGTGCAGTGAGTGCAAAGATGTGGTTAAAGTGGTGGTTTGGAGTTCAGCAGGGTCACAGCCTCAGTAAAGAAGCTCTTCCTGAGTCTGCTGGTATGGGAGCAGAGGCTTCTGTAATGCCGGCCAGATGGGAGGAAGGTGAAAAGTCCATGGTTAGAATGAGAAACGTCCTTGACGATGTTCCTCGTCCTGCCCAGGCAGCTCTTATGGTAAGTGTTCTTAATGGAAGGTAACTGGGCACATGTGATGCGTTGGGCAGTTTTCACCACCAGCTGGAGCGCTTTGCAGTCAGATGTGGGCCAGTTGCCAAACCACACTGAGATGCAGTTTGTGAGTATGCTCTCAATGGTACAGCAGTAAAAGTTCACCAGTATCCTGGGACACAGGTGAACTCTGCAGGAAGTAAAGACGCTGTCGCGCCTTTTTTACCATGGTGGAGGAGTTTAGGGACCAAGTGAGATCATTTGAAATGTGGATACCAAGGAACCTGGAGCCAGACACGCACTCTACCTCAGCTCTGCTGGTGTAGATGGGGGGTGTGTCCAGTGGCGGTTCTAGGTGTGGGGTGCCAGAGGGGGTCAGTGCCCCTGGGATAGCAAGGTTGGCCCCCCTTCGGCCTCCCTAAATGTGCAGTGAGTCCCCTCACTCTTGTGAACACACAGTGACAAAGCGGCACACCAAAGTAAGAACACATTTTCCAGCTGGACCCTTTTAGGTGATGCGAACATCAAACATTGACTTTTGCCTCATAATGCCTACATTGCGCAATAAGGTAAAAAGTAATTGGCCCCTCTAACATAGCCACTGGCCCCAGCCTGGCACCCCAAGTTCAAATGGTCTAGAACCGCCACTGAGTGTGCCTGGCTTCCACCCTTCCTAAAGTCCACTATGATCTCCTTGGTTTTCTGGGTGTTGAGCGCCAGGTTGATGTCCTACACCATGCCACCAGGTGCTGCACCTCGTCCCTGTAGGCCAATAAATATTAAGGTATTAATATTAATGTAGCAATTCTTGGAAGAAAAAATCCATGCATTGCGGTGGGGTACGTGCAGGATTTTTTTTAACACAAAACTACACATAAAACACATCTTAACCAAGGAACAACAACATAAACAGTAATTATTGTCACTCAAAAGGGGAGGGGGGCACGCCTCCCATGGCTCTTCTTATGGCGCTTTCTGCAAGCTTTGATGGGAGTGGAGCCGGTGGCAGAACACCACAAGATATTACCAACAGAACATTGAAAGTCCGCAGTGTTGAAGAGTAAAGACAACAGATAAAGAGGAGGAAAACATAAAAATAAATATGTAGATAAATAAAATAAAAATGCAGCTTAATGAGGGGCCTTCCACCCAATGACTGCTGGCATAGGCTCCGACCCCCCACCCCCCCGCCCCCGCGACCCAGAAGGATAAGCGGCTTAGGAGATGAGTGAGTGAGTATGTGACCTTAATGAGGGTCTTCATCAGTCAAAAAATGCTCAATTAAAGTTAACACTCTATGGTCTTTCTTGTTTGTTGTATACAAATGAAGATCCGTCTTCCATATATTCAGTTGTGGAGTCCATCCACACTTGTGTATAAAGCATTTGGCACAACACAATCAAAATATTCACTAGATGTTCAATATTTTTCCCAGGAATAGGCCTTCTTGGAACTTTCCTGACAGCAAACAGTCTGTCAGTGTTTTTGGATTTTTATGCAACATTCATAGAAAAGTATGGAGCCCTGCTGGTGACATCCCATATAAATGAAAATAATGTGTGGCTACGCTTTACCAATGTGTGGAAACGAGATCCTAATGCATGGCAGTGACTTAGTAAGGAAAGGTATATAATTTACCACTAAAAATGGACATTAGGAGGTCCAAGCTTGGTAACAGAGAGCAAAGTGTGAGAAAAAAGATTTACTTGTAAATGACTGTGATGTGACTCCAGTACAGTAGAGGGCAGCATGTGTCTGAAAGACGTGTGGAAAATAAGGCTTTTGCTCTGAGGGTGAAAAACGGTTCCGTTGGCAGGTTATTGTTGATGCTCTGACTACTGTGATTTTTTTTACAGCCGTCCATTTCAGCATATAGATAGACAAATATGTAAAATATCATTGCAGGTGGTCGTACATCTGTTTAATTGTCAGTCAGCACTAGCTGACAGGCTGGCAGGGCGTGTCTTCGTGCTTTTGTGAGGAAATTCAAAGCTGCTTAACCTAACTAGCTAGTTTAGTTGAGCTGAGAGCTGAGAGAGCCGGTTTGTTTACCTCTATGTGAAGCTTGAAGCGCTGCTACAGCGGTGGATTAGACAGGTAAGAGTGGCACTACAACACAACACAACACAACAGCTAACTTATGTACTATCTGCACTTACTTAGCTTAATATGCTCATGTAGGCTCTGAACGGTAAGAGATTTAGCCTCCTGTGAAGCTAGATGTAGGTTTGTGTACGAGGCTGAAGTCTGCTTCCTATTCGTCAGCTTCTTGTTCCAATTTTCCCGTTCCACCTTAAATGGTGCAGCGATAATATTGAATAACAGGACCTTAACATCTTATATTTCAAAAGTCGTTATTTCTATGTAATAAAGCAATTTCCTTTCAATTTTAGTCCTTGCCCTCTTAGCCATAGCCGTGGGTGATGGACGAAGCTGAAGTTGGGCTTCTTTTTGACATTTTCCGTTCTATCTTAAATGGTGGGGCAGTTAACGTCTGTATTATTTAAGGTGGAACGGAAAATTCCAATACGAAGCCCGCTTTTTCAGTCTCGTTAGCGAGGTAGCTACGGTGCTATCAGAGAGAGCTGCTTGGGTTCCTTTTACTGGAGGACATTGGTTCGGTTCTTCTGTTCATTCAGAGAGAGGGAACAGTGAAATGTTCATATTTTAGAATAAAGGAACGTGAAAATAACCGCACATAGCCGCAACCTGGTGACCAAACCTCTCAGAAAACAGATCACGAAGTTAGCAACCGCTAAAGAAGTAAACTTGAAGGTAATGGGGTGGGTAACCTAGTAACCTACCTCGGTAAAGTTATTTTCGATATTCGTCTTTTCGGCGCTAATAACATTTGATCGGACTACGGTAGTCAGTAAAGACTTACATATTCATGACAGTACAACCACAGAGAGTGATGCACACCTGTGCTTTTGCAGTTTGGGTGACATTTAACGTACCGCTATTTTGTGTTAATACCATAGAACTGAGACAAGATTTTCAATCGGAAGAAAAAGCATGCACTTCTAGACCACGCCTACATCCATGCACACGCATTTGTTTTCCTCCAAAGCGTTTCTGTGCATTTAAATACATATTTTAATTGTTCATGCTAACAATAGACACCGTCAGACAATAAAACGTCAATAGCTCCATAAACACTGTGTCCATGCACATCTGATTAATTGTGTTATTTGCTCTAAATTATGGTTAGAAACACACACCACTTTAATTTAGAAAAAGGACTTTGAATAAACCTGTAACTAAAATGTACTTGCCAATACTTGTCTTAACAGTACTGAGTATACCTTACCTGTAAAAACTGATATTACCTGTATACTGATATAGCTAGTTAGCCTGATGACGGAAGTTCAGTAATCGTCAGACATTTAGCAGTCTTGAAGGTTCAATAGATCCTTAACCATCTAAAATATTAGTTTAAAAATCAAAAGTATATTTTTAAATCCATCAAACACTAAGTGAGTCAGATGTAAGTTTTAAATCTTGTACATTTTTTCATTTTGAATTTCGATAACATTTTAGACATTGAACATTTAAATCAGCAGTGTTTAGTGCAGATAAGTTTCAGTAATGACACACAAACTTTGAATTTTACTTGAGGATATAATGTAGCTAAAATACTGCTTAGATTCAAAGTGCAGCATTCACTGCAATTAATGCAGCTGAAATGCTTCTGAAGGTTAAAATACAAATATTAATATAAAGTAATTATTGCAGTACGTTCAAAAATCAAAAGTTGTGTATCATTGCTGAAACTTACCTGCACCATACACAATTGTTTGTAGTGTTGGGTGTAATACAGCTGAAATATTATTGAAATTCAAAATATATAAAAATTAATAAAAAGTAGTTACAGCAATATATCCAAAATCCAAAGGCTGTGCATCATTGCTGACACCTCACTGCACCATACACAACTGTTTTTAATGTTGTATATAATTTAGCTGAAATATTATTGAAATTCAAAATACATAACAATAAAAAGTAGTTACAGCAATATATCCAAAATCCAAAAGCTGTGCATCATTGCTGACACATCACTGCACTATACTCAACTGTTTTTAATATTGAATATATTTTAGCTGAAATATTATTGAAATTTAAAAAACATAAAAATTAATAAAAAGTAGTTACAGTAATATATCAAAAATCCAAAGGCTGTGCATCATTGCTGACACCTCACTGCACCATACACAACTGTTTACGTTGTAAATAATGCAGCTGAAATATTATTGAAATTCAAAACACATAAAAATTAATAAAAAATAGTTACAACAATATGTCAAAAATCTAAAGGCTCTGCATCATTGCTGACACCTCGCTGCACCATACACAACTGTTTTTAATGTTGTAAATAATGCAGCTGAAATATTATTGAAATTCAAAATACACAAAAATTAATAAAAAGTAGTTACAGCAATACATCCAAAATTTAAAGGCTGTGCGTCGTTGCTGACACCTCACTGCACCATACACAGCTGTTTTCAATGTTGTAAATAATGCAGCTGAAATATTATTGAAATTCAAAATACATAAAAATGAATAAAAAGTAGTTACAGCAATATATCCAAAATCCAAAAGCTGTGCATCATTGCTGACACTGCACTGCACCATAGTTATTTTTAGTGTTGTATGTAAGATGGCCAAAATATTATTGAAGTTCAAAATAAATCAAAATTAATATAGTTATTGCATTATATCCAAAATCCAAAGGCTGTGCATCATTGCTGACACTGCACTGCACCATACACAGTAGTTTTTAGTGTTGTAAGATGGCCAAAATACTATTGAAGTTCAAATTAAATTAAAAAAATTATATAACATATTTATTGCATTATATCCAAAATCCAAAAGGTGTGTATGACTGCTGACACTTCACTGCACTGTACACAATTCTTTGTAGTGCTGTATGTAATGTGACTGGAAAATAATTGAAATTGAAAATATATAAAAAATTATTTAAATGAGATATTGCATTAGATCCAAAATCCAAAAAATGTGTATGATTGGTGATACCTAGCTGCACCATACACAGTTATATTTGGTGTTGTATGTAATGTGGTTGAAATATTATTGAAGTTCAAAATAAATAAAAATTTATATAAAGCAGTTATTGCATTATGTCCAAAATCCAAAAGTTGTGTATGATTGCTGACATCTTGCTGAACCATATACAATGGTTTTAGTGATGTATGTAATGTGGTTGAAATGCTATTGAAATTCAAAATACATAAACATTAATATAAAGTATAAAGCTATTTCAGCTAAATTATATACAACATTAAAAACAACTGTGTATGGTGCAGTGCAGTGTCAGCAATGATGCACAGCCTTTAAATTTTGGATATATTGCTGTAACTACTTTTTATTAATTTTTATGTATTTTGAAATTCAATAATATTTCAGCTGCATTATTTACAACATTAAAAACAGTTGTGTATGGTGCAGTGAGGTGTCAGCAATGATGCACAGCCATTGGATTTTGGATATATTGCTGTAACTACTTTTTATTAATTTTTATATATTTTGAATTTCAATAATATTTCAGCTGTATTACACCCAACACTACAAACAATTGTGTATGGTGCAGTTATGTTTCAGCAATCATACACAACTTTTGAATTTTGAATGTACTGCAATAATTACTTTATATTAATATTTGTATTTTAACCTTCAAAAGCATTTCAGCTGCATTAATTGCAGTGAATGCTGCATTTTGAATCTAAGCAGTATTTTAAATGTTCAATGTCTAAAATGTCGAAATTGAAAATGGAAAAAATAACTTCAATCTGGCTCACTTAGTTTTTGATGGATTTAAAAAACTTTTGAGTTGCAATTTGATCCACTTAAATAAGACGTTTTCTTTTCTACACTCTCATTTTTTAAACTAATATTTTAGATGGTTAAGGATCTATTGAACCTTCAAGACTGCTAATGTCTGACAATTACTGAACCTCCATCATCAAGCTAACTAGCTATATCAGTATACAGGTAATATCAGTTTTTACAGGTAAGGTATGCTCAGGACTATTAGGACAAGTATTGGCAAGTACATTTTAGTTACAGGTTTATTCAAAGTCCTTTTTCTAAATTAAAGTGGTGTGTATTTCTAACCATAATTTAGAGCAAATAACACAATTAATCAGATGTGCATGGACACAGTGTTTATGGAGCTATTGACGTTTTATTGTCTGACGGTGTCTATTGTTAGCATGAACAATTAAAATATGTATTTAAATGCACAGAAACGCTTTGGAGGAAAACAAATGCGTGTGCATGGATGTAGGCGTGGTCTAGAAGTGTATGCTTTTTCTTCCGATTGAAAATCTTGTCTCAGTTCTATGGTATTAACACAAAATAGCGTTATAAATAGTATGTTAAATGTCACCCAAACTGCAAAAGCACAGGTGTGCATCACTCTCTGTGGTCGTACTGTCATGAATATGTAAGTCTTCGCTGACTACCGTAGTCCAATCAAATGTTATTAGCGCCGAAAAGACGAATATCGAAAATAAAACTAACTTTACCGTGGTTAACCTAATGTATTTATTTAGAGTCTGTAAACATTGTTTTCTATCATGTTGTAGATCTACGACTCTAAATTCCATTGAGCTTGACTTTAAGCTGCCATTGTAAATCAGCTGGTTTGCTAAGTATAGAAAAACTGATTATTTAAAGGGCCCATATGCTATGTTTTATGTGTTTTATTTTTATGTGTCCACTTGTAGCATTTGTGGGGGTTTATGTACACATTTAAAAAAGATATTAGGGTAAATTTGACCTAATAACACAGAGCTTCTGAGCTGCCTGTAGTTGAGTTAGACCAATCAGAGGCACCCAAACCTTCATGTGTTGTAACATCACAACCACAACATGCTGGCAGTTTGGCGAACTACATGAAGAGGTCAAGCCTCAAGCCAGGAAAAAGTGGATATTCTGAACTTCTTGGCCAAAAAAAGGGCCTGAACCATATACCTTATAGATAATAGTCAAAATTTAAATTGCAGTCGCAATATAAGTAAGAAAATAGACAGACAGAAGCTACGTTCCAGCCTGTCCAAACCTTGTTGAGCTTATAAGTCACATCCACAGTTGCTGTAGCTTTAGCTAGTGTTATAAATTTCTGAGTAATATGCTCATATGCTAATGGGGGCTATATTATCATCCCTCCAGTCCTCCAGAGCACAGAGTAGTTCAGAGTGCTTCTTTGACCCTTGAGTGAGCCTTCCGTTTGCTTCAGGTCATAAGCTTGGAAGCTTTTTAAGAAAAACATGAAGGCTCAATCCCATGTCTTCTTTTTACCACTACCCCTCGTTTTCAAGTGTCATCTGGAACTAAGTTACAAGGGGTAGTGGTTGAAATCTTGCCCTACGAAATGGGACCGTCAAATGAAAAAGAACATTACTTCATTAACGGACTACTAGCGGTGCTCTGTAGGTGACCCTGCCAGTCTGCAGTGATAGCAGAGGAGTTCAGCCTCAACCTCACTGCTGGGCTTTAGTAACATTTAGGGAATCATATGCCTTCAAATAGGGGAGATGTGACAATTATTTATTATTGCCCACCCCTGATTCTTCATTGACCATAATACATTGAAACACATTAAACTAAGATAATACAATAGCTATCATAAGTTTTTAGCAGGGAAAATACTCACATTTATGGGTTTCTTTGGTCTCTTGCGCTGCCATCTTGCCGTTTTCTTTTTTCTCATAACTCTCTGTCCGCTACCTTTAGGCCTGAAAGTGCAAAACGAAAGGGATAAGGGCTAAGTGGTTCTACGAGCACCCTGATGGCATTCTAGTTGTATGTTAATGCTAAGCTAACAGCAATTTACATTAACATTTTTTGGCCATTCTAGAGTAAGTTTGGGTATTTGATATTTGTAAAAGAAATAAGGTTTTGTTTGAAGCTTGTAACAGATATTATGATATATCTGAGCTTGTATGTATCAGTTTTACAGTGACCCCTTCAGTAAACATTCCTGGTATACAGCTTCTGTCACTGTTTTCCTTCCTAACAGTTAACCCAAACCTGCTTAGACTATGGCTTATATTCACAGCCAGTGACATATCTAGAACTTCCAGAAGAACTACACTGACTGTTTTACTCACTGATAATCAGAAAGTGAATGGTTGATTCCTCTGTTAGTTCCTTTTTAGGTTGGTAGTTAATCTAACATATGAGGCCTTCTGTATAGTTCCTGAAGTCCTAACGAATGGGAGAGTTTTCTTGGCTGCTATCTATGTAGATATAACTGTTTCTCATTCAGTGTTGCACACTTTGGATGGCTTGGTAAGCCTTTTAGCAACTATTTGTTTTGATCAGGTTGTGGAGCTGAAGGGAGATGGGGTCCCTTGGTAGCCGCTTCCAGGCTGCTCCCCGAAGCCCCGAGCCAGTGGTGGAAGGCCACTGTGTGGGAAACAGGCATGGCTGCGAGTGTAAAAAGAGGAAAAGAGCAGCACATTGTGAGTGTGACAGCGAACCAGAGGAGGAGGACAGCCTGCTGGACACACCACGCAGGTGAAACTCATACACACGTACGCTATATGGCGTGTGAAAAAATATGGGGAAAGTATGTGGGAACTCCTCTCAATTATTCAGTTTAGGTGTTTCAGTGTTTCACACCCATTGATAACAGGTGTATAAATTCAGGCCCATAGCCATGCTGTCTCCATAGACAAACGCTGGCAGTAGAATGGGTCATACTGAAGAACTCAAACTTCTTAAAACTGGAAGTTGAACATGGCACTGTCACAGGATGCCACCTTTGCCTCAGATCAGTTTTTGAAATTTCTGCTCTGTTAGATCTCTAGTCAACTGTAAGTGCTATTATTGTGAAATGTAAAAGTCTAGCAGCAACAACAGCTCAGCCATGACGCAGTAGACCATGCAAACTTGCAAAGCGGGGCCGCTGAGTGCTGAAGCGCGTAGCACCTTCTGTTGCATCACTCACTACAGAATTTGACTGCTTCTGGAAGCAACATCAGCACAAGAACTGCGTCAGAAGCTTCATGAAATGGATTTTTGTGGCTAATCAGCTGCACATAAGCATAAGATCAATATGCGCAGTGCCAAGCAATAGCTGGAGTGGTGTAAAGTGCCCCACAACTGGACTCTGGAGCAGTGGAAACATGTTCTCTGGAGTGATGAATCACACTTCACTGTCTCAAGTCTGGGTTTGGTGGATGTCAGGAGAACGCTACCTACCAGAATGCATAGTGCCAACAGTAAAGTTTGGTGGATGAGGGATAATGAGCTGGGACTGTTTCTCAGGGTCTGCGCCCCTTAGTTCCAGTGCAGGGTGATGTTAATGCTGCAGCAAACATGTACATGTTAGAAAATGATATGCTTCCCGCTTTGTGGCAGCAGTTTATGGAAGGCCCTTTCTTGTTCCTGCATGATTGTGCCCATGTGCACAAAGCAAGGTCCATAAAGACATGGTTAATGAGTTTTGTGTGGAGGACAATTCCAAATTAATGCCAATGGTTTTGAAATGGGATGTTCAGCAAGCTCATATATAGTCACGTGTCCACATACTTTTGACCACATAGTGTATATCACAACGGCAGAGAAACGGATGTTACCTAAAATAAAGTAACTGCCAGTAGTGCTAATTGTGAATGTAAATTAGAAAGGGCCTGCATGTTTGTGCATTATTAAAGGAATGGTTCACCAATAAATCTAATTTACACAGTTTTCCAAAACATAGACAGTGGGCCAAGACATGTTCGGTGTCTGAAGTTTGCCTTATTTCAAATGGATTGTCATCAGTCACCTCATGCTGTAATTCTTTTACTGTCATCAGGATGTCAACAACTTTACCGTGAAAGAAGACCTATATATCAGTATAAATTGTGCCTATGGTTTGATTCATTTTTGTGTGTAAATATGTTCTTTGTTGATTCTGATTTCCCTTTTGCTTTCCTTCTGCTTTCTCTGGGTGAAACTGTAACAGGAAGAAGTTGAAAAGCACTTCTAAGTACATCTACCAGACCCTTTTTCTGAATGGAGAAAACAGCGACATCCGTATCTGTGCACTGGGCCAAGAGTGGAACCTACACAAAGTTTACTTGTGTCAGGTAGGGCTTCACAGCTTGCACTGAATTAACGGAAACAACGTTCATGACCCAGGAAATAAGTTAATAATTGTCAGGAAGGACATTAATATGTTATTTTTTTCAGTGTCCTGGTTGAATCACATTTGTGCATTTCTCTTTAGAGACAGCACTATTAAAATGAGTTTAGTAATGAAACACTGAAATTTTCACAGTTCATCTCTAATGAGGCACAGATATTTCTGCAGAGTACTGAAATGTGAATTTTGGTGGCTCATCACAATCAAAGTATCATTCGACATAATTCCAGTTATCCTGTTTGTCAAAACTGTAAAGGGTCCGTTTGAAAAGAATGGGCCTTGGTGACATTTTGCATGTTGTGTATGTTTATTTCACTTGTGAATCTGTTTGGTTGGTTGTTTGTTTTTTTTTTTGTTTTGCAGTCAGGGTATTTCTCCAGCATGTTCAGCGGCTCCTGGAAAGAGTCTAATATGATGGTCATTGAATTAGAGATCCCAGACCAGAATATTGATACAGAAGGTAAGGCTGTTTTAAAAAAAAATAAATAAAATTTTATGTTTTCCCTGCTCCAATAAAACTATTTATTAATTTATTTGCACTAGAGCTTGGAAAAGTTTTAGGAGAAAAATGTCTTGACTTTCATGTTTTACATCAGCATATTTTTTGGAAGAACATCAGAGGGTGTAAGAAAAAAACAGGGGTGACCGACAAAAGAGTTTCTGACTTTATAAAATGTGTTTATGGTCTTATTGCATATTATTATTGCATAAAATGCTTATACATGTTTATATTTACATATATGTGTACATGTATTTATACATCTAGTATAAATACATATAGGACGTGTTACTACATATAGTTACACATAGATGACATACATATAGATGATATAGGCGTGTGTGTGTGTATGTATATATATATATATATATATATATATATACACATGTGGTATGTGTGTATGGCTACACATAGGTACTTGTGTAGTACATAAGTATGACTTCTGTTGTAACCTAAAAACGTGTGTGTAGCTCTGCAGGTGGTGTTTGGCTCTCTCTACAGAGACGATGTACTGATCAAACCCAGCAGAGTCGTCAGTATCCTGGCTGCTGCCTGCATGCTTCAGCTGGTCAGTGCTGCCGAAAGCCTTACTTCAAGAGACACTGCTTGTGTACAAGATTGGTTCATTGTATATATGATGCATATATTTGAATTTATTTCCTTTCTCGATCTCTCTCTATCGACTTTTTTACCTACTACCTAAAGCTTATGTAGACATATGAACCTGGGCTTTGTTTTCTAAAAGCTTTGCAGTTTAAAGACGACCATAAAATCTTCTCTTGTACCAATCTCTCCAGCTGCTAATGGCGACAGACTAAACCTAATTTCAACATGTTGATTTTCTCAAAGATTGCATAAGAATACATGAAATTAGCGAAAAACTCAAAACTGATTTTCTAAATAAAAATAAGTTAATATGCCCTCTACAGAGAACACACTTCTGCACATTGTAATATACGATTACTGTTTATTTGCTTTATTTTTCCAATATAATATAACAAAACATAAAATAATACAAGATAATATAGTAGTTTAATAACTATTTATGCAGAGAATGTGTTAACTTATTTTCACTTGGGGGGGGAAAAAAACTTGGAAAAACTCAGAAAAAAAGTTCATGCTCTTTTATTTGACTTGATTGACATATTTTAACACTCAAGCCAATACTTTAAGTACAATTCGATAAATAGAAACTTACAAAGAATAGATGTGATTGGTCAAGATGTTCACAGCACGCAACAAAAATGTTGTGACTTGTTAGCATATTGCAGCCTCATATATGATACAGATTGTTTATATTCAGTATATGTGTATTTAGCTTATGCGTAACAGGATCTTGTGTTAGCTCACTGGATTTTGTGTTTGTGCTTGTGCAGGACGGACTGATCCAACAGTGTGGAGAAACAATGAAGGAAAACGTCAGTGTTAAAACTGTGTGTGGCTACTATGCTGCTGCTAACATGTATGGCCTGGACTCCGTCATGAAGAAGTCAGTTTTCTTTGAGTTTTCTCTTTTTTCTGTTATGAGCACTGCTTTCAGTGTCCTAGCGTCCTGATTTCTGAGTCTTTCTCTGGGGTTTGCAGGTGTTTGGAGTGGCTTCTCAATAATCTGATGACCCATCAGAACGTGGACCTAATGAAGGAACTGGGGTATCTGTCAATCTCTTTGAGTGTTCCAAGATATTTACAGCATCATTGAACATATGTGTTGACTTATTTTTTTCTGTGTACAGGGTTGAAGTCATTGAGCAGCTGATTCAGTCGTCCGACCTGTTCGTCATGCAAGTGGAGATGGATGTCTACACTGCTCTGAAGAAGGTAGTGGTGTAAAAATGCATTACTTTGATTCAGCTGCATCAAATTTACGATGTTCTGATCATTTACAATAATACACAACAAAGTATGCACTCATTGGACCTTCATGAAACACAAGCAGGATGAATTTGAAGGTAAAATGTTAATGAAAAATTTGGAATTGGAATTATTATTGGAATTATTACAATTTTTAATAGTTTTCCCACTAATGAGCTCTCGGAGCTGACAGAAGCTGGCTTACAGTGCTGCATGTGCAAGATCCTGGTTCATTATTGAGTTATTGAGTAGATCCTGAATGCTCGTTGGCTGTGGTCAGGTGCAGCAGAGGGTATACAGACCTGATAAGGTTTGAACAATGCTGGCCTGCTGAATCCTGCTCAACATTGCCATGGAACAGGACTTTCCGAACCCGGATGGTGTGTTTCTCATTCCTCCAGCAAAGCTTCATTTGAGTTTGGCATTAGGTGAGCGGTTCCAGGTCACTTACATTTAAAGAAAAAAAAAAAGATAATTTTTACAGTATTTGCGGGGCATATCACCCTGTTAAATAGGTTTATAGGAATTTTTTTCCTTTAACTTCTTTTGCGCAGACATGTTAAAGGCATACTACTTGTCTTTGTCAGTGAGTCGAATGCCTTCTTTATATGGTTGTCATTTGTAATTTATGAGTGTGGATTATGGGAATCATATGCTAACTGTAAAGCCCGTATGCCTGATTTAAGAACTGTTGCAAGCATTCTATTCAACAAATCTGGTGTTTATGTGAATCCGGTGGAAATAATCAATAAGGTCCATTTTACTTGCAGTTTACTCAAGGTTTCCTTGTGTTTCATGAATGAGGCCCATTATTTGGCCAAAAAATAAAATTCTTTGTCTGTTTTCCAACTTAAAAATAAAAAAAACTTGGTGTATTGGTTTTATTGCCTGTATTCCATTACTGTGTATGGTTTCTCCATATTTGTACATTCAGTGTATTTTTTTTAAATAATTTTGAAACATACCAAAATCATCACATCAGATTGAATCATGGTGAAATTTGAGATGCTATAATGTATTGAATTTCCTAAAGAACTGTAATCAAATCATTTATACTCATAGTGTCCTGACATCATCAAGCCAAAAAAACATTTGAATACTTATTACTTATAACTTAATAAAAGCATCACCTGCATGTGCCTCCGCCCTCATTTCTGTCTCTTGATCTTGCAGTGGATGTTTCTGCAGCTCAATCCGTCCTGGGATGGCCCCATAAAGCAGCTCCTCGTTGATGCGGACTCGTGGCTCTGCAAAAGAAGAAATGGTGTGTCTTGTATATTTACACACATCAAAACGCACATCTGTTCACTCACACGCAGTCACATCCACTGTAGGACTGCAGCTAGTGATTATTGTATAATCTAACAAATCTATCGACTTTCATTCCATTAATCTACCAACTAAACCTGCCTGTTATGGTTTCTCATTACTTTGCCCCACAGTGCTGGCACCTTTCAGAGTTCTGCCTGTATAGCATTTGGTTTATTCTTAAATAGTGTAACAAAACATCAAAAACAATATCACCCCCTTTATATCCTGTAGTCAATTAAGGCCAAATTATACTCCTGCGTCTGGTGTCCCCATAGTTGTCTGCCAAAATGCTTGCATGTAACGTGTGACTTGCATTAGAGGTCAGTGTCAACAAAGAGAGAAGTCTTATATTTTTATCTCTGCAAGTATCCTTCTTGCAATCCCTATCCCTACTTCACTGTTTTGGTAATATTGTACAGATTAATTGTATAAATATTTGTGAAGTCGCTTTCCTGTCTCTGCTCTGTTTGATTTTGCACTAGTTCTGGTGTGGGTTAAGTATTTTTTGGTTCTCATCCCACTCATCCCCTTAATTTTTATAAAATATAATCATCCCACTTGTTCCAGTTGGTTGTTTGGAGTAGAGAACAGCGATGGCAGCTCTACTATAAAACCGTTACAACCAAACTCAAATATTATAATTACAGGTTTCAAATGAAACAAATGGAATGTCTTTTACAAGCTTTAGATGTCTGAATTTAATCTTGAATGGCCAAAAAAATGTTTGTGCACCAACATTAGCGTAGTGCTAACGTACTGTTAGGGCGCAAGCAGAAATTATCATTATTATAGAGGTGTGTTGACATTTTTGTCTCAAATGGAAGGCCTACACACTTAAAAAATATGGTTCTTCAAGGGTTCTTTAGTAAAGAAAATTTTTCTATATAGAACCATGAACATTCAAAGAACCCTTTGCATGATTAAAATGTTCTTCACACTGATGGAGAATGTGCTGTAGATGGTTCTATGTAGAACCATCTGTAGCACCAAAAAGGATTCTGCTAATGTTACGATATGAGTTTGTAGCAATAGAAGAACCCTTTTTGGTGATACATAACCCTTTTCAAATAAGATCTATATAGAACCATCTACAGCACATTCTCCAGTTTGAAGAATGCTTTCATCATGCAAAGAGCACTTGAATCATGCAAAGGCTTCCGTTTTTTTTTAAGTGTGTAGCTCTAATAGTCACAGTTTGCCAGTGCCAACCACACACTGTGGTTTTTATAGGGCAGATGATTTTAAAAACAAGGCTACAGCAAAAACACATTAATGGGAAACGAAGTGGCAAACGTCGGCAAACGTGACAAATCTTGCATACTAGCTTCTAAACGCTGAATAAGTTTTAAAGATGCCGTCATGTTGTACAGGGTAGGCACCTTAAAATTTTGTTTTCTGTGGACCAATTAAAAGTGATGTATGGAAATGTGTAAACACATGTAACAGGCAAAATCCAGATGGTACTAGATGCACCTGTATCCGTGAGTGGAGAATCTTAGGCTGAATTTAGCATTATTCTAATTTGGGTCGGGCTGTTGTGGACATTTTTCTCACCTGTGTGTTATCCCCCCCCTATGTTATGCAGAGCTAGGGGAAGATGAGCCATTTTTGTGCACAGAGCAGGGGCTGCCCTTCACCCCTGTCTTCAGACACGTTCGCCTGCAGTACATCATCAACGACCTTGCCTCTGCCCGCATCCTCGAACGGGACAATATCATTCCACCCGGTAAGACCCTGCACTCAGATTAGAGGAGTCTCACAGTAATATGACTTTATGCTAGACATGTGCAATCATTTTTTTTTTTTCAAATTTATTTTTTATGTATTTTTGTATTTAAGTACTACAAGAGGGCTATGCACCTACGATTTTCACTCTTTTCACCTTCGCACCTGTGTTAATGTGATGTGACAATAAACACGATTTGATTTGATTAGTAATTGTGCATTTACAATGTGCGGAAGTGTGTTCTATGTAGAGGATGTTTTGTTACTTATTTTCACATTTAAACAGGGGTGCCCAGACTTTTGCATACGACTGCATACTGGACTTTGCAGTTCTGCTACTGCAGAAGGCTGTAGCGCAGAGGTTGTTAACAAATCACTAACAGCTCTCAAATTTTCTCGTCTTTAGATTGGTTGTCCAGTATATATAAGCAGCAGTGGTTTGCCATGCTGAGAACAGAACACGACAATGACAACGGGTGAGTGTGAACAGATCCTGTAGTTATCACATAAACAACAGAGCTGGTCAGAAACATGTACTGCCGTTCAAAAGTTTGGAATGAATATTAAACCTTTTTTTTTTTTTTGTAGATTAATGTCTAAAAAAACTATTTCAATGTGATGCTGCTACTCAACTGATCAGCAGCAAGCTGTAAGGATGTGTTCCAAATGATGAACAGACTGAAATGACAGGGAAAAAAAGCTGTAGAACATCATAAATGAAGTTCTAATAAAATGAATATCCAGAATGAAGTTCTAATCAAATCAATATATAAATTGTTGTTTTAATACATTAATATTTAGAATAAAGTTCTAATAACATAACATCCAGAAAAGGTTACAATAAATTAATATCAATCATATCTCAAATCACAATATTACATAGATAATTACAATGCATTATTTAACATTAAAAACATCTGTTCACAAAAATTTTAAATAAATGAAACATCTTAAAAAGTATAGTATGTAGTTTATAATATTTCAACGTACATCTTAAGTTATTACTGTATAAATTATATTTTTGAACTGTAGTGTATTTGTGTTTATACGCACACCTTGACTGCATTTGAACATCTGCTCTGTCTGATCTCTGTAACTCTACACATGCTGTTAGACCTCAAGAGGCCAATAAGGAGGAATTTGAGCGGAACAGCATGCGCTGCGGCCGAAAACTGAATAAAGATGGAGATGTGAGTCTACTGGTTATTACTAGTGTATAATAATATGTCTGTATTATCTTTCCTTTTGGGAATCCTTGTTTTACTTAATTCGAGTGAGGTTTGTGATCATTTCTCCGTGTCACCTCAGTACTGCTGGAGATGGACCGGCTTTAATTACGGTTTTGATCTGCTGGTCACCTACACCAACCGCTTCATCGTCTTCAAAAGGAATACCCTCAGCCAGCCATGTGGGGGCGCTGTCAGCCTACAGCCACGACGACACCTTGCATTCAGGTCTGCTGCCATGTCTGCCATGACTAATGTTTGGGTGTTTACAGTTGCATGCGAAAGTTTGAACAATCTCAGTCAAATTATATAATTTGTTAATTGTCTAAGTGTAAGTGAACACATCCTCTGCATCCCGTAACTTTTGCAGAGGCCACATTTTATTATTTATTCGTATTTAAATATGTTCAAATTCAGCAATTAAACAGTAATTATGTGATAAAATGTGCGGAAAATTTTTAACTTATTTTCATGTAGAAAATTAACAAAACATTATTTTTTTTACATTAATTTGACCTAAACAGTTGCACACAACTATATATACTATATGTAATACTGTGCAAAAAAATAGTCTGAGAAAATCATAGGTAAAGAGATTTTTTCGGACAGTAAGCGTTTATTTGTTCAAACAAAAAGAAAAAACACTTACATTAGAATAAATATAAACAAATAAGGAATCCGTTATGGTTTAATGAAGAACAGAGGAGCAGCAGGCGGTGCGACAGTCAAACTCGATCCAGAGAAACCGTTCTGCCTGTACCCCAATAAAAATGCAGATTTTGCAGAATAATAAAACTGAGAAGCGCTTCATTCTTAAATTGGCAGCTGCCTGCTTTTGATATTTATTATTTATTTCTATTTTCGATCTTTTTTCTCAATTTCTATTTTTGTGTTTAAAGTACACTATTGTACAAATTATGGTTCTTCACGGGTTCTTAAGTAATGAAAATGGTTCTATATAGAACCATGAACACTTAAAGAACCCTTTGCATGATTAAAGGGTCCTCTGTGTCGCTAAATGGTTCGTTAGATTGATGAAAAGTGTGTTTTATCTGGTTCAATATAGAACTTTTCGAAAAGGGTTCTGTGTAGCACCAAAAATTATTCTTCCATTGTTACAGGCTTGACATTGTCACAATAGAAGAACCCTTTTTGGTGCTATATAGAACTTTTCAAAGCACATGAAACACACTTTCCATCAATCTGACGAACCGTTTAGTGACACAAAGAACCCTTTAATCAAAGGGTTCGTTGAGTGTTTGTGGTTCTCTAGAACCATTTTTCTTTACTAAAGATCCCTTGAAGAACCATCATATTTAAGATTGTAGTGATATTGGATGAGTGCTAGCCATGCTAACCATGCAGTCACCATGGTTACCAAGTGAGAGACAGGAGTATTTTTCTTTTTCTTTTTCTTTTTCATTTGGCTTATACAAATGGAAGCAGGAAGAGAGAGACTGGCAGAGTGGGAAGCTGTTTGTCACTTGGCATATGAAAAGTCCTTAATTCTTGTATTTTATACTGATATTATATTACTTTATATTAATTTACACATTACTTTATAATACATTATTCCTGGAATTAAAAGTTTGGCCTAAATTGTAATGTTTTGTTTTCGTTTTGTCTTTCTCCTCTTGATAAACAGGTTACGGCTTGCTTCGTTTGACAGCAGTGGTAAGCTGATTTGTAGTCGTTCTACAGGCTACCAGCTCCTGACTCTGGAGAAGGACCAGGTTTGTCATACATGTGTTGAAATAAATTCACAGACATGCTCAGATATTAATGTTGCCAAGTCCAGTATTTCAGTAATGATTAACAAGCGAGATATGATGCAGCCTATTCAGTATTCTGTTTGTTCTCCTTTGAACACTCCTGCTCTGCTGTATCTGAGTCAAATCGTCGTTAAAGCCCTTACATAAAGCCCTTCTGCATCAGGTGTGCCAGTGAAGGGAAAAAAAAAACAGTAAAATGGGCAGATTCCCCGAAAGTGCTAGTGCTTTCTCTGCACTGAATTCTGGGGAAACAGCCTGAGTCCTCGAGCTTACTAGTGTGTACAGCAACTTAAAGACAAATGCTGCACATGCTGTGTTAATTTTATTTACATCACTAAAAACACTGATATGCCTGACATTAAAGAATTTTCTATGGTCATTATTACTGTACAGTCTAACGGCGGTGGTGAAGATGCACTTCTGACCAAAAGTATCCAGACCGCCATTCTAATTACTGACTTCAGCTACTTTCAGGTATAGCCATTGACCTGTGAAAACGTACATCATTCTGTTATTGCCATCATGCCCAAATAAGCAAGTTATTAGGGAAATCTGGGTCAAAGCTGTTTTTCTCTATGAGAAGAATGAGAAAATCTCACCCTGTGTTACACAACCATGTTCCAAAGCTGATACATTTTGTCCTGTGTACATTTTATCCCTAAATGTCACTGGATGCTCTGAATTATAAGGTCATTACAAAGTTAAAATATGATTATACTTATATAATGTCACTATCAGGACAAACCCTCATCTTCACATTGGTAACTTTGTAGGAGAAGGAAAAACTGTTTTTAACTTTTAAGGAAAGTTAATGTAATTAAATCTGGATGAGGGTAAGTGTACATAAATCTGGAGCATTTCTGTGGGCCGTCATTAAATTTTCACGCAATGTAAAGGGGGGCTAGCAGTTTCAAATGATGTTAACAAGGTTTTTAAAAACATAAATGTGACAAAAGTGGAGAAAATCTTTTGTCTCCATAGCAATTATTTGCTGAATTTAACATATTGGAGAAACAGTTGAAACCAAAAATGGCCTGTACAAAAGTTAAGCCACACTTTAAATGTATATAAATAGAAACTGAGCACTGAAATTTGCCATAAGGCCAGCCTGTAACTGTTTTAGTTGAGTTTAAACTTTCCTTTCCCCTTTTTATTTATTTTATTTTTATTATTATTATTATTTATTATTATTATATTTTAATATTTTAGTGCAACTGCTTTATTTGATGATAATTATTTTACTGTTCTATTCTAGTAAATATTGTGATTTTTCTAAAAAGTTAGTTTTCTTATTGCTTGCTATATAAGTTGGTTGTTTTACTTTCGTTTGAATGTTTTCATTAGATATTTTAAACCTGTTTTTTATATTTTATATTTTTTATATAAATCTTTTTGATTTTCATTTGTTTTAGTTGGTAAATTTTATTTAAACTTTTTTAATCCCTTGTAATTTGCTCGGCTGCATTATAAAGGTTCACTCTCAATGTACTTCCAAGTCAAAATAAAGGTTGATTTAAGTTCTCTTCAGAGAATGTGTTAATGCATTTTCACTTGGCAAATCAACATCATTTGAGCAAGTGTGTTGAAACTTTTGCACATTTAATGTAAAAAACTTTATCTCATGATTTTTGAGTTCAAACTGTATAAGGATGCTTTTTGAAGAGGCTCTTTCGCTGCAGGAGTACGTGGTGATGAACCTGGACAGCCGTCTCTTGTCCTTCCCGCTGTACGTGTGCTGTAACTTCCTGTACACCTCGCCCACCTCAGAGCGCCGGGCCGACGCAGGAGAACCAGAAAGCAGCGCTCGCACTGTGTCGTGATTGAGCAGCCAGTGACCTCCATCTTCATCCTGTGACATCACTTCCCACCAGCCCACCCAGCAGCCCGGCCTTGAAGAAGCCTCCCTCCTTTTTACCATCCGATTTATACACCTTTTTTTTAAGTGTATATTATTTGTATGTTTTTTTATTGTTTTATTTCACTCCTCTATTTATTTCTGAATGGTAGAGTGAGATTTTTTTATGATTTTGCTGTAATTATCCACAGAACAAATCAACAGTGAGTGTATGTTTTGGTCGTGTTTTGTCATCATTTGTTAAGGCCTGTCTGGCTTTTTGTAAGTTTATAATTTTGTTTTGTGTGAAAGTTAATATTTTGTAAGTTCTTTTTATGTATATTCTTGTTTTACTGTATACTGTTCTGTTTTTTGTCATGCATTTCCTGTTTATTCAGTGTTTTGTACTCTTTAACAGAACTGGTGCTGGCTTTTTAAAAGGTCGTCTTGTTTTGTACCAGTGTTTGCCAGTGCAGCTCCATTTCAGGAGCAAAACTGACTGTATTGGTTTTTGGGCATTTCATATTCTCCATGATTCCATAGCTGTAGTATATTAGATTTGGGATATTTATACATCATAAAGATGACTTGCATTTTGGACCAAAATGACATGGAATAGAAATAAAATGGCACAGAAGAGAGACTGCTATTCATGTCATTCATTTTGCTCACAATGATTTGAGTTTTGAATGTTTAAAGAGCCCATATCTCTACATTTTCTTGAATTTTACTCCTCCGTCAGGAGGTCCAATTATGATGTGTTTGGTTTGATGTACCAAAAACAGTCAGCATTCTTTTATATATAACATTTTCCAACCTCTCTTTATCCCTTATAATTAAACAGACAACTGTTTTTGTTACCGTGCCTTTGACTAATATTTTAAATAAGCTGTTTTGATTGGCTGTGCTTTATTCAAAAAGAAGTCCAATCAGAAACTCCTTTTAACTACAATTTAAAATGGATATTGGTAAATGTTTACATACCAAATGAAACTCCATTCAGAAAAAAGAACATTTTGGTGGTTTTATAATAAGGGCCTTTTAAAGGGTGATTCCACCTATTTTTAAAAATTAAATGGTTAAGATGTAAACAAGGTCATTCAGAGTGGTTTGGTGTGTAATGCTCCGTTCTAGAGAAACTTGCTGAGTCAGAATTGTTCACGGTGGTGATAGGAACCAGACATCCACCTCTAAAAGCTCCCTCACAGAAAGTTATTACATGAAATGGTTATAAATACACAGCCTGATATTGGCTGACATTGTTTTTGATAGTTTTTTGGCCTAAAACTTTTTTTTAAATCCATTCATTGGTGGAAAGACACATGCAGCACATTATAAGACACAAAAAGTCAACTTTTTAAATGAAATTCATCACTATTTTACCATTATCTACGTTCCATGTATAAACTCAGAAGACGTGTAGGTTTACTGGTGGTTTTGGATAGTAAATAAAATGTCTATATTTGTGTTGTAGTCATGGCAACCCCTGGTTATCACCTCTACACCTTTATAATGCGTCATTTCACATCAAACCACTCAGAATAACCTTGTTCAATCCTTGAGATGTAAAGAATGTAGAAGTTTGGAAATATCCCCTTTAATTACATTCTTTGTAATTAAACACGAGCCCTCACTGCTACAATACAGTTCCAGCAGAACAGGTTTCATTTCACTGTAATATTTTTATTGTCCGTACAAAAACAAAAACAGCAGTTGCGGTAAAAACAATCACAACACGAGTATGAAGTCACAGTACGGCGTCAGTGATGAAGATACCCAACTTTGTGGGGAAAACAGACATCAAAGTCCATCATTAAACAATCATTCTTTGAATATTCCTTCACAAAACTATTATGAATGGTACTTAAGCTGTAGGTTCACTGGGCTATAGACTGGAGGCTTTCCTTCAGCCTGCGGGTCATGCTGGGTAGCAGATTTAGATGGTCGTCCACACAGCTGCCCACACACTTCTCCATCAGAGAGCGCACAGCTGCCTCTTTCGCTCCAGAGTCAAACAGGTCTTTGGCTTTGTCGTTGCAGTTCATGGTGCATCGTGTCAGACGATCCTAAAAAAGATCCAACAAGTTGCATTGAAAACTACCATGTTCATATTTCAGGGCACAAATCTGATGTTTGCTCAAGGCTGTATTCACACTACAAGCTTTAATCTGATTTTATTGCTCTTTTTCATTTACATTTGTTATGGTGGTGTTCCACACCTGTTCGAGTACCTGTGTCTGCTTCCCATTACATAACAGAACCGTCAAAGTAGGTGAGTTCTCTTTAGCTTGTGTCATAAAGCTTCCTGAGTGAATCTAGCATTAACAGTAAACAAACAACAGTAGCAACAATGGAGGAGCTTCAAGCTCTGATTTACACACTAATTCTGATGACTGCAAAGATGATTTTCTCTGAATCGTTCATCAGCTATTGGTAAATAGGGTCAGAAGAAGGGAAAAAAGGCTATTACTGACAATAACTTCAAGTTATGCGCTGTAGGTGGTGATGGTTCTGAATCAGATATGTATCCAATATTGAAGCACGTATGAAAGTGGCTCAGATCTCAGTCATATTACTGGATGGGATACACAAACAAAACTACTGCTATCCAAAGTCCACTGTGGTCATCATCCACGTGGGAAAGGTCTGGGTGGACAAGCACGCCTGGCTAGCTGTAGTGGCATAAATCCTGCCTGGTGCCAAAGAGCATGTTTCTCCATAGACTTTCATTCAACTTTAACTTTTTCTGACAACTTTTTTCCCTGACAAAATCTATTTTTTTCCCCAAAGAAAGTTTTAGTCTTTCTTATATAGTCACATGCAAAAGTTTTAGCACCCCTGGTCAAATTCCTAAGTTATAAAAGTGTTCTCTGTAGAAGAAGGTTTAACTTATTTACACTTAAAAAATCAACAAAACATGGAATTTGACTGTTTTCAAATTTCTGCATGCAACTGAACTCGTTCTTTTGTTAACTTTCCGTTTTTCCCTTGTGTCTTGCCTTTTAGGTCACTGCTCAAGTGTAGTTGTCATGACAACTGTTTTGGTCCCCCAGTCAATGAACACTGTGAACACTCTTTCCAGGTCCTATATTATCTTCACGGTCACTTACGTACACAAATGCAAACTAAGCAGAAGCAGAAACATCAGATTCAAGTGACAAATCAGAACTGAGCAAACAGGCTTTAAATGTAAACGCAGCCTAAAGTTCCCATCGAAATGCCAAATTATGGACACTCACCTGGAACTTCTCAAGCTCATTAGTGACCACTCCCTGAGCCTTAGCCAGAGGTGCGTGGCAGACTTCTATACACTGGTGTACCTGGCTCATCGAGTCAGCAGAACGCTCACAACAGTCCGCACTGCATCGAAACATACGTCCCTAAAAATATCAGATTTAAAAAGAGTTACATACTGAAGTAAATAGTATTAGATCCACATTAGATTTTCTTTGTTTTAGCATAAGCACGAATTGTACTAAAACACGAGAATAGTGCTGAATGATATATCATCTGTACTTCCGATTCAATGATATGTTTACATTACAATGTATCATCGCTATCAGAACAAAACCTTTTTAAAAAAGCAACTTTACAGGAGTAGAAAAAGATACTCTTCACTTGTAATGGAAGTCAATACATCAAAACCTTTTTCCTACGAATTTTGGACCTTTTCTGTTGGTCCGTTCACCGTTAAATTCTGACACAATGTAAAGGGTGACCTGACTTTTCAAAAAGGTTTTGGCGTGACAGCAACACAATGAACATTATATAATATTTGTAATGATCATTACATGCACAATACAATGCCCATAAAATAGTGGCGTCCCCTTACTGACATTATTATTACATTTTGTGCCCCTCACTGAAGATATCCTGACCGCTAAAAGCATTTATTTACTATTTAAAACTCACTGGAGTAAATCTAAAGCAGAACAGAACAAAACAGTCCAATCAAAACAAGTTATGACAGGCTGACAAGTTATTGAGGCATTCTTTCATTTTAGTATGCACTCTTAAAAAATGTTTTTTTAAAAAGTCCTTTAGTAAAGGAAATGGTTCTATTTAGAACCATGAGTACTGTATAGACCCATCTGCATACTTAAATGGTTATTTGCACAGTCAAATGGTTCTTCAGACTGACGGAGAATGTGTTGTATACAGGTCTATATAGAAACTTTTTGGAAACGGCAGAACACTTTTTGTTGCTATAGAGAGCAGATGTCTGAAAAAATAAATATACTGACATCGTGTATTGAGAAAAGTATCGCGATATTACATTTCTACCATATCGCCCACCTCTACCTCCGACACAGTGACATAAATACAGATATTTAAATATGACATCTAATTTTATTAACACCGTCTAACACTACACTAGTGAGTACCCCCTCTGTCTGTTACTGTGGTGGGGAATCTGCCCTAAAAGCCCTCCTGATTCTCCTGCCCTGAGCGGGTTTACCTGCATTTTGCGGATATGCTCTCTCTCCAGACTCTGCACCATCTCCTCCACAGCCTTCTGAACGCGGGCCTGCTGCGCCTCGGCCATCTGCACTTCAACTACAGCAGTTTAGAGCCGGACACTGCAACTGCAAGGCCACAGACCTCACAAATCCCTCTCTACCAGCCTTTACCAGCCTTTATCAGCCTTTATCATCACAGCTCCACAGCCAAACCAGAAACACCGCACCATAAACACACCAACAGGCGGCCGGAGGCAGAGCTTAAAGAGAGAAACCCTAAAAATAAATAAATAAGAGGGTCAAACTGAGAGTAAGTGTCAGTAATCTGACTGAGCAGTGAGGTGACCCTCTCACAGACACTGAACAGCATGACACACAGACAAACACGCCGCTTCCGCTTCCACATGACGACACTTCCGTCAGTGTAATTCAAAACAAAAGACCAATTGCTGTCGTTGTGGTAGTAGTAGTAACAATAATAATAATAATAATAAGTTCAGAGAAAGAGAAAGTTCATGTAAACAAAAAATGCATTATGTTGTTTGGAAAAGACAGCCGTCCATTTGTTTTATCATTTTGGAATTATTTGGAGAATTTTGTTTATATAAAGAATGCATACTTATTTTACACAATTTTTTTTATGAGATTAAAGAACATGTACTGATTATGACTTATTTTAATGTGTAATGGCTGTTGTATGTTGTTGTACACTTATATGTATCATATAATTACATAAATTGTTAAAATGAGACTTGAAGGATTAAATAATTGAGTGTTCTTTCTTTTTGTTATATAATTTTTATATTTTTATTTTTATATTGTATAATTCTAAAAAATCAGGGAATTAATAAACAAACAAACAAACAAATAAGTAAATAAATAAATAAATGGCAGCTTAATGAGGTTCTTCATCAATTAACAAAAATAGTCAATTAAAATTAAATCTTTGGACTTTCTTCTTTTTCCTGAAGTCTGCAGACAACTCTGGTGCATCTCCTGGTGCAGCAGTAATCACCTGCTGCTCCACAAACAGAACACTGTAGAGATGGTGGTGGACTTCAGGCTCAGCTCCCCTCCCTGCCCCCCCTCACTATCAACAGCTCTGTGGTTTTTACTGTGGAGTCACTCAAGTTCCTGGGTGCCACCACATCCAGGGACCTGAAAAGTGGGAGAGAGGGCAGGAGAAATTCAGTTTGAATACTAAATAATAATAAAGTGATTCTCATTTTCACACTTTTCAGAGACATCTTCCATACGTTCAATTGGGGAATCACTTGAGTACATTGACACTTATGTATAAAATTTGCATAATCTTATTTATTTGTTTATTATTGGATTTGTAATTGTGTGATCCATATATTCCATCCATCAATTGCAAAATATTATTATTATTATTTATTATTATTATTATTATTATTATTATTATTATTGTTATATTATTATGAGAAAAAGAAGAATGATAATAACTTTCCCAAGAATAAATCATATGACACTGTGTGCCTTTTTTAAACACTATACTCAAACTATTAATTTAATAAAAGCATTGCTGAGGCCATTCGGATATGATTTGGCTGGTTTTGTTTTTGCTGGTTTCACACTGTTGCTCCAAACAGGGTGGAGAGGAGCCTTAGCTGCAGCAGAGACGTTGTAAATGAGGAGACTGGCACTGGATGAAATACTAATGAGCAAGATCGTAACGCTCAACACGGCTTGTGTTTGCGCTGAAAGTCCCGCCCTTCAAGAAATACAGCCAATCAGCTTGCTGCTTACGCCGCAAGCGTCCCGCCTTTTAAGAAAAGAGCTAATCAGCTTGCCGGGGACGGCACAATCAAAGAAAGCCTCCCTCATTGTGGAGATCTGCGCAAGCGCAGTAGGGAGAACAACCCGAAAAAAAGCCATGTTTTTGCGTTTCTGAGCCAAATGCTACAAACTACTTATGAGGTGTTTATCAGATTTTATCAGTGATTTCAAATATGTTTTTGAAATGGCAATTTGACCTTCAGAGTCTAGTCTTGTAGAGCTGCGCGACAGCGATGCAAAGATGTCCGCCGAGTAAACAGAGGTTCACATAAGGACATTGGCTGCTGATGCTAACCTCACTGACCGTTAAAGCACAAGAGCAGGTGTCTTCTGCAGAGCTCTGGAAACGGTGAGGTTCTCTCCCTTTTACACGCACTGAAAATGCTTCTGTATAGCACCAAAAAGATTTCTGCTGTTGTTATAATGTCAAGCAAATTGCAGAACCATTTTTGGTGCTATAAAGATGGCCATTTTCAGAAAGGTTCTGTATGGAACCATATACAACACGTTCTCCATCAATTTGAAGTAACATTTCACTGCACAGAACCATTAAGCATGAACGTGGTTCTGTTTGGAATACATGGTTCTATATAGAACCATTGCCTTTGCTAATTAATCTTTTTAAGTGTGTATCTCAGGTTGGGAATTAGTCTAGATGACATTTATATAGTATATACTGAACTGCTGCCATCAGGTAGAGATAAAAGTTGTGTTGTAATTCCCAGGAGAGATTGTGCTGAACTGAACAGTAATTTTCCTGTAATTGAACTATATAATTTGCTTTGCTTTGCTTATTAAATTTCTCTGTTTCTTTCTAGAATATCAGTACCTCTGGAGAACTAAGAGTCCACAATGTCTCTGAGAAATCTGTCATTCAGAGTTCTTCTGTTCCTCGGGATTTGTCAGGTTGGCCTTTGGGGTCTTGCCTCAGCCTACGAGCTGAAAGAGCAGCCTGAGAAAATCGGTAAAGCATGGTTAGATGTTCATCTCTTTGCACATCTGATCTAATCACACGGACAAGAGGGTCCCAATCCTGGTCCTGCAGGAACTCTGGGAACCCTGTAGTGCAAAATGTAGTGCACAGATTGGGAAACAGTGCTGTAGATGAGTGGTGTAAAGTGGTAGTAGCAAACTGAAGGAAAGCTTGGATGTGATATTCTGAAACTTGAAATGTGCTGATCAAATCTTGTGGCAGATAACTTCTCAAAAAATGCTATAAATAAATAATAACAGTTTATTATTTAATAACTTGTTCCCAAAAACTAAATATGAAATATAGAAAATAAAACATCTTAAATTACCTCATAGTGTTTAGCTTATTATATTTAAATCTATTGTGTTATATTTAAATAATGTGTATTGTTATTAAATAAGTAACAAAATGTCTTAAAATGAAAAATGATTCCAAACTTCTGAATGTTAAGAGAAGGAAAAACATTCTTAACGGTCTCAGGGTTTTATTCTGGATGTCTGTTGGTCGATTCATCATAACATGTTTACACAATGTAAAGAGCAGCTGGTGGTTTTATTATGGTGTATAAAATTAAAAAGTGAAAAATGAAGTAACGAGGTTACGGTCTGACTGAAATAACAAATGTGGCTTTGCTGTGACTCTTTTAGCCATCATTGGAGGAGGAATCGGAGGAACAGCAGCAGCATATTTCCTCAGGCAGGAGTTCGGACCGTCCGTCCATATTGACGTGTATGAAGCAGGAACTGTAGGAGGACGTCTTGCTACCGAGAACATCAGGGGACACGATTACGAGACCGGAGGGTCCATCATACACCCGCTTAATTTGCATATGAAGCACTTTGTGGACAAACTGGGTGAGTTTTTCACAAACACACGATTCATAGGCAACACAGTTTACAGTCAGATGCAGAAATGTTTGGACAGTGTCACAGTAAGCATTAACGTGAAGTAATGATGATCCGCTCAGACAAAGCAGGCAGCGCAGCACATTTTGCATGTTCATTCACTATTTTTGTGCTCCAAAAGTATTTAGACTGGCAAATATAATACTGAATGAGGAAGCCAGTTGTATTTAAAATATAATAATAATAATAATAATAATAATAATAATAATTTTATTTATATAGCACTTTTCATGCCGGTGGCAGCTCAAAGTGCTTTACAGACAGCTGATAAAACATAGTTATAGAAAAGAGCCTGATGGCAGAGCTTGATGTACAGTCATGTGCACCCCTGCTCAAATAACATTTTGTGTGGATTTCCTTGGTGAATATAAGTTAATATATAGTCAGATACAGAGAACACACTCCTGCATGTTTTAGTGCTCAATATAAAGCCTGCAGTTTTATCTGTGTCTGTGAAAACATAACACATTGGTAGCAATTAGCAACTTTGAACTTGCAATCTTCAAATGATGGAGCAAAACTTTAGAAGGCACCGTAATCCAAAGTAAACTGGCTAAACTGATTAAATTACACATAAAACATCATAGTAATGTTTTAATGAATCATTAATTAACCAAACCAGGTATTGAATGATCTCTACACATAATTCTGGGGCTCCTTGAGGAGCAGTTTGGAAAGAGTTATATAAACATTTTGACATACATACTTATTGTGTTGATATTATTTGCATTTATTCTAGTATTTGTTTTTTCCTGAGCAACTGAACACTTACTGGTTCTCTTTTTCTTAGCGATGCTCTACCAGACCAGTATTTCTAATCCTGCCTTTTCCAGTTTCATCTGCAACCTGAGCCGTGCCTGCTTTGACTACAAGACAAACAGATCGTTTATCCTTTTTAAGAAGAAAAAAGGCTTGTAGATTTCTTTCTGCAGTCAGTATTTTACTCCATAGTAGATTTGAAATGAAAGAATTGTTGTAAAATTAACTATATATTAGGTTCCATTTAAAGGAATTTCACAAAAATTTACTACATAGTCAATTTAAACTGAAATAATTATTCTAATACTAACTAAATAGAAGACTCGAATTGAAAGAATTGTTCTGATATTATCTATAGATACTATATTATTTGCTACTTGCTGAGTTCACAAGTTCTTATTCCCCTTTAATTATTGAATAATTAATTTCTGATTGTCAGTCACCTGATGGTCTGCATCCCTGTAGTCATTCTGTCATAAGTGTGAGAGCACAAAGCCACAGCGATAAGGTAACCGCAAAGTAACTTTTATAGGAGAAGAAAAACTTTCAGAAGTTTAAATTACATTAATGCAACTAGATTACATGTAATTTTGGACCATTTCTGTTGGCCCACTCATCCTGAAATGTTCACACACTGTAATTAGCAGCTATCATTTAGAATAAAAAAAGAATCACTTAACCTTTATTTAAACTGGTAGTACATTGAGGGTGATGCTTATTTACAGTGTAACTGAGCCAATACAGAAACCAGGGATTGAAAAACTTACATTGTAAAAACACATCAAATGCTAAAGAAAATACTAATAATAACAATCATGATAGTAATTTTAATAGTACAAATCAAAACCAGAATACACCATTAAAACTGCAAAAATAAAATGATTTAATATATAACAGATCAAATAGGTATAAAATAATAAAAAACATAGATAATAAAATAAATGAAATATTAGAAGTTGTCAAACAATAACTCACCAATAACAAAAAGTAAAAGTTGGTAAGAAAAAAAACAAATAGAATAATAAATGTAAAACAATAACCAAAACATAACAAAACAATTTAATTTAAACAAAAGTTAAAATTGAACTAAAATCAAATTAAACAGTTTCAGGCTGAGTGGATGTGGTTACAGACTAAAGGTTTAAAATGTTCATGTGACACCAGCGATGTGTCTCCTGGCGCACAGTCAGAGATGACCAGCCAACCTTTTCATACAGTGTACAGTGACGGTACTGCAGGGTCATCAGTAATGAATCTTAAAGCAGAGTGGAGTACAGAGTCTGAAGATTTAAAAGTAGTTGAAGATGCATATATATACACATATTAATATCACATCACCATAATCCAGAGTAGTGCTTTGGGAAACACATTAATAAAACTCAGTTTAATAAAACTCAGTTTTGATGTCAGAAACACTCTGTTTAAACACTTCTGGAGCTCATTGTGTGCTTGTTTCTGTACTCCAGCGTGTTGCTGTGACTGGGAAAGCATGAAGTATTGTATTTTCATACTTTTACAACTTTTAGTATTTTATTTTATTTAGCAAGCTGTTTAAAGATAAACTAGTCTTCCAGTTTTCTCAGTTCTCTTTCTCAACATGGTTATTATCACCTTTGAGGCATCTTCAGCATTGCTGCATTAATGTGAAACCTTACATAAAATGCCACATTATATATAAAAGATAGTGTCATGAATTTCAGTTTTATCACTAATTATTGTGTATGTTAATGTAACAATTTTACTGATGTTGGTCATAATGTCGCATGTTAAGGTCTGGGATACACGAGACAGGAAGCAAACAGTTGGTTCTCATAGTCCTTATGTGGGTTGGGGGAGAAATTGGCAGGCTTGAAGACCTGAGCGACTTTGACAAGAGCCAAATTGTTATCTGACACGCATCTCTGACATCGCAAGGTTTGTGGGGTGCTCCAGGTCAGCAGTGGTGAGTACCTACCAACAGTGACCTGAGAAGGAACTGGCGACTGGCTAGTCAGAACCAACAGAAGGGCTGCTGTGGCACAGATCACAGAAATGTTTAATGACGTTTATGAGAGGAATGTGCTGCTGCATATGTGACTGTGTAGCCACAGACCTGTCGGAGTGCCCAAGCAACCACTGTGCACTGCCAAAAGTACCTAAATTGAGCATGAGTGTTTGAACTGGACTTTGGAGCAGGGTCGCCTGATCGGATGAGTCCTGTATTTATTTATATCACATGGACAGAGAGGTATGTGTGCACCGTTTACATGGTGGCACCAGTACCCACTGTGGAAAAATGGAAAATCAGGTGGAGGGAATCTGATGCTCTGGCAGTGTAATCCTGGGAAGCCCTGGGTCCAGCATTCATGTGGACGGCAATTTGACACATGCCACCTGCCTAAACATCATTTAGGACCAGGTTCACCTCTTTAAGGCCTATTCCTCATTCAGCAAGTTAATGTGCCCTGCCACACTATGCACATTGTTCAAGAGTTCATGGTATTGCTCTGACCTTCCTCAGATCTCAATCCGATCGAGCATCTGTAGAATGTGCTGGGATAACAGGTCCGAGCAGTGTCGGCTCCTGTTCGCAACTTGCAGTCCATATCTTGGTCCCAGGTACCACTGGGCACCTTCAGAGGTCTTGTCAAGGCATCTGTGGGTTGGAGCTGTTTTGGTGGCACACAAATGGATCAACTAAGTCAATTTATATTATTTTTATCGGTCGATTCATCGTGAAATGTTTACAAAGTGTAAATGGCAGCTTTTGTTTAAATGGCATAAAAAAAAACATTCATTCGTTCATTCATTCATCATCATTAACTGCTTAATCCAGATAGGGTCGCAGTAGCAGTTGGGAGAGCAGAGAATCCCAGATAACCCTGTCCCCTGCAACTTCCTCCAGCTCATTCTGGGGGACCCCAAGCCGCTCCCAGGCCAACTTGGAGATATAATCCCTCCAGCGGGTCCCAGTAGGCCGTGCCTGGTACACCCTCACCGGGAGGCATCCAGAGGGCATCCGGAACAGATGCTCGAACCACCTCAACTGCCTCCTCTGAATGCGGAGGAGTAGCGGCTCTACTCCGAGCTCCTCCCGGATGACCAAGCTCATCACCGTATCAAGTAGAGTGTAGCCTGCCACCCTGCGAAGAAAGCTCATTTCCGCCGCTTGTATTCGCAATCTCATTCTTTCGGTCATTACCCACAGCTCAGGACCATAGGTGAGGGTCGGGATGTAGACCAACTGGTAAACAGAGAGCTTTGCCTTATGGCTCAGCTCCCTCTTCACCACTACAGTCCGGTACAGTGACCGCATTACTGCTGCCGCCGATCTCATGATCCCTCTTCCCATCACTCGTGAACAAGACCCCGAGATACTTAAACTCCTCCACCTGGGGCAGGTCTCTTCCCCTTACCTGGAGTGGGCATGCCATCCTTTTCTGGGCTAGGAGCATGGACTCAGACTTGGAGGTGTTGATCTGCATACCAACCGCTTCACACTCAGCTGCAAACCGCTACAGTGAGCACTGGAGGCATCCATGTGATCCAGCCCATGTAGATTGGGTTGGCAAACTCCCATGTCCCCTCAACAATCTGTGAGAGGTTGAAAAGCCGGTCCATTGTTCCACAGCCAGGAAGGACCACCACCCCGGTCTGCCAGTCCAAGGGTACTGTTCCCGAGGTCCATGCAAAAGTGCAGAGGCATGTCAGCCACAACAGCCCCACAACATCCAGAGCCTTGAGCACTTCTGGGTGAATCTCATCCACCCCTGGTGCCTCGCCACTGAGGGGTTGCCAACTACCTCAGTGACCTCCGGCAGAGAAATGGAGCCTGACACACCAGAAGCCTCTGGCCCTGACTCCCATGAGGGAGGCACGTCTCTTGCAATTTTAATTCTCGTGAGTATCCCCACACCCACCCTGTGCCTCTCACCGAAAAGAGTGCTCCTTTTACTGACCGACAATATCCTCATTTGAAGTCAGAGTTTCTCCACCCCCGCCAAATACAGCTTGGGCAAAGCCACCCTGACCATTCCTGAGTCGCCGGACAGTTGTCCAAAACCTCCTTGTGGCCAACCGAAAGTCTGAACTCCTCCCATGCCCTGGATTTTGCTTCCGCCACCGTTGCCACTGCCTTCTTTTTGCCTGTTGATACCTATCTGCTGAGTCAGGAGTCCTCCGGGCCATCCAGTCCCTGAAGGCCTCTTTCTTCAGCTTGACGGCCTCCCTCACCACCGGTGTCCACCAGGGGGTTCTTGGGTTACCGCCCTGACAGGCACCAACAAGCTTTTGGCCACAGCTACGCCTGGCAGCTTCCACAATGGAGGTTTTGAACAGGGTCCATTCAGACTCCATGTCCTCCGGAACATGAGAAAAGCTCTCCTGGAGGTGGGAGTTAAAATTATTCCGAACAGGGGCCTCTGACAGTCGTTCCCAGCACACCCTCACTATTTGCTTGGGCCTACTGGGTCTGACCATCAGTCTTCCCTGCCATCTGATCCAACTCACCACTGGGTGGTGATCAGTTGACAGCTCAGCACCTCTCTTCACCCAAGTGTCCAGAACATATGGTCCCAAGTCAGATGAAATGACAACAAAGTCGATCATTGACCTTTGACCCAAAGAAGCTCCGGTACCATGTACACTTATGAACATCCTTGTGTTCGAACTTGCTGTTCATTATAGACAATCCATGCCTAGCTCAGAAGTCCAATAACAATTCACCATTCTAGTTTAGATCGGGCAGGCCATTCTTCCCAGTCACACCTCTCTAGGTCTCCCAGTCACTGGCAGCATGAGCATTGAAGTCTCACCAGCAAGACTATGGAGTCTGTAGGTGGGGCCCTTTCCAGATCCCTGCCCACTCGCTCTAAGAAGGCCAAATACTCCGACCTGTTGTTTGGTGCATAAGCGCACACAACAGTCAAAAGTTTTCCTCTCTGCGATTTTAATTCTCGTGAGTAACCCCACACCCGCCCTGCGCTTCTCACCAAAATGTTCTCATCATGAAATGTTCACATATTGTAATTAGCAGCCAACATTTAGAATAAAAAAAGAATCAGTCAACCTTTATTTAAACTGGTTGTACATTGAGGGTGATGCTCATTTACAGTGTAAGTGAGCCAATACAGAAACCAGAGATTGAAAAACTAACATTGTAAAAACGTATCAAATGTTAAAAAAAAATAATAATAATAATCATGATAGAAAATTTAATAGTAAAAATCAATAAAACTAGAATACACTGTTAAAATTGCAAAAATAAAATGACTTAATAAACAAACCCAAGAGTTGGGAGATTTTGATATGACTCTGTTGATACAGTAAATATTCAGATTCTCGCCCTCTTCATCAGGCTTGTCCACCCATGATGTCCCTACTAAGATTGCTGTATTCGACGGGAAGGCGCTGACCTTTGATGAAAGCGACTGGTTCATCGTGAACTTCCTGCGCAAGCTGTGGCGCTACGGCTTAAACTCCATTAGCATGCCTAAGTGGTTGGAGAGCATTCTAAGTAAGTTTATGAGGTGAGTCCTACAGCAGTTCAGTTCTGGTCATCAGTTACATGATAAGAAGGTCATATGCACCTGTACTAAATACAGAGAATGTATGTAGCAGCAGTTTACAACTTGTCTTCATTTAGGAGCCACATTGCAACTTTATTGTTGAGTCACAATCCAAAGATGATTCAACTTTATAACCCTTCTCATTTATTCCACAAAAAAGCTTTGAAAGCTCGATCCTTTTACACTAATACCACCACACAAAACACACTGACAGTTTGAGGTGCCCACCCTTACCCATTAAATAAACTGAGTCTTCTCCTTCTGACAGGATTTATCAGTACCAGCAGTCTGGTTACTCCTTCTCCAGCATGGAGCAGCTCCTGCATGGCTTAGGTGGAGACAGCTTCCTGACCCTGCTCAATCAGACACTGAAGGAGGTCATGCTGGCTGATGGCTTCTCTCAGGTCTTCATTGACAACTTTGTGACTCCGCTCTCACGCTTTGCTTTCGGTCAGACTGCTGACCTCACCGCTCTTGTGGGTAAGTTTCACGGTGCGATACCCTGCTTAATAGGGGTGTTAATCTCTGACCTCACAGCGATTTGGTTCAATTACAGTTCTTTAGGAAATGACTAGATGCATCATAAAATGTAACATTTTCCCACGATTCAGTTTGATTTTAGTATTTTAGTACATTTCAGAATTAGCCAGGATTATTAGCTACATTCAGCCAGAATTATCTGTAGCCTAGAGTCCAGAACAGCATAATGGTCCTTAAGAACTTAGGTGAAAGCTGAGACAGACACGAGCAGGAGTGGAAAATGCTTCTGTGATTGTATTTGGTTAATGTACTTAGGAATTATTTTGGAAGATTTGTACTTTACTACTGAGTACTGAAGTTGAATGCTTGGACTTATACTCAATTAGATCGATTGGCCACTTCATTAAGTGCACGTCCTTGCATCTACACTCGTTGTCCATTTTACCATATAAGAGCACTTTGCAGTTTTGCAGTTACAGACTATAGTCCATGTGTTTCTCTGCATACTTTGTTAGCTCCCTTCTCCCTGTTCTTCAATGGTCAGGACCCCCACAGAGCAGGTACTATTTGGGTGGTGGATCATTCTCAGCACTGCGGTAACACTGATGTGGTGGTGGTGTGTTAGTGTGTGTTGTGCTGGTGTGAGTGGATCAGACACAGCAGTGCTGCTGGAGTTTTTAAACACTGTGTCCACTCACTGTCCACTCTATTAGACACTCCTACCTTGTCAGTCCACCTTGTCGATGTAAGTTCAGAAACGCTCTGAACGCTCATCTGCTGCTGCACAGTTCGTGCTGGTCATCCTCTAGTTCTTCATCAGTGGTCATGGGACACTGCCCACTGTAGGCTGGATACTTTTGGTTGGTGGACTATTCTCAGTCCACCAGTGACACTGAGGTGTTTAATTGTAGAACTACAAAGTGCTCCTACACAAAACAAATGTCATACAATTTCTCAAATATTGCAGAATGATGTATGTTTATAGTCTCACTATTCTTTAATTCTTTATTTCTGCACACATTCATAAATTCTAGTGTTATTTAGAATAGATATGCATGTTCAAGTAAGTACTTTCGCTTACAGCCAGCTTTACCGATTTGCCTAAAAGAAGGTTTGTATCTAATGGCTTGTAATTATTAAGGACACTAGCACCATCTTCAGGGTGGAACTGTGCATGCAGCATCTTATTGCTTAATTCTTTAATGGTTGGTTGCCTGGACATGGATTAAGCCTTAACTTGGACTAAATCATAACAATAATGGTAATTATCATTTTATAAAAACCTTTTTAGTCTAGGTTTGAGCTAAATCAAAATCTGGGAAACCTGCCTTAAGCCACTTGAAATTAAACCAAAAATATTGTAGTGAAATTTCTTGCATGTAGACATGTAAACATGCATGTCATATGTGTAAATGTACATATTAATTGTAAAAAATATATATTTCCATAAAACAGAACTGATTTTGTCTCTCTGCAGGTGCCGTGTCCCTGGCCTGTGCTGACTCTGGCCAGTGGGCAGTGGATGGAGGAAATAAGCGGGTTTGCTCTGAACTTCTGTCCCACAGCAAGGCTGAACACATCCAGGCCCAGGTCACGGATATTTCTCTGAAGATGAAGCCGTCCAAAAGCGGTAAAGCATTTCTTTATTGGCTGTGCGAAACATCAGAGTTAGTTCAGGCTATGGCTGATCGATATTTGTTAGAGCCAAGAGCCTGGAGTTCACCTGCCCCTGAAAGTCTAATCAGCTGGATACATCAGCTATCAAATGAGGGGTGCACTAACCAAGGAAACACTTTACATGAACCCTGTTACATTACACTGACATAACAGAAACAAGTCATTGTCACATGTCATGTGACAGAATTTTTCAGTAATATAATAGTGTCGTGTTTGCTGGTTATAGCATTACTGGTTATTGTCATGACAGTTGCCATAATGTTTATTGTCATATTTTTGTCACATTCTGCTCTTTTTTTGTGTAGTCAGCTGGTATAACATCAAACATCATGACATATGTCATGACGATTACCACTAATGGTAATGCTGTTACATGACAGAAAAACCTCTCCTGGGAATTAATATCAGCATATAGCATCTGTTAATATTATGTAGAAGGCTTTAAGTAAAGTGTTACCCTAACCTGGAAGAGACTATAGAATATCATGATTTTTCTTTATTTGTTGTTTACTTGGAGGACTGACTATCGATTGATCTCTAATGGCATGACTGCTCCATGTTAAGGCCTCCTCATAGTTAAAAAAAAATATATGAAAAAAGTGAAAAAACCCCCCTGAAAATAAGCTACCACTTGCTGGGGTTGTTTACGTTGCCATAGCTATGCTAAGAATCTGAAATGCAAGAAATCAGTCTAATGTACCTAAATATAACCACAGAGTATTTTTATAACCTCTCACTCTCCCCACCAATCAGGCACTGAATCAAGCTTTTACGAGGTGAACTATGTTGGTGACTCTGGCCCCGCCCACTCAATTTATGACATTGTGATCGTGGCCATGCCCCTTCACGAAGGCCTCTCTGACATCAGCTTCTCGGGCTTCTCACCTCCAATCCCATCTCACTTTCCTGGCCGCTTCCACCACCTTGTGACCACGCTGGTCCTGGGTCAGGTCAACATGTCATATCTGGGGACCAGTCAGAATCCAGCCGACTTTGATGTCTCTGACATTTTTACCACAGATAATGAGGCGCTGGCTTTTAATAGCCTGTCCTCGGTGGACCCAACCCACCTTCCCCTGGATTATCATCGGCCCCCAGCCAGCGAGAGCAAAGTTTGGAAGTTTTTTTCCCAGGAGCCGCTGTCTGAGGAACAGCTGCGGGAGATCTTCGTGTCGTGGGAGGGGGTGTGGGAGAAGCGCTGGCTGGCTTACCCCTCATACAGCTCTTCACCGCACCCCATGCCACCGTTTATCCTCCACGACCGTTTATACTATCTCAATGCCATCGAATGGGCTGCCAGCTGCATGGAATTTAGTGCCGTCTCAGCCCGCAACGTGGCACTGCTCGCCTACCACCGCTATCACAACCAGACAGACAAAATTGACCAGGAGGACCTGCACACCCGCCTCCATGAAGAGCTATAAAGGAGGGGGGAGTAGAGTCCAGTCCTGGAGTGCCACAGCAGTGCTGAGTTTAACACTCATCTTCATTTAACTCACCTAATTCAACTCAACAGATTATTAACAAATTCTTCATTAGAGTGCTAAAGGAAAAGGCCACTTTATCACTCTACACTCATTTTTTTCACTGAACGTCACTGGATCCTCTAAATTACGAGGCTGTTAAGAAGCTGAAAAATGAAATTTGCTACGTTCAAACTAACACTGCTGCACACTGAACTGACATCATAAGACACCGAGAGCACAAAAATACCCCAAACAAACCAGCAGGTTTTATCCAGTTATAGTGATGGTGCTTTGGTAGTAGCAGAGTAAAGTAGGAGCAGCTGGTGTTGATAGACAAGTGTTACAGTTACAGTGTTGAAAGTTAAAAGTAGACTTTCGTGCAACATCAGTAGTGGCAGCTTGCTATCAGCATGAATGAAGCAATGTTCATCTTTCGTCTCCGTAACACCTTAACAAGCCTCATATTTTAAAGGATCCAGTGACGTTTGGTGGAAAAATGAACATAGGTTTGGAATCTTTCTTGTTTGGCACTGAATTTTGAGAATCTCTTTCAGTTCCTAGTATGACTAGAGAATGACACGACACCAGTTACAGAATGATGCATGACTTCAGAAGTCAATTACACATTAAGCCGGCCACAACTATCAGTTGTATTGTGTTGTATCACTATATTCTGATTGGCTAGCCTCATGTCCATGTGTGTACGCACTTCCATGCAGCAAGTTTTATCAGTCCGGAACCTTTTGGAGTGAGACCATTCACTGGATTGAAGAAAGTTTAACAGCATTGTGTGTTTAAAAGTTGTTTAATAGTTTTCTTTGAAGCATGTAGTAGCTTTTAAGTGAGATATTTTCATGTTTGCCAGCGCATTTGTTTTCCATAAGTTTGTATTGGTTGTAGTGCCCTCACATATCATGCTATAATGGGGGTCTGTGAAGTAAAGTAGGAGTAGCTGGTGTTAATAAAGCGCATTATTTTTAGAGCTGTCACAGTTAACAGGATTATTTAACACAGTTAATGCAGTTTCCTAATTGGAACATTCAAGCCATCTGTAGTTCCAGCCTGAAGTCCAGCTGCAGCCGTTCCTGCAGCCGTACAGACTGAGTCTGTAGTCCTCTTGTTCTAATACACAATTGAAAGGGCAGCTGTCATTGATGCCTCTCTTGATTAAAGTTATTTCCATGTGCTACCCTGCCATGAATTTGCTTATTACTGAAGTGCATCAAGTCTAAAGTATGCTTTACAAGTAAAGCACAGCACTGATGCCGGTAAGATCAGTAACATTGGTAATGTAAGCACTGGCAGACTACGCTGGTCAGTGCTCACAAGAAAACTATAGACAAATCAACAGAGTTCCTTCAAAACAAGATGTAACTAAGTAGTAAGAGGTACAAGCGAGGAGATGGAACATGCAGCCACTGATGCTCTCAGTAGTAGCAGTGCAGTTTATAACTGTACAGCTGTACTGCAGACCTGCAACGTAGGTGGAGCTCATAAGATGGACAGTGAAATACAAGGTGACTGACATTTCTGCAAAGCTGTGGTCCTCCTGGACCTCAGGGGTACGGCAGGAGAAGTTCTTCTGAAAAGAGATGTAGAAGATGGTCAAATTCAGTGCCTCTTTGAGTGAATCAGTCTATTGCTGTGCCTTCTATTTTGAGTCGTGCTTATGTGAACATGTTTTCCTGATTTGGCTTCTAGGCAAAAGAAGTGGAAGTAGTGCTAATTTTTGAGTGGATGATACTAAATAGAAAGAGGTGCTAAAAAGCTTTGTGAGATCTACTGCTTGACTGTTTCACAGGTACTCAGGCCACGGCTCATATGAAAGAAGCTTGAAAATATTAAAAATACTGAAAGTATTACGTGAATAATATGTGAAGGAGCAGAGAAAAGGATCACACAACATTTCAAAAATTGCTTAATTATTTGAGCTTCCTTGCGCTTTAGAGATCGCTACCTATAGATTAAACAGGAGTTCTGTGGATGAAGGCCAAAAACCCTTAATTAGCGTAATTGATTGTTAAAGGAACACTTTTGGCAATATATCAAGTTTACATTTTCCACTTGCCCCAGATGTCGTCTGTCAGCTGAGACGTTTGGTGTCCTGATTTTTCTTCCTTAGTTTAGCGCTGGAGCTACAAGGCTAATATTGCTAGCGAGCACTAGATGTCAGTAGTTACCCAAATCTCTTTTGTGATCGTGTGATTTAAACTTCTCTCAGTCCACTCAAACTGCGTCCAGATCTTCATTAAGGTTGTACAGACTTGTCAGTGTGGTTTAGGTTACAGTATTTTGGTTGGGCTATTGACTTCTAGTGTGAGCTCCAGTGCACAACTAAAGAAGCAAAATTTGGGCACCAAACAGGTCAGGGCTGATGTGAGTGAAAAACTGTCAGTTTCATTTGCTGCCAAACAATTCAAGTTAACTTTCATTCAGAATTAGCAGCTTTAGCATTGTGATCCTTTTTTTTTGCCTGTAAAGTGCTCCTTTAAGAAGCAGCTGTATTGGCTTACCTTACTCAGACTCTTCAAAATAGTTTTGTCCGCAGCAGCACTAACGATCTTTTTCCCTTTTTCTGCCGTCAGAAATGCTGCTCTGTAACATTTACTGAAGGCTAAGAGGTATATCCACTGAGAAAGCACTGCAATATTCACATTTGCTAGCACTTTATATTGTAGATGCACTTTCTTTCTTGATTTTTTTTTTTACCAATTCTAAAGGTTTTGCCCTACAAAGTTGTTTTAAAATTGATCAAAAACAATTGTGTAATCAGCCCTGAAAGAGTAAAACAGACCTGCTGCACTTTGTTTTCTTTGCTTTTCCCTTTACTGTGAAAAGAGTTTTATTAGGGGGATGATTTATGCAAACTGAATTGTCTGTTTGATCTGAGGTATAATTTGAAATTTGCACATAAACTCAAAGTTGTATGCAAAAGTTGCATACTTTCTTAATTTTCTAAGACAAAATAAATTAACACATCCTCTACAGACCTGTATATGTGTGGATATTCTTACCTGCATGTATACAAATATTACAGATACATGGTGATATTTGTACACACATCTCTTTAGCTCCTCCATGGCTATTATTCTTTATTCTGATCATTGTGATGTTTTTTTACACATCATCCAGGCTTGATGACAAGAAAGTCTTCTGGATGACTTTCTTGTCATCAAGCCTGGATGACGTTGGAGGGAAGCAGACAAGAAAAGAGACACAGACCGGACTGTTGATGGCGCTATAGAGCAACAGTTTATGTTTTAGCCTATATCCATATCTCTTGAACCGTGAGGCCTACTGTCAAAATTCTTGCTGCTACAAAATCCTTGGTTTATTCCAAATAAACACCTCACGGAAACTATAAAACTCCACCCTGGAAATGTTTGAGATATTTTGCAAAATATATGACACCTGCATTTTTCTAGTAGTCTTGTCTTTTTAAACATCCAGACAATATGGGTCAATATATTTATTTTTAAAAATTGGACATTTGTGGACAATTTGGTCACCAGGAGGCAGTTAAGCCCTTTGAGGTTTAGCGTAATTGCCAGAAACGGCCACTGAGCGGTAATGCTTTGGCCAATTCTCATCAAACTTAAGAGTGTTATAACAAATATGATTTAGAACAAATAGAATATTCTATATGTTACATCCAAGACGTTTCTGTTGCTGCCTCTTGCTGGTCTTTTCTGTTTTTCCGTTGCTGCCCTCTGCTGTTTTACTCTGTTTTCTTGTTGCTGCCTTGTGCTGCTCTTTTGTGTTTTTCCTTTCTCTCTCTGTTTCCTAGGTAAAGATACCGATGTCCGCTGATCTTGCCAGCTAATTACAACATATAGCAGCATGAAGATTCGGCCAGAGCCAGTTTATGAACAGCCTGGCCACTTAGTATTTCCCCCATGATATCAAAAACAGGACTGCAAAACACCAGAGGGCACCAGGGAGCGAATCCTCAATAAATGGGAGAAAATGGAGCTAAAAGGCTAAAAAACGGAAAGTTAAAATAGTTTGTAATCACTTGCCCAGGAATTTCCTTTAATTTTAAGAAAGTAGAAGGATGTATTTTATTAAAAAAGAAAAGAAAACTTACCTGTATGTTTCCTGTTTGCTGCTACTGAGTGCTGATTTGTTGCCGATTGTATTCTTTTATAATAAAAAATTTTAAGCACTTATAAACTATGATTTTGCTCAAATGCTCCATATTAACCCATTCATTTTGGACTCACTTGGATCTCCTTTAGCGTTTGAGAACCCACACAGAGTGGTAATTCTCCTCTCTACAAGTTCTTTGGATTTGCCCTTGAAAAGGACAGTGATGAGATGCAGTTCGGCTCGCTGTTTCACCAGGCGGTCCATGGTGGTCTCTGGGAAATGCTGTGGTTATGCTGCTCTTTTAGTGTTTGTCGTTTGCCTTGTGTTCTGAGCTTTTGGAGTTACAGAACAGTTAGAAGTATTAACTAGACTTGATATTTGTACTAGTGATTTGACTCAGTGTTTAGCTTCTTCTGCTGTTTGATACTTGTACCATATAGCTTGTTTAACAACTGCTATAACTTACTAGTCACAGTTATGTAGGGGTGAGTGCCGTTTATGTTGGATGTATTCTTTTCTTTTACCTGTTGAGGGAGGTAGGCTGGCACCCGCTATCTTTTATTGTTTTTCGCATTTTCTTTTTAGGGAAGGTAGTTTCCTGGGGAGGGGGGCTTTAGAGGTTTCTGTTTGTTATTTTGATATAGGCTCACCCTGAAGTCTAAACCCTGTGACTATTTGCACTGACTAATAATACAAACTGTTGACTTGAGCACTAAATCGGTGTGCCGGTCTATTTGTTTTATGTTGCTACCTCATTACCCTAGACTACAGCCTTGGTACATTTATACTATGTGTGGAAGGTAAAAGGCAGTCGTAATGAATACGGTGTGTTGTAAAAATCTGTTTCTCCACAACAGCTTTGCTGACAGCTGAAACTTAGCATGTTGCATCTTTGGGCCACTTCCTAAATGAGGTGTTAAGGGCAACGCATTCCCAAATGTGGTCACTGTTGGCCAGTAAGTTCTCAACAAGCATTTGAAGGGCTTAGCTTTGGACAGTCATCATGAAAACTGAATGATGTGTTCACGTAGACACTATAATAGCCTATTAATTTTGATCTCAATCAGCCATGAGGTGGCGCTATTCAACGAAAACAAGAAGTCCTATAAATTTGATCTGGGATGAAAATAAATCATGCGCTGGACTGGTGACCTGTCCAGGGTGTATCCTGCCTTCCACACAATGACTTCTCATCATGCATTACAATAAGACATTTTTCACGTACAAGTCTTTTTAATGTCTTCATAGATTTTCTTCAGTTGTTTAAAGTTAGAAAAATTTGCTTTTCAAACTAGTCTCTGGATTTTAATCAAATTTTCTCAAACTTGGCCAAAAACAATCTGTGGAGTCTGTAGATAAATTATTATTTTAAGAAGTCTTGACTTTAATGCAAAGAGTGCCTGTAAGACATCAATTAATCTCTTAGACCTGGATTTTTCTTACATAAGAGCCTGTAAATCCATACATATTTCTCTGATTGAGACATATTTTGTAATCAACGTACACAACCATCATCTGAGGAAGCTTGCAAAGTTTTGCCTTCTGCCCAATGACTGCTGGGATAGGCTCCAACCCCCCCATGGCGCCCCAAAAGGTTAAGCAGGTTAGAAAGTGTGTGTATGTGCGCTCAATGCTCAATTAAGTGGTTTTAAAACAACAGGTGAAGTGTCATTGTCGATTGTTTTAAAAATATTGCCTTTAAAGCACGGTTTGGTTGCAAATCATTAATCAATTAGCAAAACACTTGGAGCGCCGCTGAAACCAAACCCGAAATAAGGGATTTAAATATTCTTCATCTTCTTCAAGTTTCAAGTTTATTTGTCGTTTCCACAACATGTCAGGACATTCATGCATTGAAATGCTTGTGGCGAGACTCAGGTAATCACTCTACAGAAAGTAAACAGTAAAAATAAAATACAAGAAAATACTGAAACTAAATTCTAGATGATGTATGTTCATATTTTCAGGTAAAGTGGCGCGATGCTTAAAAAAAGCCCTGGCATGAAGTTTGAGTTTTCCGTTATGTTTACGTCACGTCTTATTCTGTGAGTTTTTTGGCTGGTTGCAGAGCAGAAATCCGATTACTGTCGGACTCATGTAAACCCGAGTTTTCCTGTTACCTGATTACTCAAGTGCAAGTAAACGTGTTGATCGGATTACTGACAAAATGTGATTTTCTGCTGTGATCGGATTATTAAGTGATGTAAACGAACGTGATGCTCTGATTGTCACAAATTTGCTATGTTCATTCGCATTAATCAGCTGAGGAAATTTGAAATTTGGCTTAAATCGGCCTAAATTGACTCTTACAATGCAACTGCAAACAATCTAAAATATCATTTCTATCTGAATTTAAAAGAAAGAAATGATATTGCTTTCAAGTTACACATCTCAATAAGACCTAACACTGCAAGTATTTGTATGTTTCTAAATTGCACAGGACCTGTAATTTGATCGTGTAGGTTGATAAAATCACAGAATGAGGTGTGATTGTTTTGTCTGAACACTAGGTGGAGCTTCAGCAGTAAGTGCAAATTGTAAAAATCAAGCAAACCCGGAAGACATTACAGAGTCCTCCATAGATATACATACCTAGATGCCGCGTTGGGTCCAGCCAGGCACGTCAACGGCGCCGCCATTTTAGGGCGGTCAACATTGCTGCAGGACTGCATTACCATTCCAGAGCGGTAGTTTAAGCAAGATCCTGTCCAAAATTATACTATTTCAAGAATATGGCTCTCAGAAAGTGGGATAGGATTATATAACGGAGGGAACGCAGCGATCCACGCTCATGTTTGTGAGATGTGTATTGTTTGTGTGATTGGGGAGGCACAGAGAACCTGCTGATGTGATTGTTTTTCCTCTGGCTTTATATTATGCTTATTTAATTTGATAGTCTATTCAGGGGATCTTAACTTCATGTAGTAGTTATTTTTTTACAATGATGGTCATTGCTTTGTAGCTAGGTAAATTATAGCATTCCTTAAAACCGTGTATTCATAACATTAGCACCTTAAACAAAGCTGAAGTTAGCTTCTTGTTCGAATTTCCACCTTAAATGATGCATCAGCCAGCATCATGTTTGAATTTCCCCGTTCCACCTTAAATGGTGCATCAGCCAGCTTCTTGTTTGAATTTTCTGGTTCCACCTTAAATGGTGCGGCTTCAGGCACCAGAAAGTGACTGCTCTTGAAGAAGAAGCTGAATGATAGGAAGCCAACTTTAGCTTCGTCCTTCTTATTGTGTTTTGGGGGGTTTATTTTATTTTTATGTGTATTAAAAGTAGAAGTGATTCACACATTGATGGATTTGCTGATTGTGTTTCTACCGGACCTCGCGCGTTTTTAACGTCCGGTGCAGACGGTATACTTTATGCTGGCCAGGACGGCCAATTAGCACGATGAGTTATTAAAGAAATAAAAGCTACCAAGAGCAGTCCGTGCAGCCTAGATTAATATATGTCTGAGGATTATAACAAAACAAATTTGCTGAAAATCGGTTGAGTAATAAGGAGGTTGTAGCCTATTTAATTCTGAGACTCATCATCTCTCAATACGAGCGCATCTTGACCGCTCCAACATGGCGGACGCGCAGACGTATCGCCTTCGATTGAGAGCAACAGGCAACGCTGCATCTAGGTATGCGTATCTATGGTCTCCTCCCTACAAGTTCTGTGGCTGAGCCCCTGAGCTCCGCACCATAGAGATGTTACGCTCGATACCGGAGCATCGACGCAGTGTCGACACTTCGTGCTGAGAATTGCACTGATACACCGATTCGGTGCCTCTCTTTAAACGAAGGAGTCACGTGATAACCGCCAACGAAGCTTCGTTACGTCACTTAAACTGGTACAAATACCCGGGGCTTCTCCGGTGGGGTTAAACTGGTCAACTCCAAA